ATAGCAACGAAGCTGCCGACATACTAGCAAAAGAGGGTGCCATGCTGGAAACAGACACAACAAATCTTCTTATAATCTCTTGGGTCAAGAGAGATCTCAAAAGACAGGGCAAGAAAGAGTTCAATCAATGGTAGAAAGACCAATCAGAATCTAGGTATCAAGAAGTATACTCACATGCAGTAACTGAAAGAGATCTTATATCTTTCAAGAGGAGTACTTTATACAGACTTCTAGCGGCCAGATCTGGACATGGCGACTTTGCCAGATACCATGAACGCTTTGGGCACACAGACTCAAATGATCACTGCAACTGTGGTGAGAAGAAAACACCACAACACATTTTCTTTTGTAAGAGGCTGGGGAAAAATCGGCTACTGCCTAGGCATTCGCCTAGGGCAGCTTGTTTACAATACTTAGGGGAGAGGAGCACAGAATGGGCAAAATTCGTGGAGAAGAGCAAGTTCTTTTCAACAATCTGCCCCCAATAGATAGCCTTCCTTGAAGGACCAGATGGATGACCCCAAGGTCATACCGCCGCAACAACGGGGATGGGCCCGTGAGCAGGACTGACTGTACTTATTATCTTGAGACCTCCACAACCCTGCGATGCAGAGGCTCTGGGAGGCGTGGTTTGCACTACTGAGGAGCTACCCCCACGTTAAATACAAAACAAACAAACAAACAAACTGTCTTGTCTGGTTTTGGGATTATCACCACTTCAGCTATTTTGAATGGTTAGGATGGTGTCCGATCTGTAGACAGGTCTGGAAGAGGGCTCTAATATGTTCCCCAATGACTGGCCAGCAAGCTTTCAGAATCCGTACTGTGAGGGTGTCTACTCCCGGGGAGTTGCTCTTGGTCCCTATAGTGCACCTTTCAGCCTCTTCCAGTCCGACATAGTATTCAAGGGGGATGTGTGGCTTGGGTTGTGTGATCTGAGCGGACCAGGGGTTGATAATATCGTTGTCTGAGGTATTTCGTTTAAGCGTGGCTGAGCGTAGTGCACTTGCCTTGCTCTTGTTGGATTAAAGGTGAGCCCAGAGGGCACCTTGATAGGTAGACACCGGAGCCTAGTTGTTCCGTCCCGATCCAGCCCCCTCTAGCACAAAACTGCCACGGTCGCACGAGGACACTCTAGAGAGACAGAATACAGACACACCCACTTCAACCTCACGATTGGCTCAAATCTGACAGCTCTCTTGTGACTCAAATATTTGGTCTCCTATGATGATTGGAGGGGAACGCAATCCTGCTGACAGCTTGTGCCAAAAAACGATTCTGTACAGGTCCTTTGGCTCAGTCGCTGAATTAATTAGAGTCTGCCAGTACTCTCTCCTAGCTTTCTGAACCACGTAACGAAATTCTTGTCGGGCTGAATTCCGCCCTTCTTGGCTTATAGTCTGTTTAGAAAGGGCCCTGTATGTCTGAATAGCTGTTTTGCAGTCATCATTCCACCAAGCAGTAGGCCTAGATTGTTGGGGCTTTTTGCCCACTGTCCTGATACAGCCTTGGATCATGTTGATCAAGCTCTGTATAAAGGCATCAACCTGGCCAGGGGATGCACCCAGCCGGGGGAGCTCATAAATCCTGGTCTAGACATTATCTGCCAGCTCTTGTAATTTATCGTCCGGTACTATCCAATAATTGGTCTTGAGGATTCGGTCCAGATCTCTCTGAATTGGAATGACTATTCGTAATGTCTCATGATCTAAGGTGCACTGAAGTGCATCATTGACTGAGGCTTCAGCCATAGGGACATCTGAGAACACCAGATCTAGTACATTTCTGTCATCATGTGTTGGGACATCTGGTTCAGAAATCAGATCCAGTCCGTGGTCTGTCATAGTCTGTGCAAGTATAACACCACCATGATATCCTGGATTGCTCGAGTCCCAGGATGTGTCACCAGCATTGAAATCTCCAGCTATAACGCAGCCAAAAGGTGGAGTCCATACTTCCAGAATATTATCCACTTCCTGTGGGTTCTCACATGGCCGGTAGACACTGGCAAATGTAATGCCTTGTACCTTGACCCAGGTGATGTCTCGTGTAGCATAGGGCTGAAGTTGATCCACTTGAAGGTGTTTTCTCACATAGATGAGAGATCTGGGCCGTGTACTGTCGCTGTCCCAGGAATCCACTGGGGAGTATATATCGTAATTGGGGTGTGTCTTTACTCCCATTCTCCTGCCTGGTGGTATGCCAACCCAGGGCTCTTGCATCAGAATGATGTCTGCTTGCTCTCCTTTGTAGTCAGTCAGATTAACGGCTAACTCTGTAGGGCCTGTACTCTTTTGTCCTCCTGTTATATTCACAGAATGGATGACTAGATGCCCGTGTCGATGTGTTTCGTTTGATGTACCTAGCATTGACTGACGACAATGGTGTCGGTATCCTTGGGATGAGCTGTATCTGTTGTGTCGATTTGCATTGTGGTGTCTTTGTTATTATTATTAAGCGTTGACCCAGTTTGGTTTCTGCCTGTTTTATTGAAGGCCCTGGATCTGGCTCTTTCTCTGGACAGCCTTATTTCCTGGATTCGCTCCCATATGTGCTTATAGATGATGCCTTTCACGACCTTGGGGCGTGCAGGGCATTTGTCGAAGTTGGCAGCATGAGGTCCTTTGCAGTTGACACACTTTGGGATTGGTTTTTCGCACTCCCCCTGGTGTACTGTACTGGCACAACATGCACATACTTGCTTTTCACATCGGTAGTTCCTACCATGGTATCTGAAGCAGCTCGCACATTGGTGAACCTTGGGGGAGTATTGAATATGCCTTGAGGTCATTAAGTGAGCAAAAAGCGTGAATGGTTTCTTTGCTGCACGGGGCAGAGAGATCACCCATGTGGTCTCCAGATCAGAATCAACTGTGTTCCTTGAGAGTATGTACCTTAAAGGTCTGTCACCTGTTTGGGCTTTAATTTCATCAGTAACAGCAATGTCAGTAATGTTGATTGTTAATCCTTCTGCACTGATGACCTTTCTTGGGCATCTATCGACCTTGTAATGGTGCCAGACTGTGTGGGTCTCAATCTTTTGTGCCTTGAGAATGTCAGCAATTTCTTCTTGAAAAGTCAGAAGCTTAGCCTGAGTTGGCTTGTCCCTTGGGTGTAAGGTAAAACCAGAAGGACATCGTGTCACTTCTCTAAGCTCCTGAGGGTGGAGCTTAAGTCTTCTGTTTAGTGTAGACTTGATTCCATAAGGCTCAAGGTGGCTATTATCCATGCGGACAAAGACCCAGAGATTATCTTGTTTCCTCTTCAATTGGTTGATAGTGATGAGGGCACTAGGCTGTGTTTTTTTCATGATAGTGTTGACTGTCCATGGATGCTGTCGTTGGCCAGAGGAGACAGCTTGGGCAAAGGTCATGGTGGGCTTCCCTATTTCTATCCCCCCAGAAGTGGCCTTTCTTGTGGTCAGATCTCGGGTTTCCAGCCACTCATTCAGACATTTGGAGAAGAAAGCGCTGAACTCCTTGGCATGAGAGTATAGTTCGGTTCCAGCTTTCTTAAGTGTCTTATCAACTGCTGCAGCACACTCTTGAAACATTGTCATCCTGGCTTCATAGAGATACTTGTCTTTAGTCAGTATTCTGGCAACTTGGTCCTGGCACTCTGAAAAGGAGACTTTGTTCCCTGCATCACCTCCAATGGCTTGGTCTGTAGGGATTTCGCTTGACTGAGGTAATTCCATATCAATGGTGCTGCTATTATTGATATTTCGGGATTTTCTTTTCAGAGGGGAAACAGTGGTGAAGTCAGCCTCAGAGACCTGTGACGGGCTGCTGTTGATGTCGTCGAGCAGTGCCTGGCGGAGCCTGCTTGGGGTTGCCGGGTCATGTGTTCTTTTAGGGACTGGGGATTTGAACACGCCGCCAGTAGTTGTCTTTGGGACGGCCACTGGCGTGTTTGGGGGCCTGTCGTGAAAGGGTGCCATCCAGCTTGTGAGAAAAATTTTCTGCGCCTTGGCAAGGATAGTCAGGTACTGAGACAAATGCCTGCTTTAGTACAGATGTAGAGGTTGCGCCCTAACAGCGGGGCGCCAAGAAAAATAGTTGTTTTTGGCAAGAGTGTGTAAGCTCGGTCAATCTTGCCGCCAATACGCTCAAACTTAATGCCTCCCCTCCTGCACCACGTTGCACTCGTTCTATTAATCCGGGATAGAGAGCCGCCTCAGGGTTAAAGAAAGATGAGGCTCTAACAAGACAGAGCACGACGCTTGACAACCTCTTTGAACGAGACCCGGATTGACTTGATTGCCAACAGTTCCGACACCTCGACCACAACCAGCGGGATATCATCATCAAAAGCCTTTTCGTAGATAACCCACGCTACATCATTATCCTTTTCATGGTAGCAATCGCGGGTCTATGTATACGATGGCACCGAATGGAGGCAACTGTTTTCATAGGACGGCGAAAGTCTGGTCAACGGACTATCTTCTTCCTGCACCACCCGCAGTCATTATAATCGACCAATCTAACGGTCGTTCCGATCCATTGCCACACCACGCACGAGCAGGCTGGGGCGATAGGGTCGCCTAATCGACGGTGTGACCTTGAGGAGGGGATGGAGGTGAGGACTCCCTGAAGAACCTTGGAAATCCCCTGTCGCATAAAGTCAAAGGTCCTCCCATATTCATCAATCTTGAAGGGAACAACCAGTTCAATAAAGGTTCGAGTCTCATTAACACGGCATCTACCCACTGTATCCGTGACCTCATCACGGCCGTTCACGCGTCCAAAGCTATGCTATATTGTTCCTACAAACCAAGAGGCAGATAAAACGCTGTGATGATCATTACACCGTATTTCCAGCAGAAGACAGAACTTCGAGGGAATCAGAATGGGTATCCGGAGTCGAGAAATCCTCCTCCGTGCAAGGTAGTTATATGAACGACGAACGACCTCCAACCCATCACGGATAGTCTGCTCCAGCTTACACCGTGGTCCCGTTCAAATTGGAAGGATCAGATGACAGCGGACGAGGCTGAGACAATGGCGGACAAGAAGAAGAGAAACGCCGATGTGCTCCTGGCACGAAAACTTTTGGGGTGCGCAAGTTTCCTCAACCTGCGCCTCTGGACCGAAGACAGCTACCACATGTACATTTTCTTATATGGTAGCCATGTCCATACTCGCCTTCATCATTTTCCCCTACACCCTTCAACCTTCCCCTTCCCCTCCCCCCATAGTCAGACCATCTCCTTTCCGCCTCATCTCTTCTTTCTCTCTACCTTGTCCCTTTCTTCTTTCCGTCTCTTCCCTCCCCCTCTCCGCCGCGTCATCGTGGCTGATACCGCAGCCGCTGCCACGGCGACAGCACTGCAGATCCCTGTATTCAGAGCCTAAGGGAGGAGCTAAGATGCGTGTCGTTCTCATCCCTTACTCTCATGTTAACTTTACCGGGCTCGCAAGCCGTTACTCTGCCGGAATTTACCTGATCATCCCATCGACCGTTAGGCAAACCATGACATTTATCGGCAGTCTTTACCGCGAAAAACAGTATTCTCCCGTAAACTAGACTTTCGTCTCCACGGCAGTGTCAGTGGGTGATCTCTACGGCTTAGCAATTTGCTCCCTCCATCAAAACTACCAAGTTTTTAAATGCCTCCTAAGGCAAGCGCACACGGTCTACTCATGCCCGATCACGCGTTCAACGTTTAAGGACCATGCGACCGTTCGATGCCTCAAACATGCGTCATGCATCGCCACTTTATCCTAATCGCTACAGAGAAGATCTAGGGGGTTGCCACTAGGGGTTGCCACCACGTGGCAGGCTCGAGAAGTCGAACTCCACATCCACAAGATTCTAAACCCGGTCTCTGACCACCATGATCTCTACAAGCAGGGCGAGATTGCAGATGGCGCCGCTGACTCCGACGCCGCCTTCTGGCCAGACTTCATGAAGCTCGCTCCCAAACTGTGTCGATTCGCCATCACCCCGACCTTGCGAAGCATAATCATGGCCAATTTTCCCACGCTATGTTCGACATCCGCCGCGCCACGTCCCACTTCACCATTGCTTGCAAGGCCCGAATGGGGGAGATTTCGGACAAGTAGCACACTCCTCATCGAGAGCGTCACTCACCGCTAGTACGCAGCAATTCAACAGTGCTTCGATACACAGAGTGAGCCAGGCTACTTTTACCATGAACGGGGTATAATGCCGATCTGTGACCCGGAAACCTTCTGTCAACGTCCGCCCTTGGTGGGGTGGAGGAATACATGCGCGCCCACGTCGAAGTTGCTGCTGTCCGAACGGTCGAGCTACTTAAGGAGTCTGAGTAGTGGCGTGGTGATCGGTTGATGGAATGATCAGGCATGAGATATCGGGGAATGGGTCGCCGGGTCTGCTACGAGGGCCAGCGGCGGTGAGTGGTTCGCGGTGCCCCATGATTTGGGTTAGCCGGGAGTAACAATGTGACCAAGCCCTACTGCGCATTTTCGCCAACTGGTATCCTAGACAACTGCTTCGCAGCAGACCGAATCACGGTCGTGTCCACCCTTAATCAATAACCAAATCGGCAAAAGACTCGTCATACACCACATGGACAAGAAGATGCCAAAGGAGACGGGCGTCGATACCCACGAACTCAGGACTCCGCCGTGACAAAGCAAGACGCGAAACAAGCTAGGAAAGCGGACAAGAAAACCCGCGACCGACTCGCCATTTTTCCTCGCCATTCTTCCGCCGGTCTTCCTCGCCGTTCTTCACTTGGCGGTTGCGAGTATCTGTGCCCGCGCTCGCCAAAAAAAGGCTCCAGACAACGTAACGACCATGATAGTTGTAAGCACCGGCTTGGCCCATTCTCTTAGTCTCTATTTTCTACTTGCCCCCAGGCTTAAGGAAAGAGCTTCAAGCCTCTACGGGTTTGGTAGGCCACATCTGCAACTCGACAACTCGCACCAAGGCAGTGCTTCTTCCAATTACACCATGGCACTGCTACATCTCGGCATAATGTATTCCTGCACCACCGTCATTCCTATCCTGCACATTTTAACTTTTATCATTGGGACAACTCGACGATTTGTACCAAGTTACTGTTGCCGTCCATCTATACTAGGGCATAGCTTCATCCCGACATACATCTCCTTCACCACTACTAACTTGCACCAGGACACTGCTGCATCTTGACACAGCGTCAACTTGCAAGTTCACTTGAACGACACCACCAAAAGAGGTGGCAAGAATAGCAAGGGCGGGTCAAACAAGGACTACCTAGGCCAGTTCGGGTTCAAAGCCCCGGACAGCATCGCGGGTGTTTTAATCAGCCAAACTCGGGCTGCAAAGGTCAACCTCGCAGCTTATGAAACGACTATCGCAGCCGCCTTTATGAAGTCCTTCGAGACGACGATGAAGCAGGCTGCAACTACCGAAGGTCAGAAAAAAGCCAAGGTGGTTTTGATTTGGAACACACACGTGGGTCTTTACAACTATTAACCAAACAAAAACTCACGTTAACTTATGCCCCGATCGAGACATACTCAATAATGAGGTCCACATACCTGACAACGGGGTGCACGCCACAGAGTTCGAAGCTTTGCAATTAACGCAACCCCAAAATCTTGCAGGTCGTGAACCTGTACAAGGATTACAAGGATTGCGAGGCCTAGAATGCCGTGTTCACTGTTTCAGCGGAGATGATTGCTAACATCTGCCAGCAGTATAATCCTGTAGCTACTAGCAGTTGCAAAGGAACCCGCTGCGCCCACTGCCTTATACGGAACCATAATACTCGAAATTGCGCGAAGATTTTTACCATGAATCAATGAGTAGCATTGTTTCAATCGATCAGGTCACAGCAATAAGAGCCGCTTCCGACAAGCCCCAGTCAAGAACAACGCGCACAAGGCGTTCGCGGGCCAAACGATACAAGAGATAAAAGGCTTCGCCACGGGCAAAAGAAGAATGCCATCCATCATGGACTCATCAAAACCTCGCGGTTCGACCTCGAAGCAGCCAATACTACGGCGCAGACCAGACTCGGGGCAACGCTGGTTTTCTTTCGAAAAGGCAGACCATGAGGAGGACTTCACTGTCTTTTCCTAACGCCCAGGAAGATGGTCATGCTACCGCATGGAAGATTGCCCCCTACACGCCCGCGAATGTTGCTCCGGTCTGAGGAAGAAGCTTTGTACAGGGTCTTACCCCGCCCCCTTTACCCCGCCCCCTTTTACCCCTATTCAGCCAGTCGCCCATCTTTTACGCAAAGTCCACGGTCCAAGCAGTCTTAACTGACTTGCGCAAGGCCGTGGGCCATGAGCTCCGGAAACTTCTAGGCACCCAGGTACTCTCCACAAACCGCCATTGGTGCCCTTGCACCTTGTTCCATTATTAGAGAGCAGCGTAACTTAATGTCCCCGGTCAATATGTTTGGCTATCTTGTGCTGAGGAGAACAAAAAACTAGACATGCTTGTATCTCGACCACAACTCTACCATTAATGTCGAAGAAGACGAAGAGAACGAAAGGACGCCCAGCCCCTTAAGCGTCGCATGGTAGACACTGCTGCGAAAGGCAAGGCGCCGAGGAAATATACGGCCCTTAAGATTAAAGCAGCAGCCAAACCCGCGGGCGGAGGCAATAAGGATGTAATGGATGCCCTGACGTCTGTGGCCGTCTCTTGCGGAGTATGATTTATATGTTATTTTACCATTTAATAATCAACCGAAACCAAGTCACCAACCCATACCACTTCACGAAGCAAGGTTATGTCACCAATCGACATCAGTCGCCCACCCCTACTCCCACCTCTTGGGATCCTGCGGCGGCTGAATATACAGAGATAGCGGATCGTACAGCTGCTGATATGGTCAGCATAGCTGGTCAAGCTCCTGATTGGGACAGCATTCTTGGATAGCCGCTGTATCGAGTGGTCAATCGACCTGTTCGTAACACCCGCTGCCCGAACATCGATAATAGGGGGGCGCGACGAGAGGAAGAATGCAGATTTCGTGGGCGCTGTGCGTACCTTTCCCATCGAAAATTCCAACGTACTTCGCTACTTAACTTCATGGCGACAGTAACCCGTTGTCTTCCCAGGACTCGATTGAGAGTTCGATGACAACAGCGCTACATTATACGGATCTTGGCACGAAGAGCATGCTAGGCTGGGGCCGAGCCGAAAGAAGTACAAGATACCGAGCCTATAATCGTGTTCTTACACAATGTAGCGATCGCATTCTTTGGGCTTTGTCTCTGCCTAGTTTTATGCTCAACTCACTCGGCCTGGGGTCTAGCAGCGTACAATTTATCGTCTCCCTCTTCGACGTGCTTGCGTTCACAATGTCATCATACCGAACCCACTACCTCGTACCGTACATACACACACCACCTCATATCCTCATTACGGTACGCACTTTAATCTGAAACCAACTACGTACCGTACACATACGCACCATATTCGCCAAGGCCATACAAGACAACAGCCACCTCATTAGTATGTTGCCCTATTAGAGCTATCTGCCTAAAATTCCCACTTCGCGACAACAATCTCCACAGCGCAGCCATCATTATGCGCCCGAACGGCATTAGTAACAACAACATTACCCTCCATTGGGAGAAAGGTGGTGATGGAGAGGAAGGATATTGGGTTGATTAAGACGTGACTAGGTACTGTACCTCCGTGTCCGCGGCCGGGTTATGTCTCTCCTTCTAGCGAACCCAGGCCAAATTTACGGTAACAACTAAGGTCACAACCCAGAGTCCCACAGGAATCGACCAGGTGCTACAGAGGTAGCAAGTAAGACGTACAGTCGTTGGCGCTATATTGCGCCTTCACCAACAATCAGCCTAACTGCCGAAAATGCGGTAACATCTTTAAAGCGGATAGCTGTTCCTGAAGGACCAGATGGATGACCCCAAGGTCATACCGCCACAATAACGGGGATGGGCCCGTGAGCGGGACTGACTGTACTTATTTTCTTGAGACCTCCACAACCCTGCGATGCAGAGGCTCTGGGAGGCGTGGTCTGCACTACTGAGGAGCTACCCCCCACGTTAATACGAAACAAACAACAACAAACATCTTTAAAGCGAAGCATATCTCGACCTCTCCTAACAGACACGAGCTATGCCCGATAATAGGGCGTTAGGGCATTTTTTATATTTGCCGCACATCCCTGCCTCCTAAAGCATCCAAGAAACACCGTTCCTACCGCATTCTATTCAAGAAGTTTAAAGTACCTCTTATCTCCTAGTCCCTGCGTACCTAGAATCTCCTCCCGAAAGGCACGATTATACAAGAGGTGCGGTTTCCAGCAGGGCCCTGTTGGCCATGCCGAAGTCGGGGTGTACATGAGGAAGTGCGATGGTGAAAGCGCCAAGTGGGAAAAGTTCCGCAAAGCCAGCATGATATGGTCTATTGTGAGTGGCGTGGCTTCTGTGGTGCGCAGCTGCAGTGGATGTGGGCAATATGTCAACCCAAGTGGGTCACGTGACCACGCAACATTAGTCGACGTTATTTTTAACATTTCTGTATTCTGCACGCAACGCCGCCGAAAAGCGGTTCAGCGTTTATCACTTACCGCGAGCCGTATAACCATAGCAGCATCAATATTCTCGGACCGACCACTTGCCGTTGTGCCTGCCGCTCGTGCCATACGGTGCCACGATGATATCTCATCAAAACTGGCTTTCTCCAGGTGTATCCTCTGGAACACATGCCTCGACCCTAAATACAACTACTTCTCGACATATCATATTTGAAGTTGCACTCGGTTCATCACGAGACCTCTTCAGCCTCTAATCCGGATATGATGTCTACTTTGTACAATTCCCAGCCATGATGTATTATAGACTATTCCCAACACACGCTGCTGCCGTCGCTGCGGTGTCCTCCTGCCCGCAGCAGGGTTACTAATAACTATCGCCAGGACGGGCTTCCGGGTGGAGATGATCTTCACGAGGAGCAGAATGAGGAGGAAAGAGGTTCGCCATCCTACCACTCGTCGTCGCCAACACACTACCCCGGAGCACCACCCTTCACCCCGTCGTCGCCGTCACCCCGCTCCCCATCGCCAACGCTTGCACAGCCGACAACAGCCCAGGTAAACACTTTAACGCCGGTCTTTGGCTCAAACACTCAGTTACCATACACCGCAGCTCTGAGAAATCAGTTCACCTAACATGCGGATACGAACTCCCTAATCTGCCAATGTACGACCACTTTTGCAAGTACACTCAATTCACAGTCCCCTTGCCCACCTTCAAAGATTATGTTTTCATTCTATTATCCCTACCACTGGACGCCGCCCTCACTCTCTCTGTCTCTGTTGCCGCTCTCGCTCAGGACATGCTGCCACAGTCTAGCCGTACGTGTCAGCCATCCTCTGCGTTGGGTTCACTTAACCTGCTGCTCTGAGCAATCCATTCGCCTAAGGTGGTGCTACGAGAAACCAATCGGGACAGCCCGCTGCTGGTCAGGCCAACCTGTCCAACCAAAAAACCGGCTAGTTCTCCCACGTCGAGGATTCAAGATCAGAGCAAAGACATAGCACCGGCCAATGGGCTCCCTTCTCAGAGCCCGAGGAGCCCGAGGAAGAGCCTATCAAGGGGCGGCCCGAACAAGCGCGTGCAGTCTTCTTTGCCCGATGATGCCAATCCATATGGCCTCAAGGATGGAGAGCCCAACCCTATTTATGGCAGACTTTGCGGTGCGGGCAGACCCAGCATATATGCTCATCGGCAAGAGGGCATAAAAGGTGCTCAGGATGCCCGCAAACAAGACTACGAGAAGATGTGACAGATAATCGGCAGTGATATGTGCCTGACAGGACTGGTCTGGGAGTTTCCACACTGGCACCTCCGAATGCTCACCATACCCATGTGGGCGTGATGTCAACGGCTGCCCTAGTGGAACAAATCGAGAAAGAACAAGACCTAATATATAGACGATTCCGTCAACCACTATGATGAGATGACAGCAGTCAGAGAGACTTGTGTCACAGTAATATAACTCAAGATGCCACTGATGCCTTGGACCGTGATGGCACCCAAGGGGCATTTCCTAGCGACGAGCAAGGGTACGAAAGGTCCAAATGTCTACAGTCACTTGTTATTCCGGCGAACCAGGTTAAAAGGACCCAGGGACCTCAGCTTCGGCCAACAAGGCAGAGGTCGAAGAGGAAAATTTAGCGACAATGCCAGCGTCAAGCGTCTCCCAGTGGAGGTGCTCCTGCTCAATCTGGTGCTATTATAAAGGAACATTATCCCTACTTATTGATACATGGCCAAAGCATACGCCCGGGAGTATATGCACGGTCGCTCCATCGGGGATTCCCTTAGTATCGATTCCGGTACCGACGACGCGGGCGACAACTTGCTTATCGAGAAACATCGCGATATGATTGAACTTTGCGATACCTAGACGGTACACTCGACCCTGGTAGCCAACATGATATACGCTTTAGAGTACGACACTGGCAAGAAATACAACAAGTTCCTCCACCACATCCTGCCCCTCCCCGGAGAGCGCCATTGCCGATACCTGGTGCCACCCGTTGGTGATGATCAGGAGGGTTTCATGTGTCTCATAACCGTATGCGAACTGCCTCCTAACCGCATTCTTTCCACATGCTAACCACACACATATACAGACTCGATTCAATAATGGTTCAACCCTCAATAAGCATTACAAAGACAAGCATACGTGCCAAGTGGACAAGAATCCGTCTGGCGGTGCTCCTCCGACCGAGGCCCTCGCCGAAGCCAGCAGCATGTGCACCCAGGCCTCACTTCAGTGGCACAGCATCTTTCACCTTGATACCTCGCCGAGAGCTACAAAGCGCCCCAAGGATAACGACACAGACTGGGATAACCACCCCTCTCGGCACGAACCGAACATCACGACAGCACCTAGCCACCACCAGCAGCGACCGCATTCCCGGGGCTTAGAAAGTTGCCCGAGGAGTTGCGTAAGGGAATCTAGAAAGAAAACTTCAACGTGCAGCCCGACCCGCATCCAAATCATTTACGACGCGCTTTCCTGGCCGCAGGAGGCTAACTTCTCACACACAACCAATTTCACTACACTAACTTAGAGAACTCCCTATGCGCAACCGGACGGGCAATCGTCCAAGATACATGACACGCACTGCATAGGTTCCCTATCTATACCATACGCCTGACAAATGAAATACACGTGTCACTTACTACCAATCTACATCTAAGCAACATATGTCGATCGTCGGTGCCGAGGCATACTGAACGGATTGTCTCGCGGCCTCATACCTGGCAATACTACGGCCGGCACAGCTCCGTCTTTTTTCACGGCATCGTTCATCCAGTTTGTCGACGGCGGATACCAGAAGCTCTTGCTGTGAATCGCTGAGGTTTCTCTTCTGCTTTCCTGAATGGTTGGCTGAGTTGGCATCATAGTATAGCGTGCAGACAAGGTCAGCCCCACTGGGGGATCATACACGCATTCGGCATGCTGGATTTAGCCTTTGTCTGTCTTGTCTTGCCAATGTCGTACATAAAGATCGCCTGACCTGACTGCCTTGTCGCACGATTACGAACCATGCCGCCGTCCGGTCCCAAATTGAGTACATCCCAGCGACAGTGGTAAAGACGGGCGATAGCGAACGCGCTCGACACTGACAAGCGGTATGAGTTCGGGTTGCTGTCTGGAGGTGTGAAAGCAGATCCTTTCTACTCGCTCGTTCTGGTGCAGATATCCTGGCCCCGTCATGCTCACTGCAAGTTAACCGCATTATAAACCCACTCACCTTCCAAGTTCTAGACCTTTCGTCGAGTATAAGCTGCTTATTTCAGAATGGAAATACCTCCTGTCTCTGTGTTTTGTTCTTGTCGCGGAACAATATTGCAGGTGGGGGCTCCATCGCTAGATAGCGTAGTGCCCTGGCACCAATCACGATCCGTCAGCTGTCTTTTTCCGGCATTTCAGCGCCGGTGGGGAGGACCAGCCCAGTGGACCGCAGCGGGCCGGACCGCTAGGCGTTTACCTGTGCCATACAGCCTATGCTATTATTCCGCGGCACAGGCTCGGAGTTTACTAGCCGTTATGTCCGGACCAATGCCCCTATTCCCCTATTTAGAAACTTTCTCCGGTGGTTTAAGATAAAGCAAAGCGACGAGGTCGGTGAGGAGGGACCGGTGATCGGAAAGAACGAAAGCGGGTATACCATCCGACCCCCCGGACCGGCACACCCCCACTACCGGCACAGCCAAACCCCGCCACCACCACCAAAAGACCCCCCTACTCACTTACACGCATTTGAGGCTGTATAGGGTCGAAAAAATCAGCAAAATTATCATTCTGTGGTGTTTTGGCTGCTCAATCGACGTATCTAGCCGGCGCCCGGATTGACCCCCCAGATCTAGTCATCTGGGCTTCTGCAACAGGGGCTTCTACAGCCTCCTCAGCGTCCGCAACCTCCTTGTCCTCCTCCACCCCGTCTTCAACAACCTCCGACTCTGAAGAAGAAAAAGAAGACTCTACAGCAACCGGAACTAACGGATTACCACCCTGGGCTAGTATTTCTACCATTGTCATGAACTTTTTGTTGGGATTTAGTATCTTCTTCCTCTTCTTGGGCTGTAGCCACTCCAGTTCAGCCTCCAGGGCCCTGATCTTCTGGTCTTTTATGGCCAGCTCCGTCTCCTGGTTCTCAAAGGCATGGGAGATCTTCCGGAACTTCAGCCGAGTGGCTGGGGATCGGTTCTTCCCGAAATCCCGGATTTGCCGGCTCGTGGTAGGGGTCTGTTGGTCCTCCGGCTCCGAGTCTTCCTGTTCTTCCGGCTCGGGGGTCTTCCGCTTGTCTTCTTGGATTTCTGGATAGTCTAGACACTTTTTGTGGCTAATTGGGTAGCACCCCGTTACTCAGAAGCCCGAGCGGATGTTTTTTGGTGTAAACGCCATGTCCCTTGCCTTGCTATAACAGCGGATAAAGTTGATCTTGTTAACAGGAGAGGAATCAGTCAGAGAATTTAATTGGGTGAGGAATCTCTGGTAGTAGGACTTGAGGGCGTTATAGGGGCCGTTATCCAGTGGTTGCATTCCATGGCTGGTATGTGCTGGGAAAAAGCATAGCAAGATGTTGGCAAAATAACACCGTATCATAAATTCGTCCTCTCTACAGTCAGTTGCTGTTTAAATCGGAATAAATTAAATAACCAGTAAATAAAATAGAAAAAATTGGTGTACGTACGGAGGTATGGCTACCATTGCCATCTAGGATCAAAAGGACTGGTTCCCACTGCTTCTGGCCACGAATTTCATCTACTTGTGGTATGAAAACGTGCTCAAGCCACTGGCAGGCGATATCGTTACTGGTCCAGCCGTTTTCCGACGTTATATAGTACCAGTCGGCTATCTTCTGGAATTCCTCAAGGAACCACTGCGCTTGAAGATCTTTTCCCTTGAAAATCAAGCCTGGTTTGAGTACTCTACCAGTAGCTGAAATGGTCTCGATGAAAGATGTCCACGAGCGGCCCTGGGGGCTCTTTAGTAAAGCTTTCCTTGTCTCAGAACTTCCCAGAACTAGGGAATCGATGCCTATAAGGGTAGTTAGTTGACTGTGAGGGTAGGGGGCTCGAAAGAGTTACCAAAACCCAACATAATGCCGCCCTTATCGACATTATACGTATTTTCTGGCTTCACCCAGCCGTAGTCCTCCAAGATGTTGAAGAACCAGTTCACAGACTTAGGGGTAAACCCCTTAAACCGAGCGGATTCTATTCGCTTGCCGATTTTAGTCTGAATGGTAGGATTGCGTCGTTTAAAGCTGTCCATATAGTGGTTCCCAAGTGGTACGAAATCCCCCTTTCTTTTTAGGAGTTCTACCACAATTTCCCTGACGGCTGAGTGAGAAGGGGCAAGCCCCAAAGTCTCTTGGCGCAATATCCAGGCTGCTACCTTGCTTTCTTGCTCGGGAGAAATTCTCTGCTCGGTGGTGTGAGCCTCCGTTTTAGTCCCTCTCCCCCTTATGCGTGCTGACAGCGTGCTGGCCGGGACGCCGTATTTTTGGCTGGATTTTCTCACAGATATGCCATTATCTGTGACGTCTAGGTAGGCATCCACCACATCATCCTTTGTATACGTGGGCGGAGGCATCGTGGCTGGCTTCAGGATGCTGTGGTGCATGAGGGACAGGGGCTCACAGAGAGAATTCTATAGCAAATTTACATTTAAGGGCGGGGCACGGAGGCTGCTAAATGCCGATACCGATGGCCCAACAATTAAATAATCTATATTCCGCTAAACACCAAGAAAAGGGCTATCTAACCATCTAAAGAAAGTCTAGATACCCTCAAAAAGGGCTATAATCCGTGTAAGTGAGTAAGGGGACTTTTGGTGGTGATTGTGGGGTTTGGCTGTGCCGGTTGGGGGGGTGTGCCGGTTCGGGGGGTCGGATGGTATAGCGCCGCTATTAAGCTATTAAGCGTGGCAAGGCGCTGATAGGCCCTCGTCCGTGACTTCGCAGCCTGCATACCCTGGATCAATGGGCGCCCGCTGGTACCTTCTGGAGATCCACGCCAACTCCCTTCCGCCGTTATGACTATGCTGTGGAAGACCAATACCTACCCACCGCTTTTCAAAAATATATTCGGGCCTATAGCGCAAATATCGCTGCTCGAATCAGTACAGCTAACCGGTTGGCCGTGCCTAGTACTCAATACCCAGCGGAAAATGGTCATAAGTTCCAACGTTCTTCCACTAGTTACGAGGGCCGCAAGCATTTGAGTACTTCATCGACAGCTCTGGCTCGGCCTCGAACACGGAGCAAGTTGGACGGGGCTGCGTATAGATGTGGTCATGGTGTCCCTGTCGAGGCCGGACTTCGCTCGTTAAATGACCGTGGCCGGTTTTCAATTGCAATCACCGCACCTCATGACGCCGGGTATAATTTCTCCACTGAGTAGCGCGATTAAGCGCAGGCGACTTAGAAGCTGAGACCCTAGATCGCTTGTCGCTATTACAACTCCAGGCTTAGATCTACGCTCTTTGGGGTTTCATACTCGAAGACATCGTCAACCTGACATAAGAATTTAAGTTTTCGAAGCCAATAGAAAACGAGTCTTCTAGCAGTAAGGTCATCCATAACATAAACGATACAAACTCATCGTGCACATCATGTACATCCGCAATGCACCCGCCCATATCGCCAAGAGAGTCTACCTTGGTTCCGAGAGCGAGCTCTTCAGTCGCATTAGCTACGTTGTGGCGCAAGGCCAGTCGAGCTACGGGAGGCGTAGGACTGAACGTGCAATGCGGCAACGTGTTGGTCCGCTATGGTCTATGGTGGAAGGTCTCGTGGAAGGACCAAGCCACAGGGCAAACATACCGCCCCAAGCAGTTAAACAAAGCATTCGTATACGAGCTAGGAGCGAGGGACCGCGTGGTCAAACTCTACAAGTGCGAGCTCAGGATAACCAAAAACATGCCGAACGAACAAAACCAAACCATTTCACCAGAATAAACAAGGCCCGAGTCGGGAACCTATGTGCAGTATTTTGGTATCAATGACAGGGTGCTGGAAAGTTCAATGGACTGCGTCACGTATTTACCAACTAACTCACCCTCGACAAGCGCACCCATAATCCCCCCAACGTTACCTTCAGACCTTGTGCCGGCCAGTTTCTTCGGAAGTCAGGGACTCGCGTCGCTCCATTTCCTCGAGTTACTCAACTTTTCTGCTCTCCACGTTGCATCGAACCAGCTCCCCGGGCGATTATCAGGCCATCACAATCCGACGTCTCATAACACTGGTTTCTCAGGCTGGGGTTGCTTCCAAAGCCCGGCATTCCTCTAGTAGAAAGCAGAAAGCGCAAACTTGAGAATGCTCGTGAGTCATCTAAGCGACGTAACCGGCCGAGATGCCCGAATTGGGGAGTTTCTGCTTCGACAATCCCGTCTAAGAGAACGAGTCGATGGAGGAGTACTTTGAGCGCCTGATGGTTAGTATTTCCGCACTTACGCTCACACGCATATTGAGGTCTTACTTTTCCCAGTCTATCGCGTCAGAAGGTCGACAATGCACATTTGCACTTAGCGCGAATCTGGTAGGTTATACATGCCACATATCATTTATTCGATTCAGTGGATTATAACGACTACAGAAGAAGAGAAAGGCAGGGGCAAGATAACCGTCACCCTTAACCTCATCTTTCCTCCGCATCCACCGTTTCCAAATCCGACCAACTCACAACGATCCCATGACATGCTCTCCTCAAACTCACCAAAAAACCGACAAGTACATACCAACCCGGCTCCCATCGGGCGCGTCGGCAACCTTTTTTCGCCTCTACCTAGATAAATCGGTTCAGTAACCACGTCTTTTAATGCAGCACCTCGTCGTCAAACACCCTACGGTCTTCCATGCCTACTTACACGATACCCTCCGCGGACGGACTGTCGCCCGGCTCGGGGCCTATTGGTTTCGGCACACCAATATACGAAGGCCTTGATAATGGCTTACAGCAAGGCTTCAACACCATACCTACTCTCATGGTGCGATTACCAGTCGAAGTGCCGCCCAGTTCAGAGCCTGTGGCCTCTGCACATTAACGCCAGGCTCTGAAGAGCAGGTCATGGACACCTCAATGTGCTCCCTAAGTTACCGTCTCCTTGCACGATGTTTACTCTCTAGTACTCATGCTCATGCACGAACAGCCCGAGTACCAGTGGTATGCTAGCCGTGCAACTCGACCCAACAACATTGAGCTGTGGACCGTTCAGGTAAGCAAAAATCCCACGGTCTACTTACTGAACACTCACACCGATAGGATGGCCAAGTGACGCTCCCGCTCGGGGAATGCTTTTGCATATTTGCCATGGGAAGCGACGAACAATAACAATGCCAACCACGACGTTGTTATTTCGGTCGTGCGATCGTATCAGGCCATTACTAGCTGTCGTATCGGTAAATACCCAACGCCTCGACCATAGCGCCACAATTCCCACCGAGTTATAACTACAAACTCATAGTAGGGAAAATCCCAGGAACTGGCATGTGCGCCACTTGTCTGCAGTTTGCCCTTCGAGCTTACGGCCAGTCTCCCATGGTAGTGCTGCCGCGACTGCATTAACTGCTGCCGTCATGTCAAAGTCAAGTTCATCAGGATCCGACGACACGAGCACTTCCCGAGTCTCAAGTCCTCGCGATCTTACCCCTCTCATACTCTTTGGGTCGATCTCTTGACAACCCTGTCAGGAGATCCGACAGTATATGGACGAAGAGCTTGTTGACGATTTTGGGGAATAGGTGCCGGCGCGTAAATGGTCGATTCGGCTGCCGATTGGGTTGCTAGATAGATTCTCTAGCTGTTGCGGTATCTCGGCATTTTGCTAAAGGTCTATACATATAACTGAACCATCCGTCTGACTAGATTAGTTAGCTGCGAGGCTGGCGTTATGTATACAGCTTGAGATCCGATAGATAGCTGTTTTTGAAGGACCAGATGGATGACCTTAAAGTCATGCCACCGCAACAGCGGGGATAGGCTCGTAAGCGGATCTGACTGTACATATTATCTTAATATGTCCACAACCCTGCGATGCAGAGGCTCTGGGAGGCGTGGTTTCCACTACTGAGGAGCGATCCCCCACGTTAAATACAATCATCATCATCATTACCGACTTGCCTCAAGACCGTCACAACGAGACTAGATTTACGAGTATTCCGTGCGCTGACAGTGGCAGACATCCTGAATTACTTACACCATGAGCAAAGGAGACATACACAACACATTGCACTGTCGGGCTGCGGCACCCAATTCCAGCTCAACGAGAGCTATGTCACAGCTTTCGGCTGAGGCACCGAGCTTCAGGCTTCAGCTCAAGCTGTATATGATGATGATTGTATTTAACGTGGGGGATCGCTCCTCAGTAGTGCAAACCACGCCTCCCAGAGCCTCTGCATCGCAGGGTTGTGGAGGTATCAAGATAATAAGTACAGTCGGTCCCGCTCACGAGCCCATCCCCGTTGTTGCGGCTGTATGACTTTGGGGTCATCCATCTGGTCCTTCAAGAACAGCTATCTATCAGGGGCAGATTGATGAAAAGAACTTGCTCTTCTCAATAAATCTTGCTCATTCCGCACTCCTCTTCCCCAAGTATTATAAACAGGCTGTCCTAGGCGAGTACCTGGGCAGTAGTCGATTTTTCCCAAACCTCTCACAAAAAAAAAGGTGTTGTGGTGTTTTCTTCTCACCACAGTTGCAGTGATTATTCGAGTCTGTATGCCCAAAGCGTTCATGGTATCTGGCAAAGTCGCCATGTCCAGATCTGGCCGCTAGAAGTCTGTATAACATGCTCCTTTCAAAAGATATAAAGTCTTTTTTAGTTACTGTATATAAGTATACTTTTTGATACCTAGGTTCTGATTGGTCTTTCCACCATTGATCGAATTCTCTCTTGCTCTCTTTTTTGAGATCTCTCTTTACCCAAGAGATTGTAGGAAGGTTTGTTGTGTCCGTTTTTAGCATGGTACCCTCTTTTACTAGTATGTCAGCAGTTTCGTTGCCATCAATATCTCTGTGTCCAGGAATCCACTTGACGGTCACTCCAGGAGTGTGTACTGGAAAAGGCAGACTTCTTCAAGCAGAAGTAGTAGATGCTGAAGTCCATGGCGCTCTCCAAGGTCTCGCAGCAGCCAGGGCGATTGGACGCGGAAAACGGCTATATGTCTGCCTGAACAACATGTCAGTGGTAGATGGGCTCAATGGGACTCCACCCAAGACATCACAGATCATTTTTCTACGATTCCAAGAACTCGCCACAGCACACACTCCTGGAGTGACCGTCAAGTGGATTCCTGGACACAGAGATATTGATGGCAACGAAGCTTGTCACGGCGAGCATACTGAGGAGCTGGGACATGGCCGGCAGCAAGCAGCTATTACTCTATTGACAAGAATATCAAGACTAGAGAGGAAAGGAAGAGAGAGAGAGAGATAGGTACAGTGGGAGGTTGCCCCTTTAAGGGGATCCTCTGGTCAGATCCTTTCCCTATTGGGAAGTATCCGCTTGTCATGTGGGAAGGCTTGTGCAGGCTATCACAACATCAGAAAAAAAATTAAATTATTTACCTAATATTATATTTAGAAAACAAATGACTTAATAACTTAAAAAAACGCTTTAAAACGTTTATATAAAAAAGGTTCTTTAACTATTAATTCTATAAAAGTAAATGATTTACTTTTAATACTTAAAATAATAGTTAAATCTTACTTATTAATTGTTCAAGCGTTTTATTCGAAAAAATATAATATTGCGTTTTTAAAGGCTTTTTTGATTTACGCGTTGTTTTTACATTATTCAAAAAAGAACATTATGAATATATCATAATTATGTAATTGTTAACCATATTATATCATAAAGCTATAAGTATTATATAAATAATATAACACGTAGTTAATAACGTATATATATTCGTTTCAGATATTTGACTTAAATCGAATTCTTTTAAAGTAATAAACGCGATATTTAGTTTTAAATATATTATAATAAAATATCGATCTACAATCTTATTAATACATTTTTAAGTCCCGTTTTATAGTTTAATTAAGAATCAATAATAATCTTGTTAATATTATCAGAACATTGAAAAGCTTTATTTACGTTAATATTCTAGATTATTAATAAATCTTTCGATATATTTTTAAAAATATTTAAAAACTTTGTTAGTTATAAATTATTAATAAAATATATATATATATATTAAATCTTAGTTAAGAATTGCTCTTAATTTAAATTTAGCCGATTTTTAAGCTTTAATATAATAATTTTTATTTTTCTTCTTTTAATATATAAAACAGTGTTATTCACCAAAAAAAAAAAAAATTTTATTGCTTTTCAAAAAAAAAGAAATTTCAATGAAAATTTGAATTAAATTTATTTAATAAAATCAAGGGTATTATTTGAAGTTAACGTAGATCACAAGCGAGCGGTAATTACAAGCGAACGGCAACTTTTTACCAGCCATCTAACCTTTTTATGAAGGCTCCTAATTGATCAACCAAAAAGAATGGCATTGCGTTTTTGCGAATCAGACTTACGGCTTGCTGTCCAAGTTAAATGACGCGACCCTCATATTGCTATTGGCAAGTTTTCTAAGACTTTCCACGTCCCATATAATACCTTAAAGGCTAGAATTGCCGGCCGAACATCACAATGCGACAGCATGTCCAATACTTTGAAACTTACGGTTTCCGAAGAGAATGCCATTTGTTCTTTTATAATCAACCTGGATGCGTGAGCATTTCCTCCCCGGTACGTTTATGTTAAATATATAGCGAACCAATTATTAGCAGCACGTAGGGCTGGACGCATCAGAAAGAACTGGACGTGGAACTTCATTAAACGTACACCAGATTTTCAGACACGTTTTTATCAGAAGATAGATTACCAAAGGGTCTTAAATAAAGATTTAGACACGTATCACACCTGATTTTGCCAAGTTGCGGCAGCAATCGTGAAAAATGGTATCAAAGATGCGGATATTTATAACTTTAATGAGACTAGGTTTATGATAAGGATTATTGGGTCCGGTATGGTCATTATAAGCGCCAAAGATGTGACAGGCCTAGACAAGCTCAGCAAGGTAACAAGGAATGGTTTACAGCAATTTCTGTTATCAATGCTAATGGTTGGGTGGTCCCGCCATTCATTATTTTACAGGGCAAAACCCACCTTGCGTCATGATATTGCAACACGACATTACCACGCGATTGGAAGATGGCCGTGCCTGACAACGGATGGACTACAAATGAGATCGGTTTGAAATGGATTCAGCATTTCGACAAGTATACCAGATTGCGTATGACTGCTGGTAAACGCCTTCTTATCCGAGATGGTCACAAAAGTCACTATTCCCAGGTCTCTAAGAATTATTGTCAGAATAATAGCATCATTACTCTTTACATGCCTGCCCACTTGTCATACAGGCTCCAGCCTTTAGATATCATCTGTTTTAGCCCGCTCAAACAAGCTTACGGTCACATGATTAAGGATCTTATCCGGCGTCATATAACTCATGTTTCAAAGGAGGACTTCCTTAGTGTTTTGTGAAATATATAACGCTGCTATAGTGCTAGGCAACATTCGAGCAGGTTTCAGTGCGACTGGCCTTGTTCCTTTTGACTCGGAAAGTGTCATTTTGAAGCTGGATGCTGTCACTGTCGTACAAACACCATTGCCAGACCCTAATCTGCCACCCACTATTTAGGCTTTAAAGACACCTAGTACCATTAATAAAGTAGTAAACTAATTGGTTTATATCCAGAATAGAGTCAGAAACCACCAGGGAAGCTCACCTATATCAATAATTAATGCATTGAGCTCGTTTTTAAGGACTACATATGGTCTTATGTACAAAGTCGCTTTGGTCGGTTCCTGGGTCCACGAGTTAAAAAAGGCCAATCACTTACTAAATGAACGCCAAAAAATAAAAAAATAAAAATATAACAAAAAAGAAATACTTTTGATTAAAGATATAATAGGTCTTTAGGCTACAAAGGATAGTAATGAGCTGGTAAGACAGAAAATGAGTGAAGCAAGTCGTCGTCCGAGGAGGGCGGCAGCGCGTGAGCGATGTTGTGGCGTTTGTGCCAACACTGGCCATGATGCGCGAACTTGTACAATAGAGATAGAAACGTCTAAGGAAGAGGAATCCGATTGATTAGATTGTATTAAATGCGTTGTGATCGAGTTATTTAACATGTTGGTTAGAAGGTTGGCAAGAAGTTGCCGTTCGCTTGTCATCTACGTTATTAATAATTATTCATAAAATGTATATTAGAAATAACTTTGTAATCTGAATAAAAACAATAAGTTAATTGTATAAAAGTTGATTCGATCAAAAAGGGGATTTTCAAAATTCAAATATAGGTTTTTAAATATAAGTTATACGTGTATTTATTAACCATTAATACTCAAACTAATATAATTATTGATTACGGCTAAATAACCTTTAAAAATTAAAAGCATCAAAAAAGTTAAGGCGTAATTTTTAAACTTTAAAGTCGATATACTTTTAAGAAATCAAAATAATAATATTAATAAAATGTTTATATTAAACATTTTCATTCTTTATACTGAAAAATAGAAATTTGCGTTAAAATACCAATTTTTGTTGGATCCATGCGATTCCAGACTGCAAACCATCTATACCAAGACCCACATGTATGATTAGATAAGATAAGATAGTGGATTGAGAGGGCACTTGGCCAGACCTTCGAGTCCAGCTAGATTCCTCTCAATCCAACCATCAGCAACATCATGACCTTGACCCCATACTCGAGTATTATGATTGATCGTTCAAGCCTGTTCCAACAATTTTATTATTATCTGTTGAATTTTTTAAATTTTTAATTTTTAATATACGTTTAATTATTGATAAATCGTTGAATTTAGTCAAAAACACCTACTAATTTAAGCTTATAACTATTAAATAGCGTAATCAAAGTTTATTTCGTTAAAACCTGTTATATTTTAATAATCTTTAATAAATTATTAATATATAATGAATTTGCTATTAAAATGTTGTGATATATTAAAAGGCTTAGATGTCTTGTTAGTGCACTGCTACGTCCTTAAAGCCACTGTGGCGTGCGTGCCATTTAACAAAAAAAGAAAAAAACCAGGCCATAGTAAGGAAGAAGAGCCAGGTGGGAGGAACTTGTTCTTGGCCTCAGGGCCGCTGGTCGAACCTCCTGAGCGCAATACCCGGACGGGGAGCTGGGATGCTAGAGAAGCTTTGAGAGACTTTGTGCTAGAGGTTGACGGATTGGGCTTGTCTGAGTCTTTGTCGGTATAGCTATTTGAGCCAGAGTAGAACATAATGTCGCCCAGGTCTCTGTCGAGGTCATGATACTTGCTAGAGAGCACGATGGAGTAAGCGCCGCGAACGGTATTGCCAGAAATACCGCCCATCGACGTGCCATGTGGAGGAGGCGGTGGTTTGGATTGATATCTTAAACCGATCGTGATAAAAATCGGAGTGCGCAGTGAGAGATAGTCAATCAAAGTTCTGAAGACGAGCGCGGCCCTCCCCAGCTAGCACTTCAACAAGATGGACCTGAAGCTTAACCACGCCACCGAAGATGTCTCGTCCAATGAGTCGTACGAGGTGAGCTGAGGATTGGTGGTGTCAACAGGTCTTCCCTCGCTGAGGCTCAGGCCGGCAAGGTATTGCTGCATTATGTCGAAATCACGATGCACGTTCTGGCCTGTGATCGCCTCGAGGAATCGATGCGCAGCAAGCCTGCAAGATAGATTTGCAGCGACGTCGATGCCTAGACTGAGGGCAACCACACACCCTGTATCCCCTCCCCCTTTTCACAACCTCAAACCAATCTCCCATAAAACGATCCCCTTCTAAAAAGCCTCAAAAAACACTCAAGAGCCTTCCAACCGCAAGGAGGCTTCCTCCCACAAGGACGACTTCCTCCGCCTCGCCGCCTCCCAGTACCCAAAGAAACCACGACAAGCACAAATCCACGACAAGAGCTTCCCAATACCTCAACAAGAACTCGCGCCGCGTGGCCGAAGTTGGCGGTTGGGTCGACGTAACACGGGGGTATCGGAACCCATATTCGTAGTAGTCGTTAGGTGTTGTTGGTTGGAAGTGCGCGTCGTTCACGTAGAGCATGAACATGTGAAGCGAGTTGTAGGCGCCTCGGATTCAGACCTCGCCTTCCCACTCCACCCCATCCGAGTCCCAACGGCGAAACCTCGCAGCCCGTTTGCCTATATCCCCCCCCCTTCTTCCTCCTCTCCCCCATGGCTATCACTTGGATGATCTTGCCAGTGTGGTTGGCTGAGTTTTGATCACTAGAACGAAAGCTAACATGACCACCGACGGCACCGGGCACGACAAGGGGATCGATATGGGGACTGGGTCGTTCTTGTTGCTGTTTTGGGTAGACATGGTGATGATGACTTCGACGAGGGAGGCAAATACAAACTGCTTCTGCCGCCGCTACTGGTACCTCCACTCCAAAGCCTACCGGAGCAGCTAGACTAGAGCGCTCTTTTGCCACAGCAAACTCCACAGCAAGCAGTAACTCGAGGCGCTCTCTTCGACATCGCCAGACGTTGAGGCCTCACCAAAAAGGTCATCAACGATGCGGTTGAAACAAGGGCCTCACCAAAATCCATTGTGGGATCCGCAATCAGCCGCTCTAATATTGTGTCAATAAATACTCGGCCTCCCTCTCTACACCTCACCACCACCTCTTCTTTAACGCAATTATAGAACAAAAAACGCCAATCGTCTTGTAACCTGTGCATTGGTTGCATCATACCCTAACCTATTGCTTAGCGTGCTGCTGTGAAGCCCTTACCCTCAAAGGATGCCAAGACTGCAGTTCACGCCGGCGTCGCCGATGTTGAGGACGAGGATGAGGAAGATGACGATGTCGCCAATGCTCGCGAGCCGGACCCTGAGAGCCAGATTGATCTCACCTTGGACTCTGACAGCGAATCCGGGGGTGAAGGCGATCCCCCCTTCCACAACCTCCACAACCTCCAAAACATCGCACCTCCTTCCGCAGCCAAACCAAACCAAAACCACTGAGCCAAAGGCCCTGATGCTCTAATTTTCTTACACAACTTCGGCTTGTCTCCCTCGTACAACACTCGCATTGCCTCACGCGAGCTCTACATCTGCACTGGACTCTCCGTTAAGCATCAAGCCCAACTCCTCCTCCAATATGCACGATGCCACTCAGGTCTCAGCATCATACGATCTAAAGATCTAACCCTGAAAAGGCTCAAGGAGGCTCCCTCCCACTTGGTGGCTGGCCAACACTTTTTTTGGTCGTCCGAGCCGACTTCGACAACCCGCAGGTGGCGGCTTCCACCAACCCCTCAGCCTACGGCTACCATCAGGCTGGTTAACACTACTCTCTAGTGGCTAGTCATTCACATAAGCACTTAGAATAAGCCCTTCTACTATGTCCCATAATCAACACAACCACCTTGGCTCCTTCGTTCTCCTCTCTTCCCTGTCGCTACGCTCCGCGTTTTTCCGGGGCAAGGTCACCACTGTGTGGTGGCCGAGGCGAAGGAGGCTGCGTCGTTTCCACGAGGACGACTTTCTAGGCTTCTCCCTCCCCGCCTCCCAGTACCTAAAGAAACCACTGGAAGAGCTTCTCAATACCTCGACAAGAAGACCGATAAGAAGGCCGACAAGAAGACGTACCCGCCTTGACGAGGAAGGCAACCACAAGCCTTGATCCACCCCCTAACCCCCTTTCCACAACCACCCAGGAATCGCACCTCTTAAAAACTTACCTCCTAAAAGTGCTCCTCCTAAAAATGCTCCTTTAAAAAATGTTCTTTCAAAAAATGCTCCTCCTGAAAATGCTCCTCCTGAAAATGCTCTTCCTGAAAATGCTCTTCCTGAAAATGCTCTTCCTGAAATTGCACCTCCTTAAAACCCTCAGAAAGTCTTCCTCACAAGAACAACCCCCTCCACCTCTCCACCTCTCCGTTTCTCCGCCCCTCCGCCTCCGCTCCAATCCCAAAGCCCCAGATGATCTAATCCAACCCCAGCCCCACGCTCTCACGAGAGACAACCCCCCCCTCCCCCCTTCTCGACCTCAGACTGTGGGCATGCTCAAGCATCTGACCCACACCAACCAACACACCAACCAACACGCCAACCAACCAAAACACCACAGCAGTTAATGCCCCAGTCATCTTTCAAATCGCCCGCGACTTCTGAAACAACCCTCCTCCACCCTCTCCGCCGCAACCATGGATAAGGACGACCACGGTATACCGCCTCCAGGGGGCCAATTAACACATTCGTACGTAAAGAAAGAAAAGCAGGCACGAAAAACCGCGGAGCGGTCCACCCGCCGTGCCAGGGTGCACGGGACAAAGGAAGCAAATTTATCTGCAGCCATAGCAGCCATGGCAGCCATAGCAGACCTCCACGGCAGACTTCCACGGCAGAGGCGAAGGACACATGTGGAACAGGCGGACGATCCGGGGCACCCTTCCGCATACCCCAACCCTAATACGACGGATGGCGTATGTCCAGAGATAGACCTACCCGTAGCCACCGACGACGTGATCAAAGAGCCCGTGCCGGGAAACCACCCCCTACGAACCACCTCAACGAATCGAACAACGGGGCGCCGCACCAAAGAAACCATCCGGACTACAACGGCCTCTCTCTGTTCTCATTAAAGTGCATTCCTCCCTCGACGATGAGCACCCAATTCGAGTAACCGCGCACGACCTGGCTTACGCTCGCTTAACTCGAGAACGCAAAGAAGGACCGTACCCGAAACATTACATGCCTACATAACAATGACCAAACCGGTCTTAGTCAACGGAAACAGACATCACCATGCAAGATCTTCAAGAGAAGCAAGGTCATCAGAATGTGATTAATTGTAGCGGCGGCTATCCGGCGAAGCAAGGTTCACCCCTATAGCTATCCATCGCCCCAGACTTCGTCGAACCCCAGGAATCGGGTTTCGACTAAGTAACTCGCCGCACGGATCATATGTGCAGGAGTAGCTACATGTGCGTCTCACTGCATTTGCTGATAGCTACCAGAGGCCACTCCGGCGTGACCTGGTGGTGTTGGCGAATTAGAGCCTTGGGACGACTGAGTTCCCTGCTGAAGCCCATTTTGCTGGTCATGGGGCTGCGGCGGCTCGACGCCCTGATAAAGATGAACTGTCGTGTCGTGATGACCTTCTTGAGGGAACCGGCGTGCTCGACTTGAGCCGTGGAATCGGTGGGCGCCATGGGAGCTGTTTTGATTGGCGCCATGGGAGCTCTGGTGTCGACTGACGTTTCCGCTTTATTGTCGGCGGACGCGTTTCTCGCTCGTCTGGCGGCGGCGGGGACCGCGTACCGCCGGCCGTTGTATGGCAGCGACGGCGACCCGTTGGAGGATCTGGAGTGGTCCATGGTTGTGCAGTAAGCGGGATGGTGGCGTTGGCGAGGTGTAGGGTGGGGAGGACGGCGGGTAGCCTGTTGTCCGCGACGAGTGCTGTGATGCGGTGTCGAACTCAGGGGTGCGTCTTAGTGTTTGGGATGATTGCGGGTCGGACTGATCACCTGCATCCGTGGCGGCGGCGACCACGTGCGACCCGTTGGGGGATCTTAAGTGATCCATGGTATACGATATACGACCTTGGGTGAGTATCTTGGTAGGTCAGTGTCTGTTGGGTAGGTGGGTGTACGATTTTTTGGATGAGTATCTGGGAGGGTGATAGGGTGGACATACGGGTTTGGGTGAGTATCTGGTAGGTGGATGGACAATGTGTGCGTCGTGATATTCGCACGCGATGTTCAAGGCAGGCTGCTCGAAACTCTCTGGGCTGGTATGAGCGGGTACGAGAGCTGCTGTGCTGTGTTGTGCTGATGGCGCATCCATCAGTCTCCCAATATCCTCCATTGCGATCGGGCCCCAGCCGCACTCAGCGATGTGCCCCACCAGGGCCTGGTAGGTCGTGAAGGATCCGGCGGGGATCTGGGTGTCTTCCGGTTAGTGGTGCAATGTCTTGGAAAAGGAGGATGTGGTTGCTTGGAGATGCAATAATCTCCTTGTGTCTGCGAGCAACGACTCCGCCCATGGACTTACTAACCTGCGTCGTGAGCAATGGCACCATCTTGCACTCCCCTGAGAGGTTCAAATGGGCGCGGTGTCGGGTAGCCCGTCTATCGGGGGGTGCTGGGTAGCGTAGCGACCACGCGATAGTTCGCCGCGATATCTGTCGCAGTACAGTGGAGCAGGCGAGTGATACGCATGGCGTCGTCCTGATATCTAATTCCATTTCCTTCACCAGACTGCTCAAGGCAGGGAAGTCCAACAGAGCTCTGTACGAGTCGCGAGCGGACCTGGCGTCGGAGCATATCTAGTATCGGGCGGAGAGTGCGGTAGCGGTAGCGGTAGGTATGGGCGTTGCGTGTCCGCTGGTCCTCGCGCCGAAGTACTAACCCTGTGAGTTCCGATTGCTTGGTATAATACGCCCCGAGGGTGTTTATGCATGTTCGGGTCGGCGAGGGTTTGATAGGAGGGCCGGGAGTATGGGGCGTAACGCCGGGAGCAGGAGAAATATTTAACTACTTGCTTAGAATGTCTGGCCGGGATCGGAGACGCCGTGTTCTTCCTTGTGAGCCAACACCGTGGCGGCGGACCCGGTCAGCCTTCTTCGGCGCGGGCGCCGGCACAGACACTCGCACCAAAATTGCGGGCAGGGCAATGCCTGTAGCGCTTCGAGGTCGCAACCGCTGAGTAAAGAATGGCGAGGAAGAGCGGCGAGGAAGAGCGGCGAGGAAGAATGGCGAGTCGGTCGCGGGTCCACCATAGGGCCAACGGTATGGACAGTAGCAGTTGTGGAAGTTGCCGGTAGATGTGAGCGCAGCTTCTCGGTGGCTTCCTCGAGACTTGCTTCTGTCGAGCGGCTTACGGGGAGGTCAATGGTATAATCAGTACGAGGTGGTGAAGGTGCCGTTCCAGGAGACAGCGCGGGGCCACTGTCGATGGTACTGTCCGTTAAAATCCGCACGCGCTTGAATGATGGTATTTTAGCCGGTAGACTTGAAGCTCGGCGCTTCCTTTGGTATTGGCCGGCTTGAGGGCTAGAGACGACTGACAGGCTGTCTGCTTGGCCGCCTTCCTAGCCTGTCTCGCGTCTTGCTTTCTAGCGGCGGCAGTTGGGAGATGCTTCACGACCGCCCCCATCGACTTGTAGCTCCCTAGAGATCCCAAAGGAAATGATTCCACTTCCCTCTCTTAGGAAGGCTGACCGGCGCAGCGTGAAGTGCCTTGGTGGTAACAAGGAGTGCGTCGAGAGGCCGGGCGGCGGAGTCGACGAGAGGGATGGGCTCCGCGAGGGCGGCGAATACGGGGTCGGCTACGCGACAGGATACTACCTCATCGAGTACCGCGGGTGTTAGAGGTACTCGCCAGGCTCGCCCTGGGGTGAAGGTGGATGCCCCAGCCCGAGGCTGTCGCCAGGCTTGCCCTGGGGTGGAGGTGGTTACCGGCTTTTCGTCGGGTTGGAGATTGGTGCGTTAGTCCGAAGCTGTGGCATAGCTCCAGACGAGCTGCCATAGCGTGCCGCAGCCCAACGAGACGGCGGGGTGTATACAGGCATGGTGTGTGTAATTCAGGATGATTGCCTCTGCTAGCGCTCAGGATACTTGTAAGTCTACTCTCTTTCTATAACGGTTCTGAGACGAGCGACGGAGGGCCGAGAGAAGACGCCGCCACGAGGACGTAGCAGCGCCGGCGCGAGAAGTCAGCCGAACCGACGTCGACTTCTGGTGCCTCTGGGGTGCCGGCGAGGACTGCGAGTACGAGGGGCGTGCTTCCTACAACTTTTCCGCTTGATCCATTCTGTGTGTCGAACCTCCCGGCGAGTTACTGAGCGGGTTCGTATGGGTGTTGGCGAGACCCCTGACCTTCGTTGGCTTGCTCAAATCGGGGGATGGAAGCCAAGTCCAGCTTGTCGTCCTCCTCTTTCTGGATGGACGGGATAGTCGGGATGGAGGCCACGTCTAGCTTGTCGTCTTCTTCTTTCTTGAAGAACGGCATGGTGGTGGTGAAATCATCGAAGAACGGTGCCAGTCTGCTATTGATGTTCCGCTCCCGCAACCTGAAGGCTTGCTGGCAAGACATCTCTCGTATGTAGTAGCCTGACCAAGCGGGCTCGGATCGGCTCGAACCTATTGGGGTCAAGGATGTCGGTCAAGCAAATCGGGGGTTCTGTATGCCGACGGGCGTCCTTCAGGGACAGTCGCCGTGTCCCAGTTTCTTGATTTCCTTTCTTTCAAGCAAGGAGGGCAAGTAGAGCAAGTAGAGCAAGGAGAGCAAGGAGAGCAAGCGCTGCGACGGTGTGGCGGGATGTAAATGTCTTCTCTAGGGATATTTAAGTAATTGAGTATGAGTGTCTCTGTTAGCGCTCGGAATACACGTAAGTCTAGTCTCTCAGACTTTGGTGGATTGGAGTTTGGCCGTACCGATACACCATGAGTCCAGGCGGAGGAGGTTGAAGATTGGCGCGGAGCGGCAGCACGAAAAACTGAAGAAGTCATGTCGAAAAGTAGGGACGCCTGTGATATTGAGCATGGCCACCGGGCTTCTCCGTTGACATAAAGTCTTTCTCGATGTAGATGTGGTCGAATGATTTGCCTTGGTCAATCATCTCCACGAGCGAAAACACGGATCTGCATATCGTGGTCGATGCCTTGGCCCATCGGGATGATTACGCCGGTCGTTTCCGCAAGATACTGGGTCCAGACTAGGTCGTCGCCATCGTCGATAGCGACGTTGTCGGTGCTGTCCTCTTTTTGCTCATCGACGTTCTATTAGTCGGCGTTCGGTTGGTCGGATTCTTCTTGCATAGAGTCCCAGTCGTCGACAAGCTCTTCTATAGAGCTCCAGTTGTCGGTAAGAGAGAAGCCCGGCCGGGGCAGTCCAGCGCGTCTCAGCCGGCCGTGGTGTGGTAGCGGCTTTTCAACGTCTTCGTGGTCAGACCCTCCAAGGTGGTCGTTGTCATAGACGATAGGCTCATTGTCACGGGAATGGTCAATCATCTCGACGAGCAAAAACACAGATCTCAAAAACCAGCGTCCCAGGACGTATACGTTCTCTCTGGGACGTCACTCAACGTATGGTCAAGAGCTCCATGATGAACAAAACAAGATGCCGAGAAGGCTGTGTTGGACACCGGTCCTGGTGTAGGTTGGAGAGTCAAGGGCTACTCCGGCAACATGAAGTGGTTCGGAGCGCCCCCGCGCAGTTTTATAAGACTATTTTGGCGCCGGCCGTGTGGTAGCTAAGGTTACTATCGGGCGGGACTATGTTAGACGAGTAGACCTTGCCGACTTTGCGGATGCTGCCGAGTAGCATTTTGATGTTGTAGGTTGGCGGCAGGCCCGAGACGAAGCGGGATACGTTCTGGTTTGAGGGGATGTCGGCGCATTGGTTCTCGGGTGTGTTCGGGTTTCCTCGGTAGTTGCTTGTCGGGGGTTATATCACGGCTTGGGTCTGGCTTTGACTGGCGGTTAGACCTTGAATGGGGAAGGTAGAAAGACCTTGACTAGGAAAGGGACCTTGACTGGCGGACAGACCTGGGCCCTCGCCAAGGTGCTCGCGATTGACGGATTGTTACTCTTGTCGGTGTCGCTGCTGCTGCTCCTGTCGTCTATGTCAGGAATGAATGGTTTGTATTGGAAGATGGATAAGCATACTTAGCTGTTGGGGGTGCTAGCCTGAATTTCCGTGGTAGCATCTCGCGCATTCGATGAATTGCCTGCCGTGAGCTCGTTCATCGAGTTGTTCGCCGCGGCCAGGCCCCAGGGAGGGCCATCGCCCTACGGCTTGTAGTTGAAATAGCATTCAGCAATATTCAAGTGTACCTTCTTCCAGCAGTAAGCCCTTGTATAGCCGCCGTCAACGGCATAAAGGCACTGCTGGCAGGCCTGCCAGCAGTGGAGAGAATTACTCCAAGCATATCTCTGTAACGTGAAGGCATACCAGCCGATGTCGGTACTGCTGCTAACAACAAGAGTGCTGCTGTCGCTGTCGAACGGGTCGTCCTGGCATCCATCCCACAAATGCCGTCCCTCGTGAAGAAAAAAGAGGATGACCACGTCGAATTGAACTCCATCCCCCGGGCTGAGCAGGCCAAACAGGGTCAGAGTTCCAGCCAACACCCATACGGAACCTGCTCTGTAACTCGCCGAGAGGCACATAAACGAAACATCGCCTTCGCTTGGCGTCTCATAATAATAAAGCGATCCGTTATTAGATTGACTGCTGCCGGTGCCATCGACAATAGGCCTATTATTGAACACACGAAAATGGTCAGTCAGCTGGAGGCGAGGGAGTACGCTAGAAGCCTCGTTGATGCTGTCCCAGCCGATTTGCCCTTCGTACGGAAAAAAAGTGAAGTGGCTGTACAGGTGGTGGTTGGGTCCCGGCCGTAACGACGCCACAGATAGCCACGCAAGGGTATCTCGAGACGATGGTGCTGGTTGATTACCTCCTGATTCACTCAGAGTCCTCTTAAATTTCCATGATGTCTTTTGTGATGTCCTGCTGAGTAGTTTCGAAGTTCCTATTCATTGCCGCAAGGTGTTGCACGAGCCCGTTCTGGAGAGGTAGGTCACCTTGACGAGCTCCACAGTTGCTCGTGTCATTCTCTCCATACTCTCTGCTGGGCACTGACGGCCGCCCTCTAGGTATAGGTGGTCGTTTCCGTTGTTGGGCTTCTCGGACCCGTCGACGGCGCGGAAATCCTGGACCTTCTTGTGACGGTGGCAGGGTTGCTTCCAGGGCGGCAGGTTGTTATTTGAAGAGCTCGAGCTGTACGCTGAGATTGTGGTGATGTCTCGTTGAGCGGCTTGGGAGCCGCCATCCTCCGTCAGATTAAGCAGATTTTGAATCAAGTCCGAGCGTTAAGCCCCGCAGGTAGACGTAGCCCAGCGAGACGTTATGGTGATGGATGGCGATGCACCTCCCGTTCTGCGTCGTAATGAAAAAGTCGGCATTACGTCCGGCGTGGTAGATGAACTGATTAGTGTACGTGTCGAAGATCATCAGCAGCTGACCTGCCCGTCGGTAGAGCTCGATGATGCGGCTCGGTCGGGGTGGCGGTTGTGGGACGGGGGCTCCTCGCACGCGGAAGCGGATGCGGCGATGTCTCCCTATGTCGGCTGGGGCTTCTGCGTAAGCTTGCGCCCTGTTGAGGCATTCTAGGTCGTGGGTTGCTGCGTCTAGGCCGTTGTTATAAGCCTAGTAGTTGTGCGATCTGGCTGCCATCACTGGCAGGTTTGCTACCGCCATCACGCCGTCGGCCAAGCTGAAGACGGACAGCAAGCGGCTCTCCCGGTCCTTCAAGAAAAACTTGTCCAAGCAGCGGCAGGCGCGCTTCTTGAACTTGCTATGCTCTCCGAAACCGAGAACAACGGTAAGAAACGCAACTAATCCACACACGATTTGCTCCCAGTCTTCTTTAATCCATGATTGTCCGTTTGCCGGTCGATATAAGCGCAGCGTCTCGATAGCGTTTTCGAAATTTGCCTTTAAAAAGCGGCCTACGTAAAGGCCATCGGTAAAAACAGTACCAGGTATAAAAGGTAGCGTTTTAGGCGAAATCGCGAAGTTACTGCCGACGGTACTGTCTGTTAAAGTCCGCATGGGCGGCGCGAGCCTCGGCCGTAAGCGGCGACGCGAGGGCCACTACCTAATCCAAAGGCGGCTTCTTGGGCCTGTACTGCGACATGCGGCCTGTGCGGACGGAGGATGCCGACAAGCCGGGCGTCGGCGGCAAGCTGAGCGGCGAGGGGATCGAGGAGGAAGTCGAGGCGCGCGGGTATGCCGTCGAGGAGGAGCCTTCGGAGGGCGTGAGGAAAGACGAACTCGTTTCGAACAGGGAGAGAACCTCACGACCTCCAGAGTTGCTCCACGAGCTCGCGCGGGGAGAGAATACCCATAGCGACGAGCCATGGAAGTCTGCAGCGTCGTCCGCACCTAGTGCCGACTCGATGTCCAAAGGTCGAGCTCCGGCATCGGGAGACTAGCTCAGCCAGCATCGTTTCCCAGGACACACAGCAACGTAGCAGCAACTACCACCCCGACCAACGAGTCAACCACCACGGCAGCATCATCCACCAACAGGGCAGCACCAACCACAGCCGAGGCATCCACCGGGAAGCCACAGCTCTGGAGCGCCATCGTTGCCCAAAAGCCCGTCTCCTTACCAGTGCAGCCAAAGCCAGTCACAGCAGTGCCCAAGCAACGAGCACCACTTTCGGCTCTGAGAAAGAACGGATACGGCCTCGACGTCGAGGAGGTTTTCGTCGTCGTCGTCGTCGGGGATGGCGACGGTGCTGGGGAAAGAGGGAACCATGGCGTCCTCCATGATCTCGGCGTCTGCAGTGTCGTCGGCGAGACCCACGAACTCGTCCGGGGAGAGAACACCCATGGCGACGAGCCCATGGAAGTTTACAACGTCGTTATCGTCGTGCTCGCGCTTGCGGCTTGGGACAGTAGAGTTCTTGGCGGATGGCGAGCTGCGGATGCCCGTCTTGTCCATGGTGGTGGTTATGGTGGTCGTGCCATTCTCTCCATCCTCTTTGCTGTCTCGTTTGCATCAGCAACAAGACCAGCTGCAGCTTCAGCGTAACCAACCCTGGTCACGACTACCCGCCCGATGAGAAGCGGGACGCGAAGGAAAAATCGAAGAATCCAGGGCGGCAGGTAGTTGTTTGAAGAGCTCGAGCTGTACGCTGAGATTGTGGTGACGTGGCAGTAGCTGCCGTCTGCAGACACGCCAAGAATGAGGACCGGGTGGTTTAGGGGCCCCGACATGTGGCGGGTCTGGGTCAGCTCATTTTTGTCCTCCGGGTTGATGTGTTGCGTGCGGTGCGCGCCGTTCTCGATGAACAGGCCCTGGTCGACTTTGCCTACATATACGCAGTCCCCAGTCTAGGCGCGGATGGATGGCAAGGTACCGGGTGGACGGGGCCGACAATGAGGTGCCGGCTTGCGTAGGGGTCGGCTGTGGGGTTGAGTTGCCCTTCCCTTCGCGTGTTCGTTTGTCTTTCACGTCGCGGTCGCAATCCCTGTTATACTTAACGCAATTCTTGCATTTGGTGCTGCTGCCTTCCTGGCCATCGCATTTCACGTGACGATCGCGGCATGTCTTGCACGAGAACTTGCGGATGGGTCCTCGCTTCTTGGTGGGAGGCGGCTGCTCTGCCCCGGACGACGCCGGGCGCTTCTTCCCTCGTCCTCGTTTTCTTGCCGGTGCTGCCGCTGGCGCCGACTCGTCAACGACGATAGTGAAGCGCTGATGATGACTATCACAACAGACAAATCCTCTCCCAGCGCCGTGCGAACCTCCTCGTATACCAGGCCTGTGAAGTAGAAACCTGGCCAGTGGATCTGGAAGCCCGTGACGGAAGTCTTCTTCTCGCCGTTGCCATACTGCTGGAGCCACATGCAGGCGGTGACGTAGTCCCTGCTGTTGATGTAGACGTTTGAGTAAAACCACGGAACGCCGGCAGGCTTCGCTAGTCGCCGACCCACGCCCATTACCGTGGCTGGTGGGCGTCTGTTGCACGCCGTTGACTCCATTCGTCGGGACAGTTCCTTGACTTGTGTCATGGACGCTGTCATTGCTCATCACAAGGGCCTGGTGTGGCGATTCTACGGCTTCAGCTACGCTTGTGTATTGAGGTGCCGGACTGGAGACGTCGCTGAGGTGCGAAACTTCGTTGGCGTACGGAGGAGACGATGCGGCTGTCGATGCTGTCAGCTCTAGGCTGGTGTCCTCTTGGTCACGTGCGTGAGGCGAGGCGGCCTACTGCTGGTGGGCAATGGTGTGGATGGTGATCCTTGGTTGGCCGGGGAGGGTCTCGAACATTCGAGATTGGAAATTGAACATTGGGATACATGATGGTTGATTTCGTCAGTAATTCTAGAGAGTGTTCGTAATGGTGGTAGTGTTTGTGGATGTTAATTGTAGAGCAGCCTTCCTTCTCGCGCTCTTCATTAGGCGGGTAGTCGATACCCAGGCTGGTCGCGCTGAAGCTGCAGCTGGTCTTGTTGCTGATACAATGGCCGCACTTGAACTTTTTGGGATCTTGGGCGATTCGGTACTCTCAGGACTTGCTACTGTAGCGGTCGCAAGGCTGAGTCGCTTTGCAGCCTTCCTCGTCGCTGTTCAGCCTGTTTCCGTTCCCCCTCTCTCCGCCGACGTCTTGGCCAAAACGTCCTCGCTCCCTTGACGGCCTTGCTCTTGCCGCCTCGAATATGTCCATGATCCTCTTGCTGTGCTCGCCGATCTTCAAGTCTGCCTCGTCGGCTTTGCACCATGTATCTCGCACCCTGTCGTAGTTGTCTGGCAGAGGTCGTGTTCTCATCTTGGCAATGATTTCCTTAGCTTTGGACTCGTCGTCCTCCACTATGGTACCGGACCCACGAGAGTCCGTCCGGAATGGCCTTGTTGGTGCACTGCCACCTCCCTGAACGCCACGGTGGCTTGCGTGCCATACCGAGCCCGGTTCTCCACAGGCATCGAGATTGAACCGATCGAGATATTCGCCGAGATACGTTTTTTGCTCTTCTCGGCCCGAAGCCAACTAGGAAAATCCGCGCGTACTGGACCTTGGGGACCAAAGGCAGGATCGCCACATATGGAGTGAACTCGGGAACGGCATGCCGCTCCGAGAGTTCGGGCTCAGGCTTGATGAGACCAGCCCGGCGCGGATTCGGGGGCGGAGTCGGGAGCCTGGCAGTCCATTCGTGTTGATTTCCTTTTCGAGGATCAAGAAAATGCCGTTAGTGCAATCCCGAGCCTCCATGGGCCAATCAATAATGCTGTTGCGGTACTTTCTCAGCGTCGACATAAGCTGAAACTCGGTGACATATCTCGTCATCATCGGTCACCGGGTCGGAATCTTCAAACATCGACACCATTCTCAAGCTTGCCTTGTATCTGAGCTTGGCGACGAGCAGGTGATAGTGTTCATTGTCACGTATTTTCCCCGCAAGAGGGTCTCTCTTGTCGAGTCCGCGCCACAGCTCATATGAGAAGATCTCGAGATGGGTCAAAGCATCGGTATCCATTTACCTCATCGAAATCCGGCGCTTGGAGGTTTGGATGTTGGCTAGCCGTACTGGACACGAGAGCCTGATATCCTCGCATTCGACGGACCAGAATTGGAGCCCGGTGCTCTCGAAGGCTGCGCGCATGCGGTTTCCTTGGGTCGTTTTGCTGAACTCTATGACGTGGTCCCTCATCCGCTCGAGCATCTTACGAGCGTCGATGCATTTGTAAGTCTTTCGGCTGCTTTCGAATATAGTGTCCCTGACCGCGATAATCTCGTCTTGTGCTTCCTTAAGCAACACGAGGCAAATATCGATGGCCTGTCTCGTGCAATTTCCGCTCTCGGAAGCTTCGATGTCCCGCGACCAGATTTGGTAGCCAAGCATGGAATAGATGTTGTTACTGCCGGATACTGCATAGCAAGCGCCCTGAGCTCGTCGGAATTTGCCTCCATAGTTGTTGGTCGTTTGGGGGGCCGCCATATGCCGTCGCGTTTGCCGGCGCTTGCGTAGTCCTCCCGTCCGATGCCACAGCTGAAAGTTTCGGGAAGAAACGACCGGAACGAAGAGTTGGAGCTCGGTGAACTGAGGGAAGTCCACAATCACCGATACACCGGGGAAGGCCAGTCTTGATGAGAGATCATCGTGACACCGTCCGGCAGAAGCGTCTCGTCGATTATCATTTCGTCGGTCGTCTCTTTGTCGGTCATCTCTTCGTCGTCGGTCTCTTGGTCGGTGCGCGGACCGGGACGCTGGCTGCCCTTCCTCCGATACCTTGCCAAATGAATCGAGCGGGTTGGAGTTGACTGGTAGCAGGTGGGCAGGTGGGCAGGTTGGGGGCGCGAGGGTGAAAGAGGCTGGTAGGACTTCTCGGTCTCGCGTTTTGATTCTTTGCAGACGAGGAAGATCGGGGGGCAGGGCGCGCGGGCGATGTACATGGATGTTTTTGGCGGCGATCGCATGTGTACGACCCGGTCCTGGGCGTGGACGGCGGCGCGCCAGATCATGTACTGGAAACGTCAACCACTGAGTTCTCCGGAGGAGGCTTCACTGGGTTCCCAAGAGGCTTCATTGGATCCTGCCGAGGCTTCATTGGTGGTAATAGTACCTGATGAATCTTCGGAGGAGGACATGTATGTCGTCAAGCAGCGTTGTGCACTCCATCTCTGCCTTGTTCATGTTGTCAAGGAATGCATGATAGGGAAATGCCGATAGGAATGGATAATGGCGAGAGAAGCAAGTAAGGATACCTCATCGGGATCGGAGCTGGCAGACACGCGAAAAGAGGTCTCTGCTGGTCAGGAGATAATAGTGGTAGTGAGGCGATGGCACATAATGAGGTCGTGGTATATCATAAGCTCTGGGCGTACGAACGTGTGGCAGGGTGGCCGGTCAACCCACTGCACCTTGAACTGGAAACCTCCTCTCGAGCTTCTTCTCGTGGTCGTGAGCACTGCTCGATGGTTGTTTGTGGATCCCCAGGATTGGCAGCCTCTTGTGGGCTTTGGTTGGTGTTGTTGTTGGCGGCTTTGGCTAGGCAGCTTGTTACGCTGCTGGCAGTAAGTCTTGTTGCCTCTCTCCATTTGCTATGGACCGACGAGGGCAGCAGGTATTCTACCGGATCAGTATCATCGTTTTCGAAAGTTTCGCCGTCATAGAGAGAGTAGTGGTCACGAGAGTCGCTTCCCGGCACGCCCGCACGGTAGTAGCGGTTGACGTTGGCGCGGTTTACGCGGATAAGTCTTGCCAGCCGTCGCTAATCTTTCCGGTACATGGCTTGTGTTTATGTTAGCATGTCGTTCTCGAACCCGAAGGGACGTATTTCCGCGACAGGACAACAGGGAAGTCCATTCGAGAAAACATTGCTCCCATAAGGTCTTGGACAGGGGATTCAGAGAGACATGCCCAGGGCTTGGGGCAGGCGATGCAGTACAAGCAAGGTTAGGTCCGCGAGACTTTGTTGTGTCATACGCAGAGCGTTCCGGGTTTTCTTCCATATCTTGAGGGCCGTCGAGGGTCCTAGATAGGTTCGCTGAATGTATACCCACGACGCCTTAGGTTTGGGGCACTGACGGCCGCCCTCTAGGTGCAGGTGGTCGTATCCATTATTGGGCTTCTCGGACCCGTAGACGGCTCAAGATCCAGAACACGTGATATGTCTCAGGCGGAGGGGATTGTGGCGTGGGATCGCGGGTTGACTTGTCGTTCGGAAACGACGGAGGCGGAATGTGGAGGATGGAGCTGATTGGAATTCATCTTCACCGATGCTCGAAAACACTCCGGCGGAGACGGGTTCAACGACGAACCCTGCCTCATAACGTGCTCACATCTCGCGGCATCCCACTACAGTTCTCAAGAACTCGTATTTGTACAGTTGAGCCAAGGTCGACTCGTGCACCATGAACTCCGGGTGGTATGGCCGTGTGCATGGATTGGTGCGTGCCTGGATGTAAAGGGGCAGCACAGTCGGGGCGAAAGATGGAATCTGAATGGGCGCAGCTTGCTTAACTTCGTCCAGCGCATTCAGGCGGTCTGCGGCTTCGGGAACCTCATCCTTGATTCGCTGTGCGATCGAGCCTTCCGGTGCGATGTCGACCTTGCCAATCACAGTGTCGTCCTCACCGAGTAGGTTGCCCTCGCCGTCAATGCCTCTGACCTCCTTGCCTACGAGGTCCTGGATGTCTTGGCCTTTGGCCGAGAACCTTGCCGCTTGGTGGTAGCAGCGTCGCTCTGCATCTGCAAGCACTGGCCGAGGTTGCTGGCCAAGTCATGGTTTCTTCTGTGTTGAGTTCAAGAAGAGACGGCCTAAGAAACTACAACTCCGCGACGAAAATTTGCGGATGCGGATGCGGCGATGTCTTCCTATGTCGGCCAGGGCTGGTGCGTAAGCTTGTGCCATGTTAAGGCGTTCTAAGTCTCGGGTTGCTGTGTCTACATTAGCATCGTGGGTTTAAAACCCGTGCAGATAATCTCTAAATGAAAAAGCAAAGGGAACAAGAAGAAATTTGTTCTCGAAAATAAAGCCTTAGGACGGGCTGTTTTTATAAGTACCACATGCGGTTGCGGCGTCGATATCTATCTGGAACTGCTGGCCTTGTTCCATGTCGTGGGTTCCGCCCGCGACTGCCTCGTCGACTCTGGCGAGTGCCTCATCTCGCTGGGCGAGGCGACGAGCTCATTCGCGGCGGCGACGTCGATATCGGGCGAGGCGTCGATATTGGAGACGGTACAGTACTCATAGTCTGTCCCGTCGTGCGTAGAAGACTCCACCTCCCGGATACTGTAGCATAAATGTGAGTGGGCGGATCTTCAGCTCGGGCGGGGGTGGAGGCTCGATCTAAAGCGGCGCGGCTCCTGGTTTTCCGCTTCGAGCTTTTTGTTTTGCGAGTCAAACCCGGTATCACCTGCTTCGAGGTCCTCGATCTGCATTTGAAGCTCGACGTTGTACGATTCGATCTTGCTGGTATGCGATTCGAGCTTACTGATTTCCGATTTGAGCTCGCCGACCCGCACGCAGTTGGAGCCTTTGAGTGGGCGGATCTTCAGCTCGGGCGAAACCCCAATCCTCCGAGAGAAGAGAAAGGGGCAATGCCCGATGCGAATGATCAGGCCGAAAAGGCCAAAGAAGGGATGGATGGGACAGACTACCGCCGTGGTAGTCATCCTTTTCTTCATCCGGTTGACGAATGACGAACTTGTCATGGATAAGCTCGAACAGTCTCTGTGATGAAAACGGCCTGCGAGCACGATAGACGAAGCTATTGATGCCGTCCTCGACCGTTTCCGGCGGGGACGCCCAGACCCCCTTGCGATTGTGGTCCCTCTTTTCCATGTCAAGCACGCTCTTGAGCCAGCCCTCTTCTTCTTCCAGACGTGCAACTTGCACTAGGGAGAAGGGCTTCTGCCGAGAGTCGTGGTGGAACTGCGCAATGTGCTCTGGCGTGAGGGCTAACCGGCGACGAGGTTGCGTTTTGAGTCCGGCGCGAATGGATTTTCAACACGGAGCCCTTCCAGGCAAGCGCCTCCTTATGTGTTCGTAAACTTGGGTAGCATGAGACGCCGTAACCAAACATGGGCGATTTGGAACCCTCGCAGACGAGTTGCTCGGCGTGTACGACGATTCGATCGAGTCGTGGGTTAAATGGAATGGTGGTGCATCCAAAATCGCCGTAGTACTGGATTGCTACCGTACAGAATGCCCGACAGACATGGAAGACGCTCATATCAGCCCATCTGCGAGGTTTGTAGAAGATAAACTGCGTGGAGTCGTTCGCGGATTGTCCTTGATGCTTCAGTCGCGTGGGGCTGGTGTCAAGGACCCGACTCCAAGACATCGGAGGCTCATGATCGCCTTGTGGGGCTCTGGTGCCATTCATGGACGCACCCGGGGTGTTGTTCATGACGGGGGGTCCGCTCCGCGATCCCATCTTTCAGTTCTGCGATCTCATTCAGTTTTTGCAAACAAGTCTCGCCCACAGGCGAACTCATCGTGGCATTCTGTTCGACTTGTAGGATGTTACGAGCGGGCATCTGGCTCAAGGGTTGGTCGAGGCCGTTGCTATTACTGCTGATGTCCTCGTCACCGCTCGATCCAGCCAAGGGGCATTGGGCAGCAGCGGAAGCGGATTTAGCAGGCATGTCGAGGATAATATCGGGCGGAAGGCTGATAATGTTGACCATTTTGTCTCTGGTGTGAATTTTCTCCTTGCGCAGTGTCATAGTAGTGTCAACTAGTATTGATAAGTTCTTCAGTCGGGATGAATCGCATGACTGGGTATTGTTTTGTTGTGATCGATGCAGCTCGTTGGAAGTTGCTCTGCGATATATAGCTGAGAATAAAGATGATCGGATGAAAGGTAGTGGTGTAGGAGAGAACCTTTCGCAGGGTTTTATGTGATTGTCTTTTCCTTTCGGAGAAGTCTCCGGCTGCACCGGTTCATGGAGACGCCGCAGGTGAACTGCCAAGTGAGGCGACAGGTGCTCGAGTTTGAATGGCGTGGGCACGATCCAGTTGTGACCATATATCTAGTGCCGTCGGTGTGCTGGTTGCCATCGGAACCCTCTGTCGAGGAGCAGCTGCACCACGTCGAGTCGACGACGAGCACAAGTGTGCAAATTGAAGTCCCCGTGCCCTGATCGTCAAGCGAGAAGCCCATGTATCCCAGCTCGTATGCGTCTGCGCGCTTCCTATTCAAGTCGTCGAGGGCGGCCCGCAGCTGCGCGAGCTTCGCACACACAAGCCACCAGCCCAGCCCCCTATTGGGTGGCAGGCTGGGAGTCCTCGGACTCCCCGCGGGACTCGCGGAGCGCCCGCGCCAGTCGGTCAGGGATTTCTGGCCGGCGAGAGGGCAGAGGAACCGCCACCACATAGAACGGCGGAGCTGCTGAAGTCGAAAAGATCCCCATTCGATGCCCTCCAGCTATTGTCGTCCCGCAGCCAAGTGGTGCCTTCTCGCTCCGGATCAACGTCTGGTAGTCCTACCGACGAAGCGTCGTCGATAACCTCTTCGCCCTTGCCTTTGCCGCCATCATTGCCGGGGGTGGTGGAGTTCTCGATGCGGTTCTGTGAGGCTGAGGAGTAGCCGTTAACGGCGAGGCTCAGAAGACGACCATGTGCAGCGATGGATTACGTCCTACACACAACCCGGTGATAACGATATCAATGGAATCATACGGGAATGGGACGTCGTCGACGGTATCGGGCTGAAATGGCGGGTATCGCGGGATTATAACTGGGGGATCCGGGAAAGTGAAGCCCTCACACCCTTCGTCTTGCGAGAGAATCAAAGTATTGACCCCATAGACACCGGATTGCTGGTTGTAGCCCTTGTCGACGAGTGGCTGGCACCGACGCAACTCCATGCCGTGGATGGCTCTGCCGTGCAGTGCGCATAGCATCAGCTGCACTTTACACATGCTCGGTAACGTTACAGTGTCTGGCCTGTGCTCTCCAGTAAGCGTATAGGGCCTCTTCCGCGCCCTTCTGTATCCCCCCCTCCGACGATGAGACAGAAACAGGGAAGTCCATTCGAGAAAAGACAGCTCCGATGGGGTCTTGGACAGGGGATTCAGGGAGACTTACCAAGGGCTTGGGGTAGGCGATGCAGTGCAAGCACGTGGTATATTCCGCGCGCCGGATCTCGAGGATGTCGACGACCTTCCGGTACCACTGACAGAGGTGTAGTCGCCGGTTACTCATTCGGCCTGCGTCCAGTGGACTAATATGTCGGAATGCCGCTGGCTTGTGCTGTTATAAGGCATTGTGGAACGGCTCGCCACCGTTCTCAGGCTCGTATTGGTATTCCAGAGTCCTCTTCCCATTTGGGTTGGTGTACTTGGTGCCTCGCAAGATTTGGGGCATAGTGGACTGCATGGTGAATATGAAGTGACCTGAGTGAGACCGGGACGATTTTGCATTTGGTGCAGTCGGTGGTAATTGATTACCTGAAGTATTCGAGGAGAAATTGCGAGCAACAGCGTACTGTTGCCAACATCCACGTCATGAGCTGCTTCAGTGACGCCATGAAGGAGGTCGTGCTTGCGTATATGATTGACCGAAGCGCCGATGGACTTGAAGGCTTTTCCACACGCTGAATAGAGTCGTGGGTTCATCTTGTGGAAGTGACAAGCAGGCTCCGAGCTGGGCGGCACTCCGACCCGGAGTTGCATCATGGAAGTAGGCATGGTGTCGAAGACTTCCGGAAAGCCATAGTCAGGGCCTTCGTATCCTGTTGCTGGTGTGCCGAACCCCATAGGCCCCGAGCCGGGCAGCAATCCGTTCGCGGGGGGCATCGTGTATGTAGGCATAGTATTGAAGACTTCCGGAAAGCCATAGTCAAGGGCTTCGTAGCCGGGCGCTGGTGTGCCGGAGGCCATAGGGTCTGAGTTGGGCGGCGATGGCAGCATGGAAGTAGGCATGGTGTTAAAGCCTTGCTGTAAGCCAATATCAAGACCTTCATGATATGGCATGGGAAAAGATCCAGAGTCAGTGGCGGCTCTTGGGTCACTGTCGACCCTCTTGGAACTCTGGGACTCGGGGAAGGCGCGATGGCGCCACCCATGGGCAGCGGCCGCCATTGGTGCACCTGGATGTTCACCCTCCTCTGATCGGCGAGGGTTTCCGCCAATGCCGGGAAGCGTCCCAGAGACAGGACCATTCTCTGAGAGGGGAGGGTTTCCGACAATCATGGGAGGTATCCCAGAGATAGGACCCGTACCTGAGAGCCTGTTCCATCACCAGCCATGCGATGCTTGACGGAAGAGCGATCTCATGCTCCTCCCGGTCATCATCCTGCTGCCTCGGTACAGATAGGATAGGAGGTAGCTCTAGCGGCAGGTCTGGGCCTTGCGCATCAGCTGGTCTTCTCGCCGAAACACCAACACCGGGAGTTCCGATTGCCTGGTGTAACACGCCCTGAAGGTGTCTAGGCATGTTCGGGTCGGCGAGGTTTTGATTGGGGGACTGGGAGTATGGGGCGGACCGGGAGTGAGAGGAATGTTCAACCACTGGGCTGGGATGGCTGGCCTCCCTGCTAAAGGGGTTGGCGGGGCCTGTGGCCGATACTTTGGGCTCTATCGAGATAAGCAGATCTTTTCTCATCTTGCGTTCTGCCGGTAGTGTGCCGGAAACCATAAAGTCCGAGTTGTACGACTGTCCGCTCGCGAATGGCATCAAATGATGAGGTCCGGAGTAGAACCCTTCCGGTGGGCCATTAGCAAGGCCTTCTTGGTATGGCATATAAGGCATGGTGTCATAACCTTCCGGTACGCCATTGTTAATACCTTCGTGGCCTAGCGCTGGTTGGCCAAAACCCATACGTCCCGAGCTGGGCGACAGTCCGTATGAGAATGGCATGGGAGGTCTGGAGTAGATACCATGCTGAGTGCCCTGCTGCTCCATCTGGGCTGGCATGTATAGTGCTATTTGATAGTGTCTTGCTGGCTGCTGCGATTGGAAAGTGATGTGCGGAAATCTCAAAGGGGCGGTGTGGCCCGGCATGTTAGTCGCTGCGTAAAGGGGCTCCGACGGCAGCAGATCGAGGTATTGGTCCTCGCCCTCGGTATCGGAGTCGAGTAAGATGTCCACCACCTCGGGTTGCGAGTACGACGGCGGACCAACAAAAAAGACAAGGGGCGCCGGAGTCTGTGTCGTCGCTCGAGTCAGGGGAGGGTGGTCCGATTACGGGGTGCTTGTTCTTCGCCTCATCGGAGGAGTTGGGGACCACGTTTCGCTTGCGCTTTGTGCCGCGTTGGGGGGCCGAACCAAAGCAAGGACGAGAGTCCATTTCCTGGTAAAGTGGAGGAGTCGAATAGGTGCTGGAGTTTGTCATGAGGTATGAGATCAAGAGAGGGAAAGGGACCTCCGGAAGAGAAGGCCGGAGCCTGAAGAGTGCGGCCGCCGAGAGCAAAACGTAGCTCTAACAATTTGACGCGAGCTCCGAGGTCGTCGCACTCGAATTAGCCCCTTACTATGATGGCAGGAGTCGTAGCTCGTCATCCAAGCTTCCATAGTCAATGTTTATTTATATATTGAGGATCGTCAGCGCTCTCCGGAGAAGATGGCTTCTTCAGATTGTCTGCATGATCGATGGTTCGCTCGTAGTCGTCGAGTGTACCTCGGAAGTTCGGGAAGATGTGGATCGACTGACCCGATGCGACGTATCCTTCCAGGATCTCAAGATGGGCAGAAGTAACCACCATCTTCGATTCAGGTAGCAAACCTGATACTGATTAGAGCCGAGAGATCGCAGAATTCGGCCTTGTCTCGCGTGAGGAGCAGTCTTGTTGCCCTGAACGCGCTTCTGGCGTGGCAGATGGACCACACAAGCCTGCCCGATTGGCAGGAGATCGCTCAAATCGGGCTTGTTACTGGCAACAACTACCACCAGTGACTTCGGAAAGGCGTCGTCGTATAACCCGGCTGCGAATTGCCCTCCGGCAAGTACGGGGCATTAGATGCCACTTCGGCCAGCACCTGCAGAGCGGCCCCTGGCTCGACGCGCCTGGACACACTCCCTGATGCTTCGGCTACTTCTTGCCCTCTCCTCGACGACTCGCCCACTTACGTATGCTCATCTCCCCGCGGTCGAAAGGCACGATGCCTTCGAACTTGTGTTTATAATCGGCCGCGAGCTGCTCGACTGCGCTACTACGCTTGTCTATGCGGCGAGGGGGCGGACGAGGTTGAGGAGCGTGGGTATGCCGTCGAGGAGCCTTCGGAGGGCGGGAGGAAAGATGACGGGCGGGGGCGCGTGGCGACGGCGGCGCAGAGCTCGCACATGTTCACCATCAGACGTCGTGGGGCCGGGCCTGTTGTGGTTCGGGCGTCGACCCGCCGGGCGAAAGTTCCGACTCGGACTCGGACTCGGACTCGGCCACCGGCTCGGGCAGCAGCTCGGGCTGACGGGTGCGGGGGCTTATAGGCGGACTTGCGGCATCGTTGTTACTCTCGCCGTTGTCGACCTCATCCTACACCACATCTCTCAACACCACAACGTAGACGTCCTCCTCGTTGGGCAAGCTGGAGTCCATGGCGTCGTAGTCGACGACGCTGTCGGCATCGGTCATCTCGTTGGGCACGTCGGAGTCCAAGGCGTCCCAGTTGACGCTGTCCGCATCGTCGTCATCACCGTGATCTTCTTGGTTTATATCCACGTTGTCGCTCACAGCCGGCTCGGCGTCGAAAACATACACAAGAAATAGGCGATCATGGCGAGTAGCCGCCGCTGCGGTGGAGCGACGCGAGCGTCGTTGGATAGCAAGGTTGGCGACGGGAAGCGGGACGGCGGCGACGGTGGGGTGTAGGGTGGGGACGACGGCGGGCAGCATGTTGTCGACGATGAGTCGGAAGATGGCGAACCCCTTTCCTCCTCACTCGAGTCACTCTGCTCCTCGTGAAGATCATCTCCACCCGGAAGCCCGTCCTGGCGATAGTAACCCTGCTGCGGAACAAGAGGAATGCTAACCATCGCCCTCGAGAGGAGTAGATCTCCGCGCAGGCCCTTCACTTGCTGTTCGACTATGCGGTCCTTCAGCTCCGCTTGGCTGATTTGCTCGTTCTGTCGGTTCGAATGCTCGCGCAGAGCCTCAGCCTCTTATCGGTGGGGTGAGGTCCTCCGCAGCGACGGCAGCAGCAGCCTCATCCGACAGAATTGGAGTTTGCCATTGGGCCGTCGAGTTGACGCAGACAGAAGAAGCCTTCTTTATGGTTCACCTGAAGAATGCACTGGTCAGCATTATCTCAGAAGCAGGCCTAGGATCGACGTGGAGAGAACATATACGGTCGCATGGCATGACACGTATTCATCCCGGAGTCGGGTCTGGATGAATGGGTGTGCATCCCGGGGCTCGCAGTATTGGGCTGCTGTAGCGACGAGCGAATGATGTATCTGCGGCACTCCTCCAGCGCATCTAGTCTCGCCGGGTTGAGCGTCTGTTTCATGATGTATCTGCGCAACTGCTCCAGCGCCTCTAGTTCCGTCAGGCTGCGCGGTACTCGCGCTGTTGTTGAGAAGCAGCCTGACCGCACGCAAGTTCTGTACTCGGCACGCAGCAGGAGAGGGGTCTGGTGACGGCTGAGTCAGGATCCTGCATTGGCGATGCGGCGGCCCTGCTCGAAGTAAAGTGACAGGCGGCCGGGTCGGGTTGGGTCGACCTTCTCTATGGTATTGGATTTCGCTGAGTTAAGACCGAGGTTGCACAGACCCGACGGCAAGACGATCAATGGACAGGTGTATGGGTGGACAGGGCCTATGGCTCGGGATCTGACTTACTCTTGCTGTGCTTTCCGATCTTCAAGTCTGCTTAAATACCTACTGAAGGCGGGCGTGCAACTGGAAGCAGTGGTTCCCGAAAGTGTCTTCTGCTTCGTCACACTGCTGTCGGACTGTGACAATGCCTGGAATTTAGCGGCATTGATGTAGAGGGTTACATTGCCGCCGCGAGATACGGTATAATTGCCGTTGGCGGGTCTGGTCACACAGACGTCGGTAGCATTCCGAAACCGCTGCTGAGCCTGGGAACTGATGGTGTTGTTGATGCTCTGCTGGCCATGGTCCATGGGTGTAGAGTGGGCGACGGGAATATGGGTGTATTTGTGGGAGTGTAGTAGAGATACGGACTCGTGGCGCTGCCTCGTATTTGGTGTAAGCTGCTAGGAGTGTTTTGTCTATTTCGACCATCTTGGCAATGATTTCTCAAGCTTTGGATATGTTGTCTGCCTTGCTTGCGTCCTCCCACGTAGCTTGACTGGTTTCCCAAGAGGCTTCATTGGATCATGCCGCGGCTTCATTGGTGGTAATATGAGGGGACGCAACATGATATGGATGATGGTAGGAATAATGATGGGGGCCATGGTGGGAAGGTCATTGATGTCGAGGTTCTTCATGGTCTCCACAAGCAGTTCGGTAGAAAGAGTCTCCAACCGACTGGGTGCCGAGGATCCAAGAACCATCTCGTCGGGGAGCATCTGGTGTGATGCGTAATGGGACTCAGAAGAGGTGGCGAATGAGTAGTTAGGGTTTGTGTTGTTGCGACGGTAAAGATATTAGTAAAAGTGTTCCATCGTGACTCTTCGATGACTAATGCGGGGTAGCGTGCCAAAGCAACCGGCAGAATATCGTAACCGATCTTGTTGATTGTGATTTGGTACATGATAACGCCTTGGGATTGCTTGAACCTGTCGTAGATGACGGGCCCCAGGAGGATGGTGAAGATGGGGATGGGGATAGCGATGAGGATAGGGGTAATGATCCTGTCGGCTAGTCTGTTTGCATTTATTGTTGTCTGCGCGGGAGTGCTGGGGGCAGGTGATGGCTGGGCTGCTGGTGGATCATATTGCCAGCTCGACTGCTGTTCATGTCTCGATCCGTGATGTTGATGGCGCCGCCATTAACGAGACTTATCAATGATGTGGATGATGATAGAGGCAATGATAGGAATGAGGATGATGAAGATGGGGATATGGATGAGAATAAGGAAGAGGACGTTGACAGCGTCGGTATGTATGTTCTTGCTGTGTGGTCGCAGTTCAAGGGAGAGGATGTTCCCTGTGTATTCGAGCGTTGAGTGTGATGAGGTGTAAAGGCCTTGGTTTGATTGCTTCCGCGAATGCTGAGCACGTGCAAGCTTGAAGCCATATTGATCGCGTCGCTAGGTGTCTCTAAGCTCTCGTAGATCTTCTAGACTAACTCAAGAGGTGTATCCAGTATTGGTGGTGTCTTCTCACCGGTGCGCTGCGTAAGGTGAGCCATGTTGGTTCTCGAGGTCTCGTTATCTCATTGGGATGGTGACGAAGATGGGGATAGGGGTAGGGATCCGTCAACAACCTCCACAACAAGCGGAGATGGTCGCTTTGACAGACTGCAACGTCCCGGTGTGAGGTCGAAAAACGCGGACGGCCGGAAGCAAGCCTCGACGGCGCCACCCAGGACAAAGTTGGGTGCTGTTCACACCAGGTCATGATATCGTGTTTTGTACCCAGGTTCGGAAGAATATAGATGCTGCATTACTGTTAGATATGTCCCAGACTCGATGCTGAAGACGGGCAGATGGAACGTGGCCATGTGTATGGAGATGGTCGGCTCTTCCGTTCTGATGACGGTATTCGTTGAGGGGGAACACCACGAACACCACGTCTCTGGGGAAGATGAGGCCGGCATTCTGAGCACTGAAGTGGAGGGAGACTTGACGGCAGGGTGTTGAAGAGTATTCAATGGGGTCTGTGGAATGGCGATATGTACTCACGACGGTCCTCGTTTCAATGGCTCACTTCAAAGCTGTTGTGGATGCCCGAGGAATCATGGCTGGTGGTTGAATGATGCCCTTGGCTGGGCAAGTGATGGGCTCTTGGATCGACTGTTGGAGTCTGTGGATGAACGGAGGAATCAATGGATGGATGTATGAAGGGATGAATGGATGGATGGATGGATGGATGGATGGATGGATGGATGGATGGATGGATGGATGGATGGATGGATGGATGGATGGATGGATGGATGAAGTCCGATGGATGGATGGATGGATGAAGTCCGATGGATGGATGGATGAAGTCCGATGGATGTGGTTGTGAATGGGAAGAGGAAGAGGAAGAGGGAAAAGGAACGGGGACGGAGAGAGATTTAAACACTGGGAAGACAGGAAGACAAATGAAAGATGAAGACAGCACGATGGCGGGAACACGACTTCCATGTATTCTATCTGTTCCTACCGGCCTTCATCTTGAGTTTGGTCCTTCCCCTGGATTGAAGTTGACTGGATGGCTTCCTCTTTTGTTAGGAGTGGCCAGTGCCCAAATCAGAGACCGGCCCACACTTGATCATGTGACCTGCAGCGGGTGGTGGTCTAAGTGGTCCGTGCACTTACTGTAGAATGAGATAATGGAGATAACGGCTTCCCCAATTTGTAAACCCCTCAACTTCCACCTCACCTTTCGCGCCCTCAACCCGCAGTCACTACAACCTCTATCATTCCTTGCGACTGCAAACCTAGGAACACCAGAGCTGCCCGGCGCTCCTCACTTCAAGGTTGACTTCTTTGGTAGGTACACACACAGCTCGTCTCTCAGAGCCTTCCTCGTCTCGTCTCGTCTCGTCTCCTCTTTCGCGCTCAGTCTCACACTTTCCCTTCTGATACATTGTAGGTAAGCTATGTATGACGAAGCGATGACTTGTTACTGTCTAGATCGCCGAGGTTGTGTGTCATCCCCGGCCATTGGCATCGGCATCGGCATATGTACGTGATCTGATGCTCTGGGGTTGCTGCACGATGCCTCTATCGCAACACCTTTCTACAATTCACCCTTCTCGTGGACCAACTCGTCACCCACCTAGCTGCATGAAATTCCGCCTCTCCTGCACTCCTCTGTAACATCTGTCTATCATTACAATCTTCAGAGCTCGCCATCTGGCCACACATACAATCTTCGGCATGTCGGAGCAACAGCTCCGGCCATCTCTCATTCTTCACAAACGATGACTAACGTAACTTCAATCTCAAGTCTCCTGCCACTTCGGCAACATGCGCCTGTGAGAGCCCATGGGAGGCGCTACCTTTAGCCTGTTGCAACAGCTCCATGGGAGGAGAGCATTGCTGAATGTCTCCTGAATGGGCAGATGTCGCACCTTGCCAAGTACAAAGCCAGACCGCTTCACAATAGAAGGCCATCTTTAATAGCACGGCAGACTACTTTTACCTCCTCCTCGTGCCGTCACCAACGGCCAGCTAACCAGTCAGCTATCAAAACGTTTATACATACACAGTCATCGGCAGCATCGCCGCGCTCATTGCCAAACCTGCCAAACCTGCTGGCAAAACCATCACCAACAGCTTGTCGAGCTGCTCTCAGCTCCTTCACACCGTCACCATTAGCCATCATCGCCAACGGCTTCAGAGATGCTGGCATCTCTAACATACAATGATGCCACTCTCGTTGCAACTCATCGAGAATCACCACTTTTCCAGACAATCGGTGCGGCTTTACAACAGGCTTCAACTTCCATTAGGGCGGGGCATAAGATCAGCAGCCAAGGGTACACGTACGGCTGACAACCGGTTGACAACCGGTTGAGAAATCAACCCAGGTTATGAAATATAGTGCAGGTTCGAGAGGTCATAGTAAAGATTATGTTTAAATTATAACCTAGTTATATATATATAACTAGCAGTTAAGATACGGTTGCTTAAAATAAAATAAAGTTGTTGGATCCATGCGATTCCAGACTGCAAACCAGCTATACCAGGACCCACATGTATGATTAGATAAGATAAGATAGTGGATTGAGAGGGCACTTGGCCAGACCTTCGAGTCCAGCTAGATTCCTCTCAATCCAACCATCAGCAACATCATGACCTTGACCCCATACTCGAGTATTATGATTGATCGTTCAAGCCTGTTCCAACAAAAGTAGAAATAAAATACCGATCGTTGCCGTTGTGGCTCCTCAACCCATTTTCCAGCCACAATGACGGATGGGTCACGGACCAGGGTACAAGGTACCTTGGAGCCCAACTGGTACCCATCTGTACCAGATTCGTACCCAACTGGGATGATAGCTACTCCTGGGATGGGGACACCACCCATCCCTTCTTTCAATCAAGCAACTTCCAGAATACAGACCAACAGCCACCATTCGTGACCCTGGTCCTTATTCTGGATACCGCTACCACAAGGCACACCGTCGCCATTTCATATAATTACATAACATGACATAATACTATATAATAATATATAGGAAAAGAATTGTGACGGCCTGCACGGACCTTCCCACATGACAAGCCGATACTTCCCAATAAGGGAAGGATCTGACCAGAGGATCCCCTTAAAGGGGCAACCTCCCGCTGTACCTATCTCTCTCTCTCTCTTCCTTTCCTCTCTAGTCTTGATATTCTCGTCAATAGAGTAATAGCTGCTTGCTGCCGGCCATGTCCCAGCTCCTCAGTACGCTCGCTGTGACAAGAATTATATAACATCACGGCGAATTGAACTACGGGCTTATAGGTTACAAGATTACGATTAGGTTTATTTGACTACTAGGCCATTTAATATTATAAGGAGACAGGCGCGTTGCTTTGTTTTATATTATATAGCAACGAGGCAGGTAGGATACGGTACCAGGCAGGTAGGGGTCTCTAATCATAACTAGCCGTTAACTAGTAGTTGCTATATAACTAGAAGTCTGACGGTAACTGCCATATTTTCATAACCTAGGTGAGCGGGTAACTGGCCCTCAACCAGACAGGTATACCTGGTTATAGCCGAACAGTGTAGTAATTGGGTGGTATATGTGACCATGGATGTACAGCCGTCTAATGGGTGGCTGCTGTTTGAGGGTTGGGCAGGATATACCTCCGCCCTCTACAACTCTCACTTCCTTCTTCCTCCACCATCACCATGCTCACTCACATCATCACCTTTCCTTGGGATCTGGCCCCTCATTACATTCACACACCATTTACAGAGAAATGCATCCATTGTGGATCTTGTCACACCTCTTGACTTTTATTACCAGGACAAATCAACCTGCACAGGCACTGCTGCCTTCCATCTGCACTAGGGCACACACTACATCTTGACGCAAAGTACTCTCACACAAGCGTTCAGAGCAAGACGTGACGCCATGCGCTTTCTCTTCTCTCTCGCGCAGACTTCGACATATATACACATACATACCTTACATATGCACACAAACAGTTGCTTGTGCGTACGACAAAAGAGACCATTGAGTCGATCCGGACCTCCAGGCCGGATTTATGCTGTAGCCTGGTACGGGGGACTCCACCCGGCCCCGAGCAGACGTACGGTGCACTAACACCGACGGCACAGCGTGACGAGATCTTGGGTGGAAAACGCCCCGCAGCCGAAGACAAGCCCGGACGACCATCTAAACGTCCGCGCCATGAGACGGGCGGTACCACCGACCTTCAGCACTACTATGAGCTGCAGAAGATGGTCGACAGCCCAGATGACGAAAGCCGGAACAATGATATTGCCGATCATACTACCAAACCCCCTCATGGTGAGCACGATGAGGCGATGGTTTAACAGCTTAGATGGCGAAAACCAGGACATGGACACGTCTTTATCCATTGCTGATCTTGACATCGAACCCCCGCCAGCGACGATACCCGCTACGCAACCAGCCCGCCAACCAATCCGATGGCGGTTAGGAAGCGTCATCCACTGGCTTACAGTTTAATCCTGCGATTCATGGTCTGTCCAACATGCCCCAAGAAAGTGCCACGTCTAAACTTGTTCAACTCACTTACTGACGATATACTAAGGAATACGAACCCGCCTTCTATGCTGCCCCTTCCGACGTCGGGTACCCCATGAACAATCTAAGTCCTTTGCCCCGTTCTTGTTTTCTCCGCCTTGGAACCTTCTTCTAGCCTTCTTGCCGCCGAGATTTCATAGGACTTCTAGATGTCCTTCAACTCCAAGACCCTGAGTTCTAGCTCACCGAAGATCAATCATGGGACAACACAATCTCAGCCGAGGAGGTGCAAGAAATGTGGATGGTACCTCGACGCTGGCGGTTAAAACATCAAGCCCTTACAACTTTAGAGCACGTCGGCAGGCTGACTTCCCGAAGTCCAAGAAGACGACCGTCATGTGAGCGCATCCTCCCTAATTGTTAGTAGTCGTGACCGCGACACCCCCTGTTCTCTACACCAAGAAGGTGGCCTCGAACCACGAGACGGAGTGTCAATACGACATGAGTACATATCGGCCTCCTTTCGTACTCATTTCGTACTGACTCCGCTAATTCTCGAGCCAAGAAGCAGAAATGCCTGAACACGAAGGCCGCGAAGGGAGTCGTTCACGAAATATGTACGCACCGCGCCCGATCCGGTACCTCAGCTGATCCGAACCATCGCTTTAACCTAGCAGTCAGTACCTGGGGCGCCGCTCAAGGGTATGAAGCGAACATTGTGATCGTCGGCCTCACGCGTACAGACAGCCCGGGTTTCATCGGAGACGCCCGCACCATGGCTGTCTGGATGACAAGAGCCAAATCAGGAATGCCCATCGTCGGGAACCCTGAAGCCTGGAGTGGAAAGAACAAGCCCTCCGCTCAAATGTCCTGGTCCACAAGCACGCAACCCAAGACGCCGATACTTGGAAGAAAATTATGACAGTCGACCTCGATACCGCTCGGGAGCATTTCAACGAATTCTAAAACTCTCCGCAGAGCCGATCAAACCGGAACTGGACGACAGTTTCATACATCAATTCAGCGAATGCCTGAAGAAGCCTGATTCCACCACAAAGGAAGAGCACCAGACAAACGGAAACCGGTATTGGCCGAGATGACGAGGAACGGCATTCTGAGGAAGAACCGGACAACTAGGAGGAAGAGGACACTGGCTATGATGACGACGTGGGACGCTACGACGGATAATAGAACATAAGCATGAGCATGAGGACATTCGGGATATAGACATGGGAACGAGCCCTAACCAGAGACTACAGGTAAATTTGTCCATAGCACCGGGCATATTCAGCTCCGCCAAAGTTCGACATTCACGGGATGATCGCCGTAGCAAGTACGAAGCTCGACGCGCCTGGTGACTACTGCAATCTTCTTCAGACTGACCACACGTACTTTTAACACCACGTCAAGCTATTAAAGCAGAGCTAAACCCACGACATATAGCAGCATCATTTTCTACAGTACGCATAAACCTGTCACTTTTCTCAAAGTCGCGGCGTTCCCGGATCCTCTGCGATTCGTCTCCGACCACGTTATCAATCCATTCTCGATCTCCGGTCGCGTTTCTCGCAGTTCCCGCGCATTCTTCGCACTTTTACAACATTCATTATCTCCGCCTCTGGCGATTCGATCGCGTTCCGACTGCAATTCGGCACTATGACTTCTCGCGCGGAATTCATGGACAAGTACCTCTCCGACGAGGAGCCTGAGTTGTGTCATAGTATTGACAGTATCTCTCAATCTGCTATGTGTTTATCACCATGAAGCGCTACATCACCTTTTAACAAGGAAACCTCCATATGCAGTGTCCACTTCTGCTGCTGCAAGAAGACAACGAATCTGTTGGCTATACATAAGCTCCTGAAGTACGGCCTACGGCCTACGAAATTCCTCATGATCTTCTGAAGATCCTGGAGGAGTCCAGGAAGCTCCGTCCAGCAGACCTACTGCTATTGAAATGGCTCATATACGGCACATTGTGTGGTATACGCGGAGACGCCAGCACAAGGGCGGTACCGCCGATGGGTATCGAACTATGCGGCCTTCTTGGGCCGCTTGAGCTGTGCCTTTCCCGGCGAGTTGTCAGTGGCTATGTTCTTCGGCGTTCCGGCGTCGGCCGCCGTGGCCTGGTTCGTTCTGGCGGTGTGGTTGTGAGCCTGCTCGGTACCGTTGGCCACCGGGAGCTGTGCCTTTTCGAGCCAGTTTAATCGAACACTATTCCCAAGGAACAGCAAGCGAACGCACCGCACAGGCACTGAAGGCCATGAACGAAAGCTCTAGACTTGTAGCCTAGAAGCATTATCACAAGCACACGGAATTCTCGGTCAAGATCCTAAAGCTCAACAACAAGCGGCAGGAACTCGAAAACGAGAAGATCTGGCTTGCGATCGATTTTAAGAGGGTTTCACAAAAGCCGGGATTAACGCCCTCGCGTCGTCGCATGTGCCGTTTGGCTACCTTAAGGCTTTCTACGTAGACGTATCCATGATTCCGGAGGATTCATACAAAATATTGCAAGTAATAGACAACTCGAGTAACACAGACACTTTCGACAATGCAGACAATGCAGACAAGTATGAGAACCAGGGCGATGAGGGAGCCCCCACAAAAAGACAATGACCGGTGGCAGACACGGTCCCACGGACGAGAAGGATGTGGACACGACTCCCTCCAAGAAACCAAGGACGGCGAACTCATGGCTGGGCGTCGACGACAATGACATGGCGGATAATGTGGGAGACAGAGTGATGATAGGCGAGCGAGCTTTCCGTGTTCCAGCTCTTCAGGATTAAAAGCCCAGCAACCACCAACACCTCCTCGCACGGCCGCCCCCGTGGCCGCAGCTACTATCCCTTTAAAACTTCCGCCCATCATTTTCCAAAAGCAAGAAGAAAGACGATCTGCCTATCTTCATAGAGCCCAAAGCATCGGCCACGGGCCCTGCCAACCCCCATGTATTCGCTAAGGGCGACGATGTTCTCGAGCCCGCCACATCGACAAGCCGGAAGCGAAAGGCCCCTTCCTTGGCTCTGTCCAAGCCAGCCCCTAAGCGCCAGGCATTTCAGACAAGCCCGAGCGCAAAGCAGGCGAGTCGGTATTCATACGGCCCCGGAGAATCCGAGTGTTACCATCCCCCAATAGAAGTCGTACACCCCCACTAGTCGTACAGCCAAACCCCACCATCACCACCCAACTTCCCACATGTTCACTTATACGCTTTCAGCCCGATATTGAAGCTATTCACAATATAATTATTGTTCCAGATAGTCCTGATCTTGAGGTTTTTCCCAATGCAAAATTTACCCCGCGGCGCCTACGTGATTGGCTGTTTATTACCCCGCATTTCTTACCCCAAATGGCATATTTGCGGTCTTGCGCGGCTCTCATGAAGCCTTGTTCTGTATGCAACGCAGCACCGTATAGCCGCCTAAAATGCCTCCCTATTCGTATACGGAGGATCAGATAGCGAATACCATCTTAGATATCACAGATGAGGGCCTCTCGCTGCAAAAAAACGCTCAAAAACACGGCATTCCGGCCATAACGCTGTCTAATCGACTCAACGGCAGGCCTACGAGATCCGAAGCCCATATACAGCAACAGAGACTCTCCCCTGCTCAGGAATTGACTATAACCAAGTGGGTTTTATTTCAAGAAAAGCTGGGCCTAGCCCTTTCACACTCCCTGGTCCGTGAGATCATCAAGAAAGTGTTGAAAGAAAAGGGGGATGAGGCCCCCCTAGGAGACACCTTTATGACAGCCTTCAAGCGCCGCAACCCCCAGATCAAGACCAAGATTAGCAAAAGGATGGAAGCAGCACGCTTTAAGGGCTTTATGCCTAAGTTAGTTAACTGGTTCTTTGAAATTCTTAAAGACTACGGCTGGGTGAAGCCAAAGAACACCTATAATGTCGATAAGGGCGGCATCATGTCGGGTTTTGGTAGCTCTACCTACCCCTTTAATTCCGGGAAAAACCTAATTAGATTCACAGGTATCGACTCTCTCGTTCTGGGTAGTTCTATTACGAAAAAGGCCTTCCTGAAGAGCCCTAAGAGCCGTAGCTGGACCTTCTTTATCAAGACCATCTCAGCAACTGGAAAAATCCTGAAACCAGGCATTATCTTCAAGGGGAAGGACCTCCAAGCCCAGTGGTTCATTGAGAAATTCCGAAAGACCGCAGATTGGCATTATATATGCTCAGAAAACGGCTGGACTTCGAATGACATCGCCTGCAAGTGGCTAAAAGATGTTTTCCTCCCAGAGGCGGACGAGATACGAGGAGGAGACCAGTCCGACACGATCCTTTTAATACTAGATGGCCATAAGAGCCACACCTCCATATGTATATGATTTTTCCTTATTTTATTTAGACTTCCTTTGATTTTTCCTGATTTATTATAGTTTGATGCGTGTTAATAAGACGAATTCATGACCATGTGTTATTTTAATAACATATTGCTCTGTTTCTTCCCTGTGCATACTAGACACGGCATGCAACCTCTAGATAACAGGCCTTATAACGCCCTAAAGGCCTACTACCAGAAATTCTTCTCCGAGTTGAATTCTTTAACGGATGCCTCGCCTATTGACAAGATCAACTTCATCCAATGCTATAGCAAGGCCAGAACTTCTGCTTTCACTAAGCAAAACATCCTCTTGGGCTTCAAGGTCACTGGATGTTATCCTATCAGCTGTAGGAAGTGCTTACAGTATTCAGACATACAAGAAGAGAAGGGAAAGACCCCTGAGCCTGATACCCCTGAAAGCTCTGAACCAGAGGACCAACGGACCCTTACTACGAGCCGCCAGATCATGAATTTCGACAAAAATAAGTCCCCAGGGACCAGGTTGAAGTACAAGAAGATAACCAACACGTTCAAAGCCAAGGAGACCGAAGTTGTTATAAAAGATCAGAAGATCAAGGCTCTAGAGGCTGAGTTGGAGCGGCTACGGCCAAAGAAGCGGCAGAAGATCCCTAATCCTAATGGGAAGTTCAAAATAATGACGGAAATACTATCTCATGGAGGTACCATTAGTCCTGCTGCACGCGCAGAAGTACAAGAAGAGATAGTTGTTGAGTCGGAGGACGAAGAGGAAGATGAGGATGACCCCCTTGATAAGGACGTTTTGGAGGCTATACAGGAGCCTCGCCTATCGCGATCCGGGCGAGCCATTCGGGCGCCGGCTAGACATTACGCATGAACAGCTTCAGCACTTTTGAATGATAATTTTGCTGTATTTCTCTTACCTAAATGGCTTCATTCGTGTATAAGTCAATAAGGAGGTGTTTTGGTGGTGATGGTGGGGTTTGGCTGTACGACTAGTGGGGGTGTACGGCTTCTATGGTGGGTGGTAACCTCTTTGAAATGGGAGATTCGGTTTGGGAATATCTTGAGACCCATTCACTACCTCTTTAGCAAAAAGAGCACGTATTCTACTATGCTCGCGGCCCCGACCACATGCCACGCACTCACTTCAAGTCATTCCCAGCTGCTCTATCAGCAAATACCCGTCGCTGCAATCATGGCACAACTATTTCCGATGGGTTACAACTTCAAGCTGATTGTAAGGAAAAACCCAATGTCTACTCGCTGGGTACTCGATTGATTGATTGATTGATTATATTTAACGTGGTGCGTAGCTCCTCAGTAATGCAAACCACGCCTCCCAGAGCCTCTGTATTGCAGGGTTATAGAGGTCTCAAGATAATAAGTACAGTCAGTCCCGCTCACGGGCCCATCCCCGTTATTGCGGCGGTATGACCTTGGGGTCATCCATCTGGTCCTTCAAGAAAAGCTATCTATTGGTGGCAGATTGTTGAAAAGAATTTGCTCTTCTCCACGAATTTTGCCCATTCTGTGCTCCTCTCTTTTAAGTATTGTAAACAAGCTGCCCTAGGCGAGTACCTAGGCAGTAGCCGGTTTTTCCTCAGCCTCTTACAAAAGAAAATGTGTTGTGGTGTTTTCTTTTCACCACAGCTGTAGTGATTATTTGAGTCTGTATGCCCAAAGCGTTCATAGTATCTGGCAAAGTTGCCATGTCCAGATCTGGCCGCTAGAAGTCTGTATAAAGTACTCCTCTTAAAAGATATAAGGTCTCTTTTAGTTACTGTATGTAAGTATACTTCTTGATATCTAGGTTCTGATTAGTCTTTTTACCATTGGTTGAACTCTTTCTTGTTCTTTTTTTTGAGATCTCTGTTGACCTAAGAGATTATAGGAAGGTTTGTTGTGTCTGTTTCTAGCATGGCACCCTCTTTTGCTAGTGTGTCGGCAGCTTCGTTGCCATCAATATCTCTGTGTCCAGGAATCCACTTGACGGTCACTCCAGGAGTGTGTGCTGTGGCAAGTTCTTGAAATCGTAGAAAAATGTTCTGTGATGTCTCGGGTGGAGTCCCATTGAGCCCGTCTACCACTGACGTGTTTTCCAGGCAGATATATAGCTGTTTTCCGTGTCCAATTGCCCTGGCTGCTGCAAGACCTTGGAGAGCGCCATGGACTTTAGCATCTATTATTTCTGTTTAGAAAAGTCTGTCCTTTCCCCGGTATACTTCTTGTGTAGTGTTGCTTTTCCTGATGGTATAACCCCATCCTGTGCGGGTTGTGCCTTGGTCGTCCAACTGTGATCCATCTGAATAGATGACAAGGTCAGTGTTTACGTTTCTCTCCTGTAGCCATTGCTTGAAGAGCTCTATTTCTTTGTCTTTGTCTTTACGGATTGGGGGCTTCTTCCATAATGGCCTGGTAAGTGTTGGTCTCTGGAAGTCAGGGACTAACTGGAAGCTCCTTTGTAGCCTTGTTGGATTCTTGCGAGCTTGTATTTAGAGCCTGCCAACAAGAGGGTGTCTCTGGTCTATTCGTCCTAGTCGGAGGCCGTGACGTTGTCTTATTAACTCTGTAAGAACTCCTGCTGGGGGAATCTGCGATTCAAAGTGTAGGATATGTCCAGGGTGTGTTTTCCCGAGTGGCCGTTCTGGCGGGTGCTCACGTCCCGGGCCTAACCGTTTCTTGCTCTCTTGTAATCCCCGGCCCCCCAGACCTCTGCCCCATAGGTCATGGTAGGAATCACGCATGCAATTACCGCCTTGCGGAGGGCTGCTGCTAGGGGCCCTCTGACAGTGTTTACAAGACTTTGAATATGTCTGGCCACGACGAGGCCCTTGGCTGCCCGTCTTTTGACATGCTCCCGGAACTTCAGGGACCTGTCGAAGAAAATCCCCAGCCAGCGGACCACCGCCCCTTTCACCGGCTGCGCTGGTTTGATAGTGAAGCCTCCGGTGGTGACTATTTCTGGTGTGAGAGGTCTCCTCCTTGTATCAAAGTAGATGGCTTTAGCCTTGGAGTCTTCAAAGGTGATCTTATTGTCTAGGCCCCAGCGTAGAATATCGTCTACCATGCCAGCTGCCTTGGCTGCTAGCTCAGTAGTGGTTTTGCCCGTTATTCGGATGCCGACGTCGTCTGTATATCCGAATCTGTTATGCTTATCCTTTAAGAAGATATCTGCAATATACAGCAGGAAGAGGATCGGGGAAGCTGGTGATCCTTGTGGGAGCCCACAGCTCAGTCCGAATACCTTAGTAGTAACGCCTTCCAGTCTAATCCGAGCAGTTCTGTCCGATAAGAAGGAATCTATCCATTTTATTAGGGCTGGTGCCCAGCCCTGTTGGCGGAGCCTAAGGATCAATATCTGGCGAAGTACTGCATCAAACGCCCCTTGTACATCCAGGGTAACAAAAAGGGCTTTTTGCCCAGATTCCAGGGTTAATTCGATATCGTGTGTGACTGCTGCAGTAAGGTCGACCGCAGAGCGCTTAGGGAGGGCCCCGATTTGGTTTGGGCTGGTCACCCCTTTTAGTAGGGCTGTTGTTGCCATCCGTTTCGTAACTAGCCTTTCAAGGCCCTTTCCAAGGCATGATAACAGAGCAATTGGCCTGTATGATTTTGCGGTAATATAGTTCTTTTTCCCTGGCTTCTTGAGCATGACTACCTCTGCTGACTTGAAAGGGGTGGGATGGTGTCCCGTTTTAAGGCAGGCTTGAAATAGAAGCCGAATCGACTCTGCTAGGTGGACGCATGCCGCTTTGAGGAGCCGTGTTGAGAGAGAGTCTATTCCGGGGGCTGTATTTTCTGTGAGAACCATTTTAGCAAGTTCGGTTGGCGATATTGCAGAGTCCCATTCCAATGCAGCGTGGGGGGCGATGGGAATCTCTAACCGGTTGTATACGAGGTCGTTTTTGGCCGAGTGCCTGTCTAGTAAGGCCGTCTTGAGGGCATATGCCTTTTCAGTAGTGTCCTCTACTGTCAAGTTGCCGACTTTTAGTGGTGGTGATTTTATGTCCGGACCTAGCTTATGCCAGTTGATTATCTTGAAGAGGTCTGAGTCTTTCTGTATGCCTTTGATGCGGGTTTTCCAGTATTCTCTTTTTGCCTTTTTTACTACCGCCCGATACGCGCGTTTCTCTTTCGTAGGGGTGTTTATTCTGAATTGTTTCGTTGCCAGCTTGTACGTTCTTTTTGCTTTCCTGTACTCATCGTCCCACCAAAGAGCGTTTTGTCTCTTGCTGCTTGGCTTGTTGCCAACAGTTTCGAGGGCCAGCGTGATGAGGTTTATAATAGCAGAGGCAGCTCTGTCGAGTTCTTCTGTTGTGGGGTTGGAGCTGAGGCTTGGTAGCGGGGTTCCCATACGTATTATCTCACAGAACTCTGATAGTTTGTCATCTGGTATTGTGTATCTCTGTTGAGCCACTCTTTGTTTCCCTTTGGATGGGATCGTGATTTGCAGTGACCAGTGATCTGCGGCTGCGTGTATAGCGTAGTTGACTACTGCGGTTGCAAAGGGGATGTTCGAGAAGGTCAGGTCGAGGACGTGCCCATCGTCGTGTGTAGGGACGCCCAGTTCCCCAATGTACACGAGCTGGTTTCCTGCTGCCTATTATGTAATTTTCCAGCCTCGGGCTCTTCTTGATATTCCTGGTTCCCAAGAGGGGTTGTTTGCATTAAAATCTCCTGTTACTACGCAGTGGGCAGGAGGTTGCCAGGCAAGCAGCAGGTCTAGTGCTTCCTCTCCTTGGCGATAGAAGTTCACAAGTGTGACTCCGTTTATTGTGAGCCAGATAATGTCTCTGGACGGGGCTGGCCTGCTTTGTTGTGTCTTGAGTCCGGCGTCTTTTCGTACGTATGACAGAACTCTTGGCCTGTCCGATGTACCCTCCCAATGGTCTATCGGAACGTATGCGTCCTATTGGGGGTGTGAGCTGTAGCGGCATTTCTCATCTATACTGACCCACGGTTCTTGAATCAGGACCACGTCTATGTCCGCCTCGCAACAGTCCTGTAGGAGAGCCGCGTGTGATTCGTGCATCTTCTGGACGTTTCCTTGAGCAATCTTGAAAGAACTGATCCTCTGTCTGCAGTGCCCCTGACCGCCTTGTCTCTGGTTAGGGACCCGGGGGAGCCTAGTCCCGGAGGTCTGAGTGGCACTCGAAGGCTGAGCTGACATTATTACCAGTATAGTCGACTTGGTTTTGCTGGCGGCAAGGTCTCCTCATGGATCCTGTGCCCTGCTGTGATTCTTTGGGGAGAGGGGGTAGACTGGTCATCTCCGTATCCTCCTTGTCTAGGTTATTGACTTCGTCTAGCCCCTCCTCTTACGTAGATTCACTGTCTGTGAGGTTGATTTCGGGTGTGTTCATACTTGCTACTATGATGCTGTTCATGGCTCATATTAGGGCTGGGTGTGGTTTCTTCTTGAGAGGGTGCCGCCAGTACCGGGGCTAAGCTTTAAAGAGCTGGTGGGTTCCTTATAGCGTTTATCTCGTTATAGAGCTTTAGATATGACTTCCTGAGCTTCTTCCTTTCCTGGTTCGAGGGGTGGACCAACTGGCCTCCTATTTTCTTAGGTCTGGCTGGGCAGTTTATATATGTTGAGATTTTGGGCCCCATGCAGTTGGCACATTGAAGGGGGAGCGTGCATAAAGATACGTGCCTTTCGTCTTCCGGTTTCCCGCATCTCTCACAGCGGCTAAGGCGGGCACACCGCCATGCAGGGTGCCAACCTTGGCATCCTGGGTTATGTTGTAAGGGAGGGCTTTTCTTCTTGATAAGCCTAGACCTTAAATAGAGACTAAAGATTCTAAAGGCTCCTATTTTCTCGGTGAACGAAACGAACCATGTGACTTGGCCGGACTCATTGAGACCGTTTTTTGATATGCGTGTATTAACTGGGCGGCGGCCGGTCTGGAATTCGCATTCATCTAGGGTCATTTCTGATGTGATCTCCACGTCTTTAAGTTCCATGTTGGTAAGTCTAGTTAGACAGTTTGGGAGGGCATAAGTATGCCACTTGACGGGTAGTTCTACTATAGAGGCTTTTATGAGCTGAGCTAGTTTTGCCTTTTGTGCTAGGATCCTTCCTTGTGCAGTTTTATCCCTTGGTTAAAGAGACAAGCCGGTAGGGATTCTGTGTGCATCTGCCACATCGGAAGCCATGAGGTTTAGCTCCTTGGTGATAGTTTTTTGAAGGGCGTATGTGCTGATAGTTCTTGACCAGCCGAGCTGGTCTTTTGGAAGCCTTATGAAGATACGGAGGTCTTCTTTCTGTGTTGGCGGTCTGGTCCCGGCGTGTTTCTTAGGGCTGTTTCTAGCTGCCTGGGGCTAGATGCCATTTGCGGTGACCCCTGCATACGTGGGTCGTACAGGGGGTTATTTGTGATCTTTGTTGGGTCTGTGGTGGGGTGCGCTTGGGCACCTCTTTTGCTGCGTGGGGTCCTGTTCCTGCCGGCTTCTGTCCTTCACTATTGGCAAATACGTTCGTGCGGAGGAACTGGGAAAAGCTGGTGGCTATCTGTTGGGCGTAGGCCAGCTGTTCTGGGTCCTTTGTCACGGTTGCGACGACTGTGTCGAGGGATCCGGCAACGAGTTCTAGGATATCCATTTGAATTTTCTCCTTGCGGTGTCGTTCATTTACTGCTTGGTGCAGGGCTTGTAGGGCCGAGTTTTGGGCCTGGATAGTATGTATGGAGGTACTGAGGCCATTAGGCTTTGCGAAGAGGCTGATGGGGACAGAGGCTGCTCCGGAGACAGCGTTATTCTTGTCCTTGTTATCCCTTCTTAAAAGCACCGTCGGGATTGGGGCCCATCGTGTTGAATTTCTTCGTGTGTGGAGCGATCTCAGACACCCGGCTGAGCTGAGGGGCGGGGGGTGCCGCTGCGCTGCGCTGTCCCCCAAGAGAGGTGTCGCAGGGACGGTGGCAGCTAATGGCTGGTAAGCCATAGCGAGGATCGTGAGATCCGGGGCTTGGTGTTTTGGCCAGATGGAGGCGTCTGTTAGCGTAATGGCTGGCTGGGGTAGGCTACCCACTAACAGTGGGCGCTAAGAAAAATAATTTTAAAAAGAAGGTGTACGATGCAATGGCTCTGGGAGGCGTAGTTTGCCCTATGGAGGGACTGCACCCACGATAAATACAATCAATCAATCATTCCACATAGCAGAATACCACAACATTGCAGTATTGCCCTGCAACAGATACCTCGTGTGAAATGACCAAATTCCAACAATTATGTCAGGGTAGCAGAAGCCTGCTATCCTTTCGAATCCCCCAAGCTACTTATCTAATAGTGTCAAAGGTGAAGGCTGTACTGCTGACTCTATTGGAACAGGCTTGAACGATCAATCATAATACTCGAGTATGGGGTCAAGGTCATGATGTTGCTGATGGTTGGATTGGGAGGTCTAGCTGGACCTGAAGGTCTGGCTAAGTGACCTCGCAATCCGGTATCTAATCACTTATCTAATCATACATGCGGGTCCTGGTATAGATGGTTTGCAAGCTGGAATCCCATGGATCCAACAGACTCAGACTATAATTGTCCAAGCCAAGAAAATGAATTATGTACGTTACATATGACCACCGCAGTCTAGTGAGGGTGTGTAAGGCGGTGCTTGCGAATAAAACCTCCTACCGCTATAGCAACATCCCGAGCGCTTTCTTCAAACCCAATGATCTTAGCGGCCAGAAAGGTATCATGACACGCAGCATCTTCAAGGTGCGACTCGATCACGTTTCCATCCACCCCCGCCATCTCTTCTACCCAATGAGTATCCGCGTCAAGAAACAACTCTGCTGAGCCCGTGTTTACGAAAATCGGCACAGGAGTTGTAAACGGATTGCCTAGTGGCGTGATGTATGGGCGAGACGAGGCATCGGTCAAATTTGCCGAGTAAGCCCGCGCTCCCCAGCGCAAGAAAGACGTCGGCAGGTAATCTGCGCCGCGATTCCGGTGATTCGCAGTATCGTAGTGGAGTGGTGCCACCCATGGCGAGAACAAAACCGCATATCCGGGGTTGGGGACTCCGAGGCCGGCTCCGAAGTCTTGGATATACCGCAGTAAGGCGATCGTGAGATTGCCACCTGCGCTATCGCCCAAGATCACTATACGATGTCCAGGGATCCTCATTTGATTGACGAGAAATAAATAAGCTGTGACAGCGTCCTGTAGTGCAGCCGGGAATGGATTGATTCCAGAGTAGCCGGACAGCCGGTATTGGAGAGAGAGAACGGTGTCGACACCCCCATGATCAAGCAAAAGATTTGCTGAAAACCCGCATGAGTCGGTTCTGCCGTCTCCCATGACAAAGGCGCCACCATGGAAGTAAAGGCCAACAACTTGCGAAGCCACGTTGGGGTCGGGTGCGTGTGGGAACCACGTCCCTCCTACAGGCTGAGGTTTGACCACTGACGCCAGCGGTCCCTCGTAGACATCTAGGGGCGATGGGTCGATGATTTGGAACCGGTTGCCTTCGTTTTTCTTCTTGAGAGACAGCGTTTCCGTGATGCCAAGATGAGACGTCATGTCCAACATCGCATACATGACGCGTGTCATGAAGGACTGCTTCGTGGTCCATCTTTGATGGGGCCTGAACGGTCGAACCAGAGCAACAATAAGCCAGTAGGGTAGGCGAGCGACAACAGTTCCAATGTAGGTCAGTTGGAATAAAAGCCGGAGGGGCTGGTGGGACAGTAGTGGGTATTGGTTCTGGCTGGCCATGGTGTTGAAAGGATCGCGTTGCGTCTTGGCTGGACTGTACCAGTACAAGTAGGGGAAGTTGGCAGAAGCAGTCAACGAGACGCAGGGACTTATATATGTGTAGATGGATTACGCGGCCGTACTACGGAAGTGATTACAAGCCAATAGATAACCATTCGGAGCAGGAAAGTAACATCCAGCTTCTGATTCTGTCTCAATGTGTGCGGTTAAGGGTGCTTTCGTGTGGGGAAATCGTGCAGAATGGAGACCGGCAGAGACTCTGCCGAAGTCAGGATCATAGATAGGCTCGCCTGGGGGCAACGTTTCATAAATCAGGACTATGCTATGCTATGCACAGGATAACCTGCAGCTCCAAATCTTCTAGGCCAAGCCAGGATGCACATTCATTAAGCTACGTAGAAGACTAAAGGTGCCCGTAGCTTCAATCCAGTTCTTATGCTTTATTGTTTCTAATAGCCTATTTGCTGGTTTGTGCAGTAGACCCAACGCGTCCAGTCACAAGCCATGAGGGACCATTGACCTATAGGTGCGAATGCAGCGGGGTAGACGTCTCGGGTGCGTCTTCGGGACGACCGTTGGACCAATGTCTGGGCAAGACTTGACCCGACAGAACGGGACGGTCCGACACTATTTTGTGCCTGTCTCATCAGGCTAGAAAATACCTACCACCTGAGAATGAGGCTGTAATTACCGTTGTCGCGTAAAAAAGGCAAGAGGCGGCTGAGAATAATTCGTTATCGATGTTTATAATCGATGACATGTGGCCAACACTGACGTGGCATACAGGATGACCACATCTGCAGGCTAAAAGTCATGCTCTCCTGACTTGGGATTTGAAGTGTTGGTCTGGGCAACCATATGACTAACTTACACGACGGTTCTAGTTCAATGCGCAGCAGCTTCTCAGCCCGACCTGAGACCCAATGAATGCGTTGGATTTCAAAGTTGTTAGAAAGCCCAAGCCGCGGTGACGTGCTAGTTAAGACGAACCAAATCCGTGCATGCATCATGTATGACTCCAACTGTACCACGGCCGTGGCTGACAGGTCATCATTGGAAGTACACATGCCTCGTGGGATGGCGCGTCTTCGATGCCGTCTAGCGGCCACGAAGGATTCGTCTGGAGGCGGTGACGTGGTGTGATACACATGCATGGGATAAAGTGAAGCTGGCTATGAGTGACTCGCGACCAACCACTCATTACGTACGTATCAGGAGCGGATACTTTGATAGCGACCTCACGTGTTGCTTTGAAGGCCCGCTTCGACAGGCAACAGGTCGAATTGATTGATTGATTGTATTTAACGTGGGGGATCGCTCCTCAATAGTGCGAACCACGCCTCCCAGAGCCTCTGCATCGCAGGGTTGTGGAGGTATCAAGAAAATAAGTACAGTCAGTCCCGCTCACGAGCCCATCCCCGTTGTTGTGGCGGTATGACTTTGGATCATCCATCTGGTCCTTCAAGAACAGTTATCTATCGGGGGCAGATTGATGAAAAGAACTTGCTCTTCTCAACGAATCTTGCCCATTCCGCACTCCTCTCCCCCAAGTATTGTAAACAAGCTGCCAAAAACCCAGTAGACTTATATATAAGTAAAAATAAAAACGAAACGTAATTAAACAAACAACCTAACGTAATATTAGTAATAAAATACAAAAGACCATTATAGTAATACTAAAGTCTATTTTCACGGCTATAAAGATCTAAGTTAATAATAAAAAACAATATGATATATCACTCAAATCAATAAAGGAAAGACCCATTTCTTACCGAGATAATAGTAATTACGTATAATATAATCAGTTATCAAGCAGGGTGGTGATTATAGTTTATAGTTAATTGATACTTTATATTTACTAATTAACTATTATTGTTGGATCCATGTGATTCCACAGTCAAACCATCCATACAGAACCCACATGTATGATTAGATAAGAGATTAGATACCGGATTGTGAGGTCACTTAGCCAGACCTTTCGGTCTAGCTAGACTTCCCAATCCAACCATCAGCAACATCATGACCATGACCCAATACTCGAGTATTATGATTGATCGTTCAAGCCTGTTCCCACACTGATCAGTGTTATCTCCTAAGGCAACACAGATGAACAAGGAAAAGAAGAGACCTTATTGTATCAACGTTCCTCCGTGAGGCGACTCGGGATACAACCAAAGATCTGGATCTTCTGGCGCAAATGTTCCTCCGTGAGGCGACTCGAGGCCCAGCACGAGATCCGAGGTTTTGCACTGCAAACGTTCCTCCGTGAGGCGACTCGAGGCAGTAGATCACGCTGCAATCACAGCAATATTCACATCCCGCGCGGCAGCACAGACTGTTGACATAACCATCCGGCACACGCCCATCCGACATTCGTCCATCCCACACGCGTCCATCCCACACGCCCATCCCCCATCCGACATTCGTCAACCCAACACGCCCATCTGACATTCGTCAATCCGACGCGACCATCCGACACGCGTCCATCCGACACGCCCATCTGACATTCGTCAATCCGACACGCCCATCCGACACGCACACACAAACAACGCGTTCCCCTAGCCCGCACGGGGTCAAAAAGAGAATCCATAAAGGACATAACAGAGGAACCGTACTTCTCCCAGCCATTTCCGCCTAAGGTGTTGTTGCATGACAACTCCCGAAGCAGACGTAGGTATCTGTCCAGTATTGAAGCAGTCCCTCACGTAGCCACTCCAACTCGTGGTTAGATTTTCTCCACGGGTCTTTTCATACTTTGACGTTTCAACTTGCTTCAATTAGGATCGGTGCTCATTGAACAAAGGGGTTTCATAAGAAGCGGCACCACTGACAGGGGTCTACTCATAACGTTCAAAAAGTGTTCCATTGCGATAGGGAGGGGTCCCAGCGGAAAGCTGTGAGCAGCCCCCTGTCGTCGGTGGTAGATGAGTGTACCACGAGTCTCGGATCAGAGAAGCGAGCTTGAGATTCAGACGAAAGTTCATCCATAACCCAGCTGGGAAGCAGGTTCCAATTGCAGCTTGTTTGAGGATCGACTCGGCCTCACTGTGCGCGCTTCATTTCAGCCAACGGTGGTTCGACCGAGAACCGATTTGGTATCATTTGCTTATGGTGGCCGGAGCATGAACCGCCCCTGGAATGATTTGGGATCCATGCCTGCCCGGTTTTTTTATGCAGCGGGCGACCACCGTAAATAGACAATATATGTACACCGTAAAATAGGATTGATGGAAGCCTCCAGCAGGCATTAGTACCGGATTGACCGCGTGTTCCTTATAACGGAGTAATCCCAAAGGGATGACATGGGCGTATGATCCTCTGGCCAAGATCGGGGTTCAATTGGGATATGGATTCGTTGTTGCCCCCTAGGAGCCAAAGTTTCGAATCCTATTCGCGTGTAGTCTTGCAGGCGTGGGCCACGGGGTCTCCGCGATAACCAGCATGCTGTGAGTTTGCAGGAACTGGGCTTACTTGTCATCTACAACCCCTTATAGGTATGTATGTTTGCCCTGTCACGTACTTTGCACTGTACATGGGCTCCGAGCAGGGCTGTCTGAAAAGGTATCTTGGTGGATGCTTCCTGAAACCAGGTATGCCGTCAAAAACTGTAGAGGTGTCCAGGATGGTAAACAGTAGCGCGCCCCATACCCCTAGTTCTATATATATATATATAGTTATGAACATACTTCATATATAACAAGATATATATATGCTCATAAATTTATGTCATTGCTATTGCTACTTACTAGCATTTCTTCGGGTTGATACATTTATAGTAATATAGGCTTATATTTATACATCTAGATAACTAGGGTAATGGAGGTTTACCATCCTGGACACCTGTACCCGGCAGAGGTAGGAAACCTTTGCCTATACCCAGTATATTCTATTCCTGTCAGGCAGTGGAACCCGTCTGTCACATTATGTTCTATTCGTGTCAAGTAGTGGAACCCGTCTGGCACACTGCCGAGGTACTGGAGAAAAGCATGAGCAGTAGGTGGCGACGTTCGTTGGCATCAGAGGGACCCGTGTGTGTCTGACCAAGCGTACAAGTACAGTTGCAAAATCTGCCTTACCAGAAGAGCGTGGCCCTTAACAACTCACAACTCTTGTTTATCATCTCTCATGTGCCGGCAATGATTCGTGTATCGATTATTGCTTGTCTGCTTGCGGGCGCGCTGCCGGTCCTAGCAGCGACTCTCCCCAGCTTCCTCCACGCCCGAGATGGCAGCTTCAAGGAGCCCCTAGGTCTTTGCGAAACAGACCAACATGTGCAGCAATACTCGGGCTATATCAAGGTAGAGGATGATATTGAGTTGTTCTTCTGGTACGTATCTGCTCAAGACCCAAGCCCTACACCTTGACACCACCACACATGCATTGCCTCATAATCTTGACTCGTCCAGCGTGTCGTCCCTTTTGCGAATTCGTCTAATGCGCGCGGCCATGGTGTTAAGAGACTCATTGGTTCCAATCGAAGCTAACACACGCACCCTTCAAGGTTCTTTGCAGCTCGCACAGATCCAGACAAGAAGCCACTCGTGGCAGAATTCGGTGGAGGTCCGGGCGGTGCCAGTACCAGATTAGCCGAGTCGAACGGGCCTTGTGTGTTTAAAGGCGTGGAAGGTGATGCCCCTGGACACAACGACCTCAGCTTCACAACAGTCGCGAACATGATTTATATAGATCAACCGGTCGGTGTTGGGTTTTCAAAGGGTAGTGACGATAAGGTCCGGCAGATGGATTCTACTAACAAGGCAGCTCCCCTGGTTTGGAAGTTCTTCCAAGAACTTTACAAACACAATGAGTTCACCAAGTTTCAAGGTCGCGACACAGGAATATTCACCATGTCGTATGGAGGGATTTATGGACCCGCCTTTGCAAAGTACATACTGGAACAGAACGCGATCGACAATGGCGTGCCTATCAACCTCCGATGGCTCTGCATTGATAGTGGTATGATGGATCTTAGTATCGCATCGAGCTCCACGATCGATTACGCCTATGAGAATCCATACACAAAGCTGCTTACGAAACAGAAAGATTACGCCGCTTTGCAGGATAAATTCACCGAGAATTATGCACCACTGTTCGAAACGTGTAAGAAAACCGACAAAGATGATGACTGCAAAGCTGCTGCCGAGAAAAGCAAGGAGTTAACTGAAGGCGGCGCACTCAGAGAGATGGGTATGAATTTCGACGTCAGATATGTGACAAAGCCTGTGCCTCTGGATGAAGACTACATAACGGATCCGACGTCCATCTGGCTCTCTCGGGAGGAAATTAGCAAGAGGTTAGGTGCCAAGCAGGAGTACAATGGGTTCAGCAACCAGATCCTGGAGCAATTCTACGAAACAGGGGATCGTACGTACCACCGCCTGTTCTTTTGAGCTCACGAATATGCCTCGACCGATCGCTAACGACCCCAAGCCGCACGCTCGGCATTGCCCAATCTTAGTCAAGTTGCAAAGGCCGGTGTTTCCATCTTATTCACGGCCGGCGACAGGGAGTAAGTCGTACAAGCTTGCAAGTCAACGCCCTTATGCTGACAAGTTTCTCCTAGTTACATCTGCAACCATAAAGGTGTACAGAAGTCAGCCGAGAGCATCGATTTTGACGGCCGTGATAACTTTGCACAAAAGGAGTTGTTACCGTGGACGGTCGGCGGCGCGTACTACGGGGATTATAAGACAGAAGGCCGTATTTCATACCTGAAGGTGGATTTTGCAGGACACTGCACACCATATTATCGTAAGCCACCCACCCTATACCCAGGCAGTAATTTCGCACTGGTGCTGACCTGCAATAGGGCCTACGATTGCACTAGCGTTTTTCCGGCAATTTTTGGCAAACGGCTACTTAGTCTCTGAGGAGAGCTGATACATTCTGCCGGTAACTTTTTGTTGGATTCTGGGCTACGTTAGCCCATCCATAGTCATCCTTCAGGATCACCATCCCCATTTGTGACTCTGTCACATACGTGGCCAATATAAGGCCACGTATCCTTTCCTTTAGTATCTTGGATATATATAGGGCCATTCTGGCCGCTCCAGAGTAGCTGGAATTCCTCTCCTTAATAGAACACTTTGAAATCTAACATGGTAGCATCTCTGATCGATCACGACCTCCAGCAGCCCTTACCTTTTAAGCTTTTTCTACTGGTCTGATTTATTCTGATCACCCTCTTTCTGCTTGCGCGCCTCCAGGACTAGTTACCCTTGTTGCCACAAGCCTTCAAGTGTTTTTCTGTCGTAACTGTTCTTTTTATACAGAAAGAGGTCGCTCCTTGGCTTATATTTTGCCTTATTTGTAGGCTAGTCTTACAACGTATTATCCTTCTTACATTATGTCCGAATCCACCCCAGAGACGGCCCTCGCCTTTACATCCACCTCTATCCCTCGCCTCTAAGACCATCAGAAGCTCGTCGGCGAGGAGAACTGGGAGGTCTGGGCCCAAACGATGGAGCATTTGCTCACTACTCTCGGGCTCTGGTCTCTTATCCTTGAAGCCATCAAGGCGGACGAGAAGAAACCATATAAGGCCACAACTGGAGCTGTCGACGCCCCAGCCACACCTTCCGCGGGAGCCTCTTCCAAGCCCCCTGAATTGGATGCTAGTCTGAGCATCAAGAGGTCAAAATTATACCTCGCTATCACCCAGAACATCAAGTCTGACCCTGATTCTCGTATCACGGGTTTATTTGACCCTGGTCAGATCTGGATAGCCTTGCGACAGGCATATTCAGGCACGAGAATTGACACAGTTTCATCCGTTATAGATGAACTGGCTGCCATTCGATTCCCTGACCATGGAGACAAGTTTGTGGGCAACTACCGCAGACTAATGGACAAGGTCCTGCGGCAAAATATCACATATCCTCCGAATATTCGCATTGCCAATTTCCTGGCTGCTATTCGGACGGCTTTTCCAACCCTTCACCGCGAAATCTCGAAAGATTATAACCGTGGAATCTTCCCTACGACCGAGAATCTCTTGTACCGGCTCCAGGAGGAGATACAGATTCGCAAGGCTCAAGATGAGACCTTTGCCACCAACTTTGGCAAGCCTGCTACGCCTAGTAAAGGCAAGAGCAAGTGGAAGAACAAGGGGAAAGGCAGTAATCGCCTATCTCTTGATGGCCCCAGAACCCTTGGAGTCAACCAGGGCTCTTCTAACAGTAATACCACGGATCCTATCTGGTGCTATGAGTGCGGAGAGCTTGACAAGAAGAAGGGCCACCTTGGATGCAACAAACGCATCCTCAGCCAGATCATCCAGGCCTCTGAGAAGGCTAGGAAAGATGGAAGGCCTTCAAGCAGCGCTCCCACTCACCAGAGTGGACGCACTGGCGCTTCTGACGCCGCTCAATGGTGCAATTATGCCGATAAAGCCATCTCCAGTCAATCTGTCCTCACTCAAGGACCACATAGCGCCAACCAGGGAGCGAGTACCAATCTGATCGACATCGTTCATGCCACGACAAGCACAGACTCATGGCTGTTTGACACAGGCTCTACCGTTCCTATTTGCAATAGCAAGAAGTGGTTTACTCGCCTTCGAATGGACCCTGACCTGGTCCCCTTTAACACTGGAGGAGGCCCTGTTACTCCTCAAGGTATTGGCGACGTGGAGATACCATTCATTACCTCCAACGGTGATACCGTCACTCGGACAATCTCTGGAGTACTATTTGTGCCTTCCTTTCCAATCAACATTCTCTCGGGAGACCAGATGTATCGCCAAGGATGGTATTTGATGATCCGCGATCTGTTTGACCCCCATGGTACATGGGTGGCATCATTCCACCAGGGAATGTACGTTCAGACAGAGATCCCTAGTGTCCAGAAGGACGTATACGGGATCAATCAAGCCCCGGACGTGTTCACCAATATGGTATCCGAGGATTCTTCCCAGGAACTGACCTCTCAAGCCAAATCTGTGGCGCTGAGACTACTCCACCGCTGGCATACAAGACTTGGCCACCGATCTATTGGTGACCTGATCAAGACAGCCAGTATCACCAAAGGGATTGAATTGCCGCCGAATGTACAAGAGCTGGCAAAAGAATTCACCTGTCTGGAATGTCTGGAGTCCAATCTACGTCGCCTAGTCTCTCGAGTTGAGCAGGAACATCCAGATCATGCTTTAGACCTGGTCCATATGGATACAGCCAAGCACTCTGTCCAAGGCTATGATGGTTCTCTCTATGCCACCGTATTTGTGGATGGCAAGTCTCGTTTGAGGGAGTACTGCCCTCACAAGAAGAAAGGGGAAGCTTCCGACCAAGCCATTCGCTACTGTGAATACGCTCACACCCAGTACGGGCGTTATCCAAAGCGATTCCGAATGGATGGTGGTTCTGAATACGCGAGATTCAAGCAATGGGGAGCTGAACGTGGTATCCTGTTCGAAGTCAGCGCTCCATACACTCCCGAGCAGAACGGAGTGGCTGAGAGATCCTTTGGCGTTATACACGCTCTCATTCGCAGTATTATGAAGGATTCCGGGCTACCTGAAGCCCTTTGGCCGGTTGTTGGACCTGCCGTATGTGATAGGCTCAATGTGAGCTATACATCTTTCCTCCAGGGCGTTAAGAAGACTCCCTTTGAAGTTTTCTTTGACGATCTGAACCCTGGAAAGGATAACAAGCCTGATTTGACGAATTTACTGTCAATTGGGCAGGCCGCTGTGGTCCATTTGCCGCAGCAGCGCCGCCCTAAGGGAGACAAGACCACTCCACACGCAAGGAGAGGTCGTATTCTTCGTTCCCTTGGTTCCAACCAGTACCAGGTGTATCTTACACACCTGAGAAAGGTTGTAGTTACTGCCCATCTTGAGATTTTGGATGGGTATGTACTTTCAAGGGATTTGATCCACATCTTTCCAAACTTCCGTGGTACACTCGATGACTATGAGACAACCAGACCTGATGCTGAAGATCTGCCAGCGCCGTCTTCACCAGAGGGCGCTCACGATCCTCAGCATATATATATCGAGTCAGATAACGGAAGGGATGGTAGAGATGATTCACCCCAACCAGTTGTCACGTTAGGGACCCCTCTTGGGTCCCCTGACGCTTCTGATAATGATGATGGTCATCATTCTGACTCTGGATATAGCAACCCTGAGCCTAGTACTGCTCTAGCTGACTCGATTCTTCTATCATCTGAACCACCTCGTCAAGAAGTAGCCCCAACGGCTGCTCCGAGGTCAAGAATCCAATCAGGGCTCAACCCAGAGAATGTACTCTCCGGAGGGCGCACTCGGAGGACTCACAACCACTACGTGGCCGAGTCTTCCACCCCTGGCATATCTCCACATGTTACGATCGAGGCATCTTATGCCAATTGGCCGTCTTCTGACCCTGATCAGGCACTTCCCCGTAATGACAAGCCTTTTAGCTACAAGGAAGCCATGGAGTCTGCCGAGGCACCTCAATAGCTGGATGGCACTCACACAGAGATACGGGCATTGCTGCGCAATAATACCTTCATTCCTTTGTGGAGGTCTGATCTGCCTGCTGGGCGTAAAACTCTCTCTAGCCGCAATGTTTATAAGCGGAAGAGGGACTCTGACGGCAACACCTCTCGGTACAAGGCTAGGGTGGTTGTACGAGGCTTCATGCAACGCCATGGCCTCGACTATTTCGAAACCCAGGCCTCAAGCGCTCGTACTACCACCTGGAGGCTCCTTCTAGCCATTGCTGCCGTTCTGGACTGGGAAATTGACCAGATGGATGCTGTATCTGCCTTCCTGATGGGAGAACTGGATGAAGAGATCTTCATGGAGACGCCTGATGGTCTCTTTGACTTCTTTGAGATGTATCCAGATGAGAATACCATCAACTGGAGACCTGGCATGATTATGAAGCTTGCGAAACCGCTATATGGGCTCAAGCAGAGCCCCAGGCAGTGGCAGAAGCGCATTCGCAGCGCTCTGAAGGACCTCGGATTCGACCCTCTGGTCTCTGACAACGCAGTCTATGTCAACATCAGCCGTGGCATTATAGTGATTAGCTATGTCGACGATTTCCTCATTTTGGGGGCTAATCGTGACGGGATCGCTGCCTTCAAGAAGGAACTAGGTTCTACATTTGAGATAAAGGACATGGGAGCTGCTGAACACTTCCTAGGAGTCCACATTGTCAGAAACCAAGCTGAGAGGACGTTATATCTCTCTCAACAGACGTATGTAAGAAGGACTGTGGAGGCGTTCGACCAGCAGAACACTGGCAAGATGAACGTGCCGATATCTCCTCAAGCAATGGAACAGATGGAGTCCCTAGACAACGACCTTGAGGTCGATACACGTCCTATTCAGACATACCAGTCCCTGATCGGTTCTGAGAACTTCCCTGCGTCGTATACGAGACCAGATATTGCATACTCTATGGGTGTTCTCTCGCGATACCTTCACAACCCTGGCTCAGCCCAATATAAGGCCGCTCTGGGCCTACTTCGCTACTTGTGGCACTCTCAAGATCTTGGGATCAAATTTGGAGGTCCCGAATATGTCAGGAAGACCCGCCAGGAGGTCCTTGAGATGATTCCGGATCTGCTGGTTGGTTACTGTGATGCCAGCTATGCTGGAAGCATCAAGACCAGCGCCAAATCCACCTCAGGCTACCTGTTCACGTTTGCTGGGGGCGCTGTCTCCTGGGCATCCAAGCTGCAGACTGTTGTGGCTCAGTCTACTGTGGAATCGGAGTACTACGCACTCTCTGAAGCCGTCAAAGAGGCTGCCTGGCTACGAGAACTGATGCTGGAACTTGGTTTCACTCTGAATGCTATCAACATCCATTCAGACAGTGCTGGAGCTATTAATTTGGCTCAGAATGCTGAATTCCATCGTCGAACTAAGCACATTCGAGTCAGGGAACACTATATTCGTCAGGAGATCTTGGAAGGCCATATACGGCTCTCTTTCCTTGGAACCAATGAAATGCCTGCAGACGGTCTCACCAAAGCTTTGACAAAAGCAAGGTTCTTCAAGTTTCTGGAGTTGCTAGGACTGGTTCATGTAGAGGGGTGATATTCTGGTTATGTTAATTCCCTCAGTCTGAGAGGGCGTGTTGGATTCTGGGCTACGTTAGCCCATCCATAGTCATCCTTCAGGATCACTATCCCCATTTGTGACTCTGTCACATACGTGGCCAATATAAGGCCACGTATCCTTTCCTTTAGTATCTTGGATATATATAGGGCCATTCTGGCCGCTCCAGAGTAGCTGGAATTCCTCTCCTTAATAGAACACTTTGAAATCTAACACTTTTACCGACGCGGCATCAGGCAAAATCACGGGTTGGCACGCTAGCAGGATCGCACGAGGGGAGTACAATTTACAGGATAAAATATACCTGGCTGATTGAGGAGAAGGCAAGCCAGAGAGGCATGACTCATTCATCTGCTTGTAACTTAGGGCCGAACCAACCCGCTTCTTATCTAGCAACAACGTAAGCCTCGATCAAACCGGGGGCGAATGGGACAGCTAGACGGCAATTATGGGGTAGTCATAGAGGAATCATAGAGCATATTATGTAGATCAACAGGGACAGATTCACGAAGTCAACGCAACCGTCAGAGAGTTCCTCTGTTACGGTATTACATAATACCTCCACATATTTATGTACATATATACCTCTAGCTTCCCCTTTCTCTTCCGACCTTGCCTCTTCTTCCTTAGATATCGTTGAATCTAGATATTTCATCCCATCAGCCCTGACCAACGCAGCTGCAGCAAGGACCACGCTGCATACACGTAATCCACGCGTTGATACATATACACGTACATATACACATACATCCATTACACGAAGACGGACCCTCTTGGCACACTACATACATGTCCAGCTCTTGGTATGTATATGTATGTATTTGCGTGTATCTGAGGTAGATATGTAAGTAGTATAAGAAGCAATGTCGAGGAGTAAAATGTTATGGTGATGATGGTTTTTGGAGGAGTGAGCTCGGACCACTGAGATATTCCGACTTGGCACTCGGTACTTAGTTTTTACTCCGACTATTACGTGAAATCTTAGTTTCAAAGCATCGCGTCACCACAACGCGCGTCTCTGCCATTATCACCTGCCGTCAGTGCGATACTGCCCACTAAGTAACTATTCGACGCGACTTCGAGATGAGTCCGACCTACGACGGAAACCACGCCATTGTATCGATCGATCCGAAATGCCTTCTCGATCCTGCCGCTAGCCCAGATCCAACAATCATACCCGTCCCGACAATGATGCCGATACCACTTCCAACACCGACTCCGAAGCTGTTCTTATCAGAACGACCAGCAGCTACCGACGAAGAATGCGAAGAACGATTATGGAAGCTTTATCGTGGCTTTCTATGGTCTGAACGCACAAAAGATCGTAGTTCTTGGACATGGGAACACGGATACGACATCGCGAAGGAGAACGATCGAAAATGGGTTTGCCGTCATTGCCTCCGCAAAAGGCGCACACCAGTCAAGGACTACTCGGCTTCCGGCCTCCAAAATGCGATCCATCACTTGTACGAAGCCCATTCAATAGCTGCACCAGAAACTCCACAACTTGGTCGTGGAGATCAACCGAGCCGACCGCCTAACTTACCTCCTTCGCGAACTTCAAGTTTCTGATATTTCGAAGGATCCTTTATTGACTGGGCGGAAGGCTAAGCCTCTTGGTGTCGTTCGGGACAATGATACAAGGTGGCTGTCCCAGTACTACATGATCCGACGAGCCCTTCGTCTTCGACCTTACCTTGAGCAAGTTATTAGCAAATGGAGGCAAATATGGGAGCAAGAGAATAAGACGAAGAAGGGCGAAGTTCGCAAGTCAGCCAAGCTCCCGAAGATTTGCCAACCAGATAATCAACTAACAGAGAGCGATTGGGAAGCTCTTGAAAATTACCAGACAATCTTGAGCTACTACGAGGATGCAGTGAAAACCCTCGAAGGCGATGGCATCGCTCGGAAACGAAAGCGAGGGTACGTCGGCTCATATGGCAATATCTGGGACGCAATACACGGCTACGAATTTATCCTCAAGCAGCTCGAGCGCTATGTTGTCATGGCTGAAGCACTGCCAGACTCTGTACAGTTTCGGATTGGGGTAAACGCAGCTTGGCACAAGCTGAAAGAGTACTATGGAAAGCTTGACGAGACACCAGTCTATTATGCGGCCTTGGCTCTTTACCCTGCTTATCGATGGGACTGGTTTAAGCAGAATTGGGAAGCAGTATGGGTGAATAAAGCGAAAGAGGCTGTCCTAGAGGCTTGGATCCAGGACTATCGTGACCTTGTGGTTGATACAGGCACCCAACACCTCGGCGTCAAACGGCAGAAGCGATTCCGGAACTCTTTCGAGGAGCATCGCGATCAATCTCGGCATTCATCAAGGGCAGGACTGTCCGCTTCTCCGATGCCCGTCGATGACGAATAAAAGGCCTGGCTAGCGGCCCCTGAGGCGGGCGACGATGATGTTGACGATCCTATTCACTACTGGCACAACAAACGACAACTCAGAGACAAGGGGGCTTTTATGGGCAGGTATAAGCAGGGCGTTCTGTGGGCCTCGGCCGCAGCCCGACTACGGGCTGGGATTTAAGCGGGAGGCCTTCACACACCCACAATTGCAGAAGCTGGAGCCGTTCATTGGAAACGTGCTGCGCGACTGCTCCTATTTTGCCGCCACGTACGACATGTTCCTCCCGTTCTTGACCAGTGAGGTCAAGTGCGGAGCAGGCGCTCTCGACGTCGCCGACCGCCAGAACGCACACAGCCAGGTCGTTGCGCTCCGTGGGCTGGTGGAGCTCTTCCGACTTGTCGGTCGAGAGACGGAACTGCATCGCCAGATCAACGGGTTTTCCGTCTCTCACAGCGACGAGTATGTCAGGATTTGGGGCCACTATGCCGTGATCGACGGGCAAGACGTCTCTTATTTTCGACACCCGATTGCCAAGTTTGACATCTCGCCGACGGCCGAGGGCGACCAGCGGTGGAAGGCATACTCGTTTGTTCGGAACGTCCAGGACCTGTGGGTTCCCGACCACTTCACGAAGATCTGTTCTGTCATCGATGCCTTGCCGACAGAGCTGAGTTTCGACGACGATTTCGGTCCCTCCGAGGGATCGGCCTCGCGGTCTGGATTGTCGCAGGAACTTGACTGTTCCAGCCTTGTTGACGAACAAGCTACAATTTTGGCACAAGGAGGGCTGTATGCCCACCCGGTCTCTCCCAATACGACGATGCAATCTACGTCGACAACCGACCCCATGAAGAGGAGGAGGAACCAATAGGCGGAGGTTGAAGATTGCAGCCGGTGTGGTGTTGCAGATGGTGTAGGCACGGTCACCTTGGGGAGAGAAGCGGTGTCCACGAGGGTGGCCCGAGCGGCCAATTGGCCGCCCTTCATTGGCTGGTAAGGCGGCAGCAATAGGTAATTTGTCGAGTAGCACATGCATTCACCGTGAGCGAATCAAGTCAGAGACCCGATCAGCGACAAAAGGCGGACCATAATACGCATATTCTTACGCTTTGCGGTCATTTAGTTGAGTTTGAGTGGGCGTAGATCGTATCTTGACGATTCCGTACTCCCTTTGGTTGAGGGCATTGCTCCTGTTGTTTCACGTACCTGGCAGAGAGACCCGAGATAGCGTGTGCATTGGGTCCTCGTGACCCTGCATAGGGTCTGCCACCGCGGCACATGTAGTGTCGATAGCTGGGTCGTAGTGGATTGAGTCGTGAGGATTGCAGCATCCCGGGTTATTGCAACCATCAGACTGCTGGTGGTTGACGGACAGGTTCTCCTCGGCAGGTAGGCTGGAAGTGTCTAAGCTCGTAATGCTCTTAGTCTCGCATGGCTCCGCACCGAGGCGACTTGAAGGCTGCGTCCTTTGTACTGTCGTCTCTCTGGGTCGACTTACTGAGCAACTTGACGGAGGCTTTGGTTATGACCAATTGCTCATTAGGAGGGGAGAAATTGGTCCGATGGCGCGTCTTCGATGATATCGAGTGGTAACGAAGGATTGGTTAGGAGGCAGTGACGTGGTGTAATACACATGCATGGGATAAAGTGAGGCTGGCTATGAGTCACTCGCGACCACTCATTTACGTGCATGCCGGAAGCGAGGAAACACCCCAAGCTAGGACGCCAAGCACATTTTACGTCCCGCTCACGATCCAGTTCTAACCCGTGGTTCAGCTCCTGTTCACGATGCAGTTCCTGCTTATGATTCGATTTCATCTCCCTTGACCGTTATCCAACTAACCCGGAGATACATTGCAACCTCACGCAAATATGTAGTACAGCCACTCTGCGATGCAGGTCTCCCCACAAGAACTGCCAGCGTGGATCCAACACAAACAGTTAGATCCAAAGTATCTGCACTTATTCCACTACGCTGGCAAATACCATAGCACTAGAGGCAATATTAACCCCCGACTCAACGGAATCCATGAATTGGACCATCGTAAAACGTACGTGAAATCTGCTGTGAACCACTATACAGTAGCTCATGTTTAAGGTAACAACCTGCATCGTTGCAAGAGGAGAATGATAGCGCGCAATTTCTCCCCTAGATATTTCGGAATCAGTGAGTAACGTTGAGGACAATGATCAGGCGACTTGTCAACTGACCTATTAATTTATTGACATGCTTCTCTGGTTTTTCTTGCTCGTTCTCGAGGTTGGACTTTAGATAACGACAAACTTGATCGTGTAAAGCGGCATTTGGACTTGGAGCCTCAATGAACACCTGGATCGATTTAGGAAGCTCTCTTTTCCTAGATGTCATTTTTATAGATAGTAGCTGGAATATTGAGGTTAAAAAGAAGAAAAGCAAGTTCTAAATAAGACGACAATCGCATATTGGAATGAGGGATCAAAAAAATGAGGTGGTTGGTTCAGTACGAGTCCCTTGGCTGCGGCCACCACTACAGACGACGGGAAAATACAGCTGCCCTTACAGGCGGCACGTACTCGCGGGTGCACCTCATCCAACCGTCCAAATGGTGTCATGGCCTCGCATGTGCAAATCAATTAATTGTAATAATCATGCAGGAATTCATGACTTCCTGTTGATCTCGGACAATGATTATACATGGCCGGAACACCTTTGGAGCACTCGATTTCGCCCAGTCAGCTCGTATCGTATGCCGTTATGTGTAGGATAAAGGTGGGCAACATCGAAGGAGGGTGCATACTTTGGGCTTCGTGTCAAAGCATTCCTAGAGCTTGATGAGGGCCGCCATGTCGCCCATGGTGATCGGGCCAGAGGTCGCAGTCTCGGGTGCCATCCTCTGCTGTATTGGTAGACGCAGTGGATTACGTGTATGGGCGCGTGGGTGTGGGCGTTAGAGGTGGAGTTGATTGATGATGCGGAATGGTGGGTGGAAGAAAATAGGGCTGGCAAGGCCGAGAGATCTCTGCTTGACGTGGGGTCATTAGGGGATCGCTTAAGCCCCGCAGTGCCCTGTTAGGTGGGGAAGCGGGACAGGGGGCTTTTCTGAGGCTTTGATTGCCTACTAATTACCATGGGTCATGGCTGATGACAAGGCGCCATTTGGCAGGACCGGGAGTAAAGCGAGTAATGGGCACATACAATGAGTCTTCATTCTAGACGACCTATCACGATATAGCTCATGTACAAGGTTAAGTCCGCACTTACTGTCTCCGGTAATAGCCGCTAGCCAACCACGTCGAACGGCTATAAATTTCATGTGGGGTTGAACTCCGCAAATTCTATAGCAGGACTGTTACAGATAGGGCCCCGTTTCCTGTACGATTTAAGTATTATGGTCGTTGCAGCAAGAACTGTGCTTGTTGACAGTGTAGTGCGGCCGTTTACGAGTAAGGAAATACAGGCTTTTTAATCTCCCGTTCCTGTTCCAAGGAGTCGTCCCGCAAATTTGAAGAGCTCCAAGAACAGAAAAAGCACAGTCAACAAATCATTCGACTGATATCCATAAGACGTTACTAACAGTGGGGACCTAAAGACACGGCCAAAGACCTTTCTCTCCTTTTCCCTTAGTCTGTGTCACAGGCATCGCCTGCCCATGCTGTTGCATTGGGACATGAATCGAATAGATTTTGGACTTCTACGATTCACTCGAGAACGGTCAAAAGTCTCTGAGTTACGCAACTGATCATGTCAAGGAATCAGAGCAGCATACCATGTTCATAATGACCTAAGGCGATACGCAGTGATACTGCTCGTGGAAGCATAGAGCCATGGTAAATTATGCCAGGAATATCTGGACCCAAGTCCCAGGGAGTTCAACCTGGCACATTGGACACGTACTTTGTGGGGGGGGGGGGGGAACACCCTTGTACATGAGCTGTGTCGTAAATCGCTTCACATCAAGATCAGAATACAATCAACTCTAAATATACACAATTACCACACCAACGCTGTCTGACATGTGGCTGGAGATTGCCACGGTTGAAACTAATCTTCACACTACCAACGGTGCTGACGCCGAAAGACACCACCATCCTTTCGATTGCAGGTTCCCCAGTCTCCGCCTACTAGCATGTTCATATTCTCTCACTAAACACACGCATCCAGGAAGCTACTGACGTCTTCTGCGTTTGGTGCCCTTCTCTTCACCAGTTTCGCCGTCGGCCGGTCTCTTTCTGTGATTCGGAGCTCCGAACCATGTGTCGAGGCCTTGCGCATGCAGGAGCCATTATAATGTAAAGGGGGGCCCGCTGATGTCACAAGCCTCCTCCGCTCCCTCTCGTAGTCCGATCTTGATGGGACTTAGCCGACTGTCTACTGCGAAACAGACTTCTTGGCCGGTGTCTCCATCTACTAGAGAGCCGGGTCTGGTTTCCAGGTTTACGGCAAAAGTTCGGTTCTCTACGACAAAGAAAGCGCTTGCTTCGTGCAACAGCGACCGTAACGCCATATATTCCGGACTGTTGGTTGCTTAAACGAGTGTATTAAGTGAGATCACATACTAGCCCAAAGGCAGACAAGTTCCAAATCGATGCGGGTAAGTGAGTGTTCCGCTTCCAGTCCAATGCCCTGCTTTACAGCTCAAGGCGCTTCTAGCTCTTTTCCTCCCGCGACTCGTTTCTCGATCCCAGAACCATGGCGTGACATGCGCAAGTCCCCCTCAGGCCTTTCCGGTGATGGCCGGATGGTCAGGAGTCACTCGCGCATGTCATCTGACGATGTCCGCACGACAGACCGAATCTGGTCACGCCCCGACGAGGCAACAAAGCCCCATTACATATTCCACACAGCCTGGCATTCCATGACCCCCTTCATGGAGCTATATGGGTACGAGGATCTGAGGCCGCCATCAACTCGGCCACAGTCCATCTGTACCCTCTCCCACGAAAGGGTGGCATGAGCCAACTTTATGTCAAATATGCGATGGGACTCCTCCGGGCCTCCTCGGCGCGTTGCCGGACTAGGGCTGGCGCAGGACTTCTGAAGCAGACTACCTTAGGCTCGAGGGATCATCTGTATCATGTTAGCCACGGTGGTGGCGATCGCCGATGAGGGCTCACGTGCCTACGTGAGCAGGTTGTGGATCAGGCCGAGACGAGCCATCACTCGACCAAGAGCCTCCGACCCGCCTGCGAGATGGACGGCACCAAGAAGGGCCTCGACGGTGGTCGCCATCATGCCGCCCGAGACCTGGGTCGTGCCATGATTGAGAATGACGCATTCTTCGAGACCATGAGCGACCCCAACTTGGGCCAAGTTTTCGTTCGCAAGGAGTTTGCGAATTTCGGTCCATTGCCCTTGTACAAGGTCAGTACGGGCAATGTGAAGACAAGATAATTTCATTCGCCTACCTTTGGTTAAACCGTCCTTGCCAATCCACAAGGTTGACAAGTACGCAGCCGCCTGTATGTCTCCATGGACAGCCAGGACATTGTTCTTGCGAACTCTTTGACCCTGGTAGAAGGTCAAGCCAGCAGTGTTCAGTGACTCCACGCAAGGACCCTTGTCGACGGTGAACGTGAAGCCAAGACGTTCCTCAGCGCGTGAAACTTTCTGCTCTACCATGGTAGCCATGGTATAGATGGGCGGGTCAACGTGTGTCGATGGTTGTGCGGATAGATAGAGATTCGAGATGTCTCAAGTGCTGCTGATCTTGGTCGGGAAATAAATGGACGAGGACGGTGATGAAGGGAGAGTCTGGAAGAAGGTTGTGGGAACGAGCACCCTCGAGACCTGCGGTATATATATCCGCGTGAAGAAGCCCGATTCGAACACCAGAATCTGCCTTGGTCAAAGCCCTGGTGGCGCACCCGACAGTACTGTACGACGGCAGCTCGCATGAAGCACCACCGGGCGGGGCAATGCTTCGGCCTCGGTGAATTCCTACCAGGTGATTCGCCAAGTTATATTGCAGGTACGGCAGCCTGCCTCATAATCATATGAGCGGAAGTCGCGAGACTCCTAATGAGCAGCTGTTGAACAGTTTGGGCATGCGAGCACCCCCAGCCTGCAAGCTAGCCAACGATGCAGCGCCGCGTGCCCGCTGCAGACCCGGAGTCAATGTGCAGCTGGACTCTTCAACGCTGAGCGTCCAATTTGATTTGCTTTGGCCAGATTTTCGCTGCTTAACGCAAGTGGCTGCAACAGGTAGGCTGAACAGGAACGATGACAACCGCCGGTGTGATGCTTGATTCCACGAGAGCAAACGCTGCTTCTTATCGAGGTTATATCTTATCAAGCCACAAATGAATGCGGCTGGTGCTCTAATCTTTGCACGCAAGCCACTCGCGCTAACATAATGCAAGGGGTAATTCCCTCGGCTTTCGCGATACGACTCCGCCTGTCCGACGGGTTGCGTCGCTGGGAGCATCGATGGTCCAGAGGATTGCTTTGGCGCTGGCCGCCTCGGCGCGCTTCATCAGGTCCCATGTCGCGGAGAGGTTGGCGTTGCTGTACATCTGAAATGTGGTTAGTAGGCTTGGTTCAGAGGACATCATCCTGACATACCTGTTGAAAGACCACCTGAGGGCCGTTGAACGTCGAATTGCTCTTGACTGTAGCAAGTTCTTTTATCGTCTTCATCGCGTAGAGTGCGGGCTGGACGACTATTAGCTCGAGGCAGAGGCTTGGAAGTCGGGTTGGGCACGTACATTATACAGGATGATCTCGCTCGCGGCAGCTTCCATCAAATTGAACTCACCCCGATCAGGGTCTCCGTATCCGGCACGAGCAGCCGGAGCAATGAAAAAGGGGGCACTGAACTTGTACCCCATGATTATTGTACTGGCCAATATGTAAGCATACGTAGGCGCTCATCAGGCGAAAGTTCGACTTACTTCAGCGTCTCATTCACCTTGGTCACATCAGTGAGTTGCCGGGGCCAGAATCATTCCCCCCGGTATTGTCTGATCTTAACGCCGCCATTTATCGTTTGTAGCATCTGCAAGGGTCTTGGTCGTACTAAGACTTGATATGTTACTGAAACTATTTGCCCTCCACGGTAAACTATCATTCTAGATATGTGGCAATAACAATGACTTCTAAAGTCCGTCGCAATGACCTCACCAAAAACAACTATTTTTCTTGGCGCCCCGCTGTTAGGGCGCAACCTCTATATCTGCACTAAAACAGGCATCTATTTCAGTACCTGACTATCCTTGCCAAGGCGCAGAAAATTTTTCTCACAAGCTGGATGGCACCCCTTCACGATAGGCCCCCAAATACGCCAGTGGCCGTCCCAAAGACGACTACTGGCGGCGTGCTCAAATCCCCGGTCCCTAAAAGAACATATGGCCCGGCAACCCCAAGCAAGCTCCGCCAGGCACTGCTCGACGACATCAACAGCAGCCCGTCACAGGTCTCTGAGGCTGACTTCACCATTATTTCCCCTCTGAAAGGAAAATCCCCAAATATTAATACTAACAGCATCATTGATATGGAAGTACCTCAATCAAACGAAATCTCTACAGACCAAGCCATTGGAGGCGATACAGGGAACAAGGTCTCTTCCTCAAAGTGCCAGGACCAAGTAGCCAAAATACTGGCTAAAAATAAGCATCTCTATGAAGCCAGGATGACAATGTTTCAAGAGTGTGCTACAGCAGTCAATAAGACACTGGAAAAAGCTGGAACCGAACTATACTCTCATGCCAAGGAGTTCAGCGCTTTCTTCTCCAAATGCCTGAACGAGTGGCTAGAAACCCGAGATCTGCCCAAAAGAAAGACCACTCCTGGCGGGATAGGGATAGGGAAGCCCACCATGACCTTCGCCCAAGCTGTCTCCTCTGGCCAACGACAGCATCCATGGACAGTCAACACTACCATGAAGAAAACACAGCCTGGCGCCCTTATCACTGCCAACCAACTGAAGAAGAAGCAGGATGATCTCCGGGTCTTTGTCCGCATGGATAATAGCCACTTAGAGCCTTATGGAATCAAGTCTACACTGAACAGAAGACTTAAGCTCCACCCTCAGGAGCTTAGAGAAGTGACACGGTGTCCTTCTGGTTTTACCTTACACCCAAGGGACAAGCCAACTCAGGCTAAGCTTCTGGCTTTTCAAGAAGAAATTGCCGACATTCTTAAGGCACAAAAGATTGAGACCCACACAGTCTGGCATCATTACAAGGTCAATGGATGCCCAAGAAAGGTCATCAGTGCAGAAGGGTTCACAATCGATATTACCGACACTATTGTTGCCGATGAAGTTGAAGCCCAAACAGGCGACAGACCTCTGAGGTGCATACTCTCAAAGAACACGATTGATTCTGATCCAGAAACTACATGGATAATCTCTCTGCCCAGTGCAGCAAAGAAACCATTCACGTTTTTTGCTCACTCAATGACCTTAAGACATATTCAATACTCCCCCAAGGTTCACCAGTGTGCGAGCTGCTTCAGATACCATGGTAGGAATTACCGATGCGAAAAGCAAGTATGTGCACACTGCGCCAACACAGTACACCAGGGAGAGTGCGAAAAACCAATCCCAAAGTGTGTCAACTGCAAAGGACCTCATGCTGCCAACTTCGACAAATGCCCTGCCCGCCCCAAGGTTGTGAAAGGTACCATCCATAAGCACACATGGGAGCAAATCCAGGAAATAAGGCTAGCCGGAGAAAGAGCCAGATCCAAGGCCTTCAACGAAGCAGGCAGAAACCAAGCTGGGTCAACACCTAATAACAATAACGAAGACACCACAATGCAAATCGACACAACAGATACAACTCATCCCAGAGATGCCGATACCATTGTTGTCAGTCAATGTTAGATACATCAAACGAAACATATCGACACAGGCATCTAGTCATCCATTCTGTGAATACAGCAGGGGGACAAAAGAGTGCAGGCCCTACAGAGTTAGCCATCAACCTGGCTAACTATGACGATGGAAATGTACTGGATCTGGTGTTCTCAGATGTCCCTATGGCTGAAGCCTCAGTCAATGATGCACTTCAGTGCACCTCAGATCACGAGACATTACGAATAGTCATTCCAATTCAGGGAGATCGGGACCGAGTTCTTAAGGCCAATCATTAGATAGTACCGGACAATAAACTATAAGAGCTGGCAGACAATGTCCAAACCAGGATTCATGAACTCCCCCGGCTGGGTGTATCTCCTGGCCAGGTGGATACCTTTACACAAAGCTTGATCAATATGATTCAAGGCTGTATCAGGACAGTGGGCAAGAAGCCCCGTCAATCTAGGCCCACTGCTTGGTGGAATGATGACTGCAAAGCAGCTATTCAGACATACAGGGCCCTTTCTAAACAAACCACAAGCCAAGAAGGGCGAAATTCAGCCCAACGGGAATTTCGCTGTGTGGTCCGAAAAGCTAAGAGAGAGTACTGGCAGACTCTAATTGATTCAGCGATTGAACCAAAAGACCTGTACAGAATTGTTTCCTGGCACAAGCTGTCAGCAGGATTGTGTTCCCCCCCAATCATCATAGGGGACCAAATCTTTGAGTCACAAGAGAGCAAGGCAAATACACTACGCTTAGCCACGCTTGAACGAAGTACCCCAGATAACGATATTATCGACCCCTGGTCTGCTCAGATCACACAAGCCAAGCCACACATCCCCCTTGAATACCATGTCGGACTAGAAGAGGCTGAAGGGTGCACTATAAGGACCAAGAGCAACTCCCCGGGAGTAGACACCCTCACAGTACGGATTCTGAAAGCTTGCTGGCCAGTCATTGGGGAGCATATCAGAGCCCTTTTCCAGACCTGCCTACAGATTGGACACCACCCTAAACCATTCAAAGTAGCTGAGGTGGTGATGATCCCAAAGCCAGACAAGAAAGACTACTCCAACCCCAGGGCCTACAGACCAATATCGCTATTATCATGTCTTGACAAAGGCCTAGAACGACTCATTGCAAAAAGAATTGCCTGGTTTGTTATCAAACTTGGAATTCTAGCTCCACAACATTTTGGAGCTCTACCAAAGCGCTCTGCCACCGACTTGGTAGCTGCACTCATACACGATATTGAGCAGGCCCTTGACCAAGGCCTTGTTGCAACGGTAGTCACAGCAGATGTGACAGGGGCCTTCGATGCTGCCCTAATGGGACGGCTGGTGGTTCGCATGAGAGAACAGGGCTGGCCAGGCTTTCTTATAAGATGGGTCCAGTCATTCATGTCTGAACGATCCGCAAGAGTTCGGTTTGAAGGTATTGTGACCGATATAAAAGCCCTCACTTGTGGGCTCCCACAAGGCTCACCAGTCTCTCCAATCCTCTACATGCTGTATACAGAGCCAATCTGTGCCCGACTTGGCATGAAAAAAAGACGCTTTGGATATGCAGATAACCTAGTAACACTCTGTATTGAAAAGAACCTTAAAGAAACAGCTACAGAGGCTTCTGAAAACCTTCATTTACTTAACCAATAGGGACATAACAATGCTATTGAATTTGATCCCGACAAAACCGAGATCATGCACTTCTCACAGAAAAAGAACTCAGACAATCCCCCAATTTGCCACGGAACAATGAACAAAACAGCTAAGCATTCCATGCGATGGCTAGGTGTCCTTCTGGATAGGAAACTAAACTTCAAAGACCATGTTTCTCACTGGGCTAAGAAAGCTAGTAAAGTAGCAAATCACCTTCGAGGACTATGCAACACAGTCAAAGGACTTCCAGTAAAGTCAACCAAGAGGGCTGTGAAAGCTTGTGTTATTCCTATTCTCACACATGGCCTGGAGGCCTGGTACCCAGGAATCGAGAAAGCTGGGAGCTTAGGTGAGACATCAGCATGTCGCATTAAGGGGCTTCTTGGAACAATAGATGCTGTACTACGAACGGCGATCAGGGCTATCTTGCCAGTCTGGAAAACACACCCTGGACATATCTTACACTTTGAATCGCAGATTCCCCCAGCAGGAGTTCTTGCAGAGTCAATAAGACGACGTCACGGCCTCCGACTAGGACGAATAGATCAGAGACACCCTCTGGTTGGCAGGCTCCAAATACAAGCTCGCAAGGATCCAACAAGGCTACAAAAGAGCTTCCAGCTAGTCCCTGACTTCCAGAGACCAATACTTACCAGGTCATCATGGAAGAAGCGCCCAATCCGCAAAGACAAAGACAAAGAAACAGAGCTCTTTAAGCAATGGTTACAAGAGAGAAACGTGAACACTGACCTTGTCATCTACTCAGATGGATCACAGTTGGATGACCAAGGCACAATCCGCACTGGATAGGGTTATACCATCAGGAAAGGCGGCACTACACAAGAAGTATACCGGGGAAGGGGCAGACTTCTACAAGCAGAAGTAGTAGATGCTGAAGTCCATGGTGCTCTCCAAGGTCTTGCAGCAGCCAGGGCAATTGGACACGGAAAACAGCTATATGTCTGCCTGGACAACACGTCAGTGGTAGATGGGCTCAATGGGACTCCACCCGAGACATCACAAAACATTTTTTTATGATTTCAAGAACTTGCCACAGCACACACTCCTGGAGTGACCGTCAAATGGATTCCTGGACACAGAGATATTGATGACAACAAAGCTGCCGACACACTAGCAAAAGAGGGTGCCATGCTGGAAACAGACATAACAAATCTTCCTATAATCTCTTGGGTCAAGAGAGATCTCAAAAGACAGGGCAAGAAAGAGTTCAACCAATGGTGGAAAGACCAATCAGAATCTAGGTATCAAGAAGTATACTCACATGTAGTAACTAAAAGAGACCTTATATCTTTTAAGAGGAGTACTTTACACAGACTTCTAGCGGCCAGATCTGGACATGGCGACTTTGCCAGATACCATGAACGCTTTGAGCACACAGACTCAAATGATCACTGCAGCTGTGGTGAGAAGAAAACACCACAACATATTTTCTTTTATAAGAGGCTGGGGAAAAATCGGCTACTGCCTAGGCATTCGCCTAAAGCAGCTTGTTTACAATACTTAGGGGAGAGGAGCACAGAATGGGCAAAATTCGTGGAGAAGAGCAAGTTCTTTTCAACAATCTGCCCCTGATAGATAGCCTTCCTTGAAGGACCAGATGGATGACCCCAAGGTCATACCGCCGCAACAACGGGGATGGGCCCGTGAGCGGGACTGACTGTACTTATTATCTTGAGACCTCCATAACCCTGCGATGCAGAGGCTCTGGGAGGCGTGGTTTGCACTACTGAGGAGCTACCCCCACGTTAAAAACAAAACAAACAAACATTCTAAAGTCCGTCTAGGGTCTAAATCTGGAACACGCAACAGCGCGGATGTTGAAGCAGGTGTTGAAGCAGGCCTAAAAGACCGCTATAGTGCGAGACTCGAGCAGATTATGGAGTACAGTAAATACAAAGGCAATTGTGAATTTGTGGACGTGGTATCCAAGTCCTGCGGAGGTTCTAAGTTGAGGCTCTTCGATAGAGTACACTTGAAGACATCACCAAAGCACCAACGCTATTCCCAGGAGTGGCGAAATACATGCGCGGCACCATTCTCACGACGCATCGGCATTATCATGAATACTGATAGCGATGACTACGTTAAGTATTAGGTACTTACAAAGCCTTCATTTTTCTAAGGATTGGGGATAGACCGAAGTGGCAAGGCAGACATCAGCGGCGGCACGTGTTTAGAGACGAGAGTAAATGCCTGACCTATCTCTTGGATGAGCATGGCAATAACAGTCAAACCCTAACGCTCAGGTACACGCACAGTTAGCCGGTTGTTGCTTCATAAATTTGGGCCTCGAACATCGCGTCGACTCCCTCGAAGTTGTCAAGGACCGGGCTCTAGCCGCGGTGTACGTCATCAAAGACGATGGAACTGAGGGCGTGAATCAGCACTAGGAACGTTGGGAAGCTCAAGCCACAGCACGAAGCGAGAATCCAGCAGTGGGCGCACAGGAATTAAAGCTTGACAAGTTCGAAGCTTCTCCAGCACACAAGGAGCTGCTTCTACAGAAGGTGGACAGCGACGTCCTGATGCCGACGCCACAGGGCCAGGACCAACTCCACCTAAGCCAATCCTAAGCTAAGGGAAATCTCCTGACGACTCGACTATTCAGTGAACCCTAGTTCAAACTAAGGCCCGTCATCTGATTGTCTAAGCTATAGCTAAGGCTGTAAATGCTTATGATGTATGAAGTAGAGAGAAGGGGAGGAGGTGGAAGGTAACGAGAATGACGATTATCGGTTGTTTACTTCGCGTAGATACGGAACGGGCATCATGTCGGTGCCCGGCAACATGCTGTCATAGTGTGGTCGTGAAATAGGCGTCGGCAAGGCTGAGTTATGCCTTGCGTTACTGACAGGCAGAAGTTTCTGCTCGCGATCAAGTTTCATCTTCCTTAACAGTTGTCCAATTTAATCCCATAATCTATATCCACTTAATACTTTTATGTAGTAGTATTATGCGAACCAGGCGTCCCAGATGAGCCAAAAAGCGAAAGCACCAGCTAGCGCTGATAGGAATCAAACCTAGGTCCACTTTTACACAGCTCAATTGTCCCTTCGTACCATTACAGGCGGGTCATCTAAAGATTAAGCGAGGCTTTCCAAAAAGAAATCATCCATGTCGGTTGTGTGTCAAGGGTAAACTATAGATTTTACTCAGGGTATTGCGCATGCCTGCCTCGCCCCTTTGCCCATTCAAATGCTGCCAGCCATTTAAAATAATGTACCATTATTGCTATCACTGTCGCTCGGCGACGTACCGAGTAGGGGTGAGTATTCCCGTCCGCCATCCAGTCCCGTGTCGGTCGGCTGGGGACCGGGGCCAGGGACGCGACGGCGGTAAGTGTCCACCATCACGCTCCATTCTGTCCATGTGACTCAACGAGGGAGAACAATTGATCCAGGTATTACTACACAGTCAACTATAGTCCTTCTCTTTTGCCCACTGAGCGTTGGCCTTGTCGATTGTAACGTTACATCTCTCAACTGTCAAACAGAGCTCCCGTATGTGTTTCTGAATTAAACGGACGAGTGGTGCCGCCAAGTCTTTTAATTTCAATGTCCGTTGGCGTGAAAGAAGGCTGTGGTCTGTGGGTGACTTTTAGTCGTGACCTGGGACTTCCACATGGTGGTGGACGCGCTCAGACTTGCGAGACGCCCATGCATGGCTAAGATTTTAGAGTCGCTGTGCGAATATCATACAAAAATCTAGGACGGGGATTAGTAGTTCAGGCACAGGACATACAAAGATGCGCCGCTTCCGTGCACGAGAAAGGCATCCCATTGCCTGAGGATATCCTTTTCTGCCTTCGCCGAGCTTTCGAACTGCGCACGCGCTACACATCTTGGTGTCGTCGGTCCGCCACAACGGCTAGCCCCCACGAGCAAAATGCTATCGAGGAGGCAAATGCCCGACACGTTGCCTTCAATCGCACTCTTGGCTATATGTTAGGACTACTTGAGGCGAAGGCGCCGAGGAGCTGCGTGATTGCATCCAATTCATCCAAGCTTCTCAAGCGGGCCCCGCCTGCCTTTGAGAACGCCTTTTCGGCCCTGCAGATCGATTCGGACGGGGACGAGGACGAGGATATCAGAGAGACGACCGATCCACTCCTTGCATCAGATGCAAACGAGACATACATGGACCAAGGCAGCGTGCACGAGACGAAAGATACAGACTTCCAAGACTGCATCAAAGATCGGAAATACCGGCTGTTCTGTCTCTTTGATGATGCCGCGCGGGCCCGGGACTTCATTCGAGAAGTTTGGGCCAGGTATCAGTCACGCCAGATTGACCTTATCGCGGCTTCAATTACGACACAGGCAACCTTTGAGTCGATCAGAGAAGCTATCAAAGCTTGGGAGACACCAGAGAATGCGTCTCACGTTCGTTCTTTCCTTGGTTCTGTAAAACTTTATAGGGAGTTCATCCCCTCGTTTGCTGCAGTCGCAGCACCTCTGAATAACCTCACCTGCCATGGAGCATGGTTCAAATGGGAAAGAGACGAGCGCGAAGCTTTCGATACACTGAAGGACCACCTGATCAGCTCACCATTACTAGTCATGTTCGATCCCGAGAAGGACACGGTGGTGGAAGCAGACTCCTTTGGATACGCTATGGGAGGATGTGTCTCGCAAATTGACGAACAAGGTCGCTTACGCCCTGTCGGTTTCTTCTCACGGAAGTTGACCCCAGCCGAGTCAAATTACGAGATCTACGATAAGGAGCTCCTATCCATTATTAACACCATCCAACACTTTTGAGGAGAGCTGCGTAGCGTAGCCGGCAAGTTCACGGTGCTGACAGATCATAAGAATCTCTGCCATTTCGCTACAGTCCAGCGCCTGTCAGAGAGGCAAGTCCGCTGGTCAGGGATCCTCTCCCAATATAACTTCCAGCTCAGCTTTAGGGCAGGAAAAGACTCTGGGAAGCCCGATTTTCTCTCGCGGAGACCTCAAGACCGTATCAGGGGCTTAGACGACGAGAGGATAAAACACAGAGAGTTCCAATTGCGTAAAGATGAATGGCTTCCACCTAAGACAAGCGAGTTCCCGGCAACCGAAGCAGCTATTGCGGCGATTCTGATCAGCCCAGTTCAAACTCGATCACAGGCAAAATCAGAGGATTTGACCCCGGCAGCGGACGTACAAATGAACACCGAACCCGAAACCACACCAGAGTTGGGCGTGCAAACGAACTCCCACGGATTGACTCGCATCTTCAGCATGCTGCAACCTCATTACTAAACGGCTGTTCTCAAGAATCCACTTGACCTTCACAGCCAGCACCTTCACACGGCAAAGCCGGATCCAGGCCCTGTCAAGAATAGGCCACCATGTCCAGCACCTCACTTTCAACTTTCCGTACTCGCATGCCACATTTTTATCACCTCTTATCCACCCTGGCAGTGGGCGTGAGATCAGCTTCTTGTATACGCCTCACACCTCCATGGCCTCGGTATTAGAGAGACCCAAATTCGCCAACTCGGGGCTTGGTGAGATTCTCACAACACAATATCCGCCTCTATTTCACGCGGCGTCGAATGTGCCTTCCTTTATTAATGCGATGAAATACATACCGAATATGAGGCACTTAATTATCAAGAACCCCGGTCAGGATCCTAAGGAACGCTACCAGAGAGATATTATGGACTACGCACTTATTAGCCTCCGGATATCTATAGAGGGCACCGATGATAAAGCTTACAAAGCTCACTCTCTCCTCTGTTCATCCTTTGGCTTTCATCTATCTGCGTCATATGAGTGGCTTCGGGTGCTTGCCTTCAGCAGGGCGACGGTGGAAGCAGATCTGCAAGATGCACATCACCGCGGAGTCGTGGGACTTTTGTGGGCCATCACCGGGTCTTGATCACCTCAAGATGATCGAAGATTATATCAGCAACTTCTTGACGAGCTTAGAGAACCTGATATTTACCTGGCTTGGCCGCAAAGGACCCTGTCTGATTGCACTTGCGGCAGACCCTCTGTTTACGCTGCCTCGCAGCTCACAGGAGCTATTTCACGAAGTCACATCACTAATGTCATCATTGCTACCAGCTCCAGCCAGGAAGCCGGTAATTTTCCAGAAATATCAGTTCCTGGCCATGCGGAATGCGGTAATAAAAGCGCCGCAAGTGGCTGATTTAGTCGTCGCTCACTAACATAGTGTTCGCAGATTTGACTTCGAGAACACGTTCCTCCTCGATGATGGCAGCTGGGATGATGCACTGGCGCCATTGATAGGCAACGGCTCTCACAGTGGTTGCTGGTCGCGACATTCGACTACGACTTTTACCGAGGAATTTGCCAACGTTCGGCCCAAGTATTTCTCGGACGACCTGACAGAGCCTTCAGCGGCCGTCGAAGCAGTCTCACAAGAGCTGTTAGACATTGACCTGGGCGCAGGCGAGGTAGAGGCTAAGGCTGAGGACCAGCAAGACGCCGCCCGCAAAGCGAATCTCTTGTCCAACAAGTTCATGAAGCGGTACATGACCAAACGGCGCCGCAGGCGCAAACCTAGCCATGATCACGATGCAGTGGGTGAAGAGCAGCGACAGCATCGCGGTCAACGGTCTAAGGACTCTCTTGACAACCCACGCGATGGACACCACCGCCACCATCTTCACCGATATCGGAAATCCCAGGACGCTTTGGACGAGCATCCGGCGCTTCTTCACCCTAATAACGGCCGTCAGCCCTCTACCGGCTCTCTCTACCGTTCCCAGGAGCCTCCCCGGTTCTCGATTGCGTACCAGTCTCCCCTCCCTCAATTAGCCGGCGAGGGAGATAGTGTGTACACAACAGCACCTTCATCACACCATTATTCAGCGAAGTGACAACTCAGCTCTCAACCGCAGGGTCAGAGCCCGACCTCACACATTTGCTTACGGACAAGGAATGCGACTCACTGGTCGATGAGTACCTCCGACCACGCACGCCCACTTCTCCAGCCCCCCAGAAGGACATCTCGGCGCCAATCTTGTTTCCGTCACCCAACCTCCTGCAGCCAACAGTCTACGAACCTACCGCCGAGCTGTGCTCCGGAACCTCGGCCGTTCAGTGCGACATTAAGGCCGAGGGGAAAGACCGCCTTGTGGCTGAGGACGTTAACGTGCAGGTCAACGCCTGGCGGCAGGCGAAGGAAATTGTGCTCAGCCGATTAGGTCGCGAGTTCTGCAGCGGTGGCGGCGTGGGCGGCATGTGCGGTAAGGGCTACGGCGATCGCAGCCCGAAGGAGGAGACGTTCGGCTCCCCGGGGTTCTTGGGCACTGCGCGGTTCAGCGAGGGCCTATTCGGGGAGAGCACGCGTGGTGTGAGTGAAACTCCGCACCTGGTACAGGACCATAGGAGTATGGATGTGCCGATCTTATTAAGTCGCGATTAAGCAATGGCGAGTTGGCTTACGACTTGTAATGACTATCTATGTCGAACGGGCATGTTTCCTTCTTGATGGTAGTGCCAAAGTTCATCAAGGATGGTAGGGCCAAAGATCAGTCGCGGCAATGTACGTCACTGAGTAAGGTGGCTGTGAGGTACTGCACAGCATCATTGCTGCTGTCGCTTCCAGAATCCATGACGTGTTGATCATGCGTGTCATCGGGGTCAGAGTCAAGATCTGGCTCGTAGTCGGCCAGGAAGTGAATGTAAGCAGGGCCTGTGGTCGGTCGTCCACGGAATTGTTGATCGTGTCGCCATTTCTCTTTTGATTTCCGCTGTTCCTCTGGAGAATGCTTCCACGATCGACAGTCAAGGTCACTACAGATATAACAACGTCTGGTAACATTGCTATCTCATTTGTTGTATTACTTGTCTTTCCACTAATAAAACTTGCGATCAGTAAAGTACTGATTATCTGTATGCTGGGCGCTGTCAGCTGAGTCTTCAGAGGTCTGGAGTGATTGTCAGAGATTTGAAGCAAGAGCTTCAAACATATGTAAAGGAGTGAACAAGGCGTAATTGAATTCTTTAATATCACGGCAAGCACGTTCCACAGCTACAATCAGTTGTGTCTCGCCTAGATATAAAGGGCCAAGGGCATGTTAACAAAGTTGCAATTTGTTAAGAAGTGCTTCAAGGATCTCTATGCTGGTCTTGCCAGCGTTCTCAGGTCGTGCATTCATGATGGCATAGGTGATTGCGGACCAATCACGATGATATTGGGTCTTGTTGACTTCTGTGTCAAAACGTGCCTTGAGACGGTTGTACATGTCTGAGAACATTGAGTGACGGCTGATGTGGTGCATGAAGTATTCTTGAGCTGTGCCAGTGAGGACTTGGGGAAATACTGCGTGGAACTGACCAGGCTTGATGCCAATGGTGGAACATGTGTTTATAAAGTAGCGTATCTTGTCGTCCAAAATATCATAGGGTCGTCCTGAGGAACAGTTCTTCTTTTTCCAGATCTTGGCAAATGTTGCGATTATCATGGGAGCTAAGTCCTCGTTCGCCACTGGGATAGGAGGAATCTGGGTATATGGATCAGGTGGTTGATTCTGTAGCCATTGGTTGTGCTGCTGGTATGTTCCAAAGCCAGGGTCTGGTGTGACAGCAATGTGCCGAGGATCAGGCACAAGGTTGCCTGTTGCATATGCCATTGGGTCTGTCCAGGCCATAATCCAGATTGTGAATCTTGTGTTCTTATAAAATGGTTTTTAACGCTTGGCACAATCGTATCCCTATTCTGTTGCTGTTTGATCTGCTCATTCTTTAATCGATGTTCTGGGTTCTCGGAATCTGGGGTCTCATCGCTGGGAGTATCGGTTCCGGGAGCTCTATCTTTGCTGGTGTTTTGAGGGGTCATTTTGTCATCGCGTGTATCAGTAGTGCTGTTATCCTTCTCTTGTTCAGCCAGGATAACATCCATAATATTCCAGATGTTTGGGTGTGGAAATGCCGATTTCGCTGTGATAAGAGAACGTCTATCCCACATTGAGAGGTCTTCAGCAGTGGTTAAATGGGCTAGAGCGTCTGAGATAGAGCTGTTCAATTTGCCGAGATAGATGCCTTTGGATGTGATGCACCTTTGGAAGGTGCTGCGGATATTCCGGTCAATCTTCTTAAAATCTTCTTTAGACCAATTTTTGAAATCGTTCTGGAAGAACTCGTAGATGATCTGTGGGTCAGGGTTCAAGAATCCATTGTAACGGTTGATACATGACAAGGCGTATGAATTCATATGTATGGGTTCTCTTCCCCGGAGGTCGGCTGGTTCGCCCATGCTGATGCGTTCAAGGTTGACTGAATTGATGAGGGTGGCAGGTAAGCCTCGATCTCTCAGGTATTGAGCCGGGTCTTGTGTGTTGTCTTCGGATATCTTGCTAAAGTTAGGCGCAGTACGCGTGACGAATCAGAAACTGCAAAAGGGGTGCGCAAGGAATCTGCGCAAGGAATCTGCGCGTTATTTGCGGATTGTAGGGAGTTGGTTCTGTCGGTAGTCAGGGACTGCCGCGCGTAGGTGGTACCGGTATTGCTGTGATTGCAGCGTAATCTACTGCCTCGAGTCGCCTCACGGAGGAACGTTTGCAGTGGAAAACCTTGGACCTCGTGCTGGGCCTCGAGTCGCCTCACGGAGGAACGTTGATACAATAAGATCTCTTCTTTTCCTTTCTCATCTGTGTTGCCTTGGGAGACAACACTGATCAGTGTTGGAACAGGCTTGACCAATCAATCATAATACTCGAGTATGGGTCAAAGTCATGATGTTGCTGACGGGTTGGATTGGGAGGTCTAGCTGGACTTGCAGGTCTGGCTAAGTGTCCTCACAATCCGGTATCTAATCTCTTATCTAATCATACATATGGATCTGGTATGGATGGTTTGAAGGTTGGAATCGCATGGATCCAACACTACCGCTAAATGATCAGCTATATATCTATCGATTTGAAGCAAAAAATTTGAGAAAAATAAAGGAGTTAGTACGTACGGAGGTATGGCTCCTGTGCCCATTAAGGATCAAGAATACCGCTTCAAAATTATCATCTTCTCGTACCTAGTTGGCTGGAGGGAGGAAAACACTCTCCAACCACTCCACGGCGACTGCGTTATCCGTTCAGCCATTATCAGTGCATATATAATGCCAGGGAGCGATCTCTCTGAATTCCCGAAGGAACCACTGGGCCTGGAGATCTTTTTCTTTAAATATAATGCCTGGTGTGAGGGCCTTGCCCGTAGCGGAGATGGCCTCAATGAAGGAGGTCCAGCTGCGGCTTTGGTCGCTCTTCAAGAAGGTCTTTTTCATCTCTGAGCTGCCTAAAACAAGACTATCAAGCCCTAGATGGGTTAGTTAATGGATAAAGACAATAAGGGATTATTCAGGGATTTTTCAGGGGCTTTCCCGTACTGAAACCCGCCATGATACCGCATTTATCCACGTTGTATGTGTTCAGGGGCTTTACCCAATCAAAATCCTCACGATGATCAAAGTACCAGTTAACAGATTTCGGCATAAAGCCCTTAAAACAAGTGGTTTCCTGTCTGTGGCCCATTTTTGTTTTTATTTAGGGGTTACGGTAAAGAAATCCATCCATCCAGTTCTTCCCAACTGTCTCAGTGATACCGACGATTGCCTTGACGGCGCTATGCGATGGGGCGAGCCCCAAAGACTCCTGACGAAGTATCCACTGGGCTAGGCGTGTTTCCTGCTCGTCGGATAGTCTTCTTTTTAGCTGCTGCGTCTCTCCCTTCGAGGGTTTACCGTTAAGGCGGTCAGACAGTGTCTGCTTGGGGATATCCCATTTCTGTTGGATGCAAGCGAGTTCAGATTATTCAGGTTGTCAAGTGTGTTCTGTTGTTGTGCTTGTTCTTCTCTGCTTCTTCAGCGTACAGAGATTGATCATCTGTCTTCTTGGTGGGTCAGATGCCCTGTGCGTCTCTGCCCCACTGGAGATCTTCCGGTGTCTATTTCCGGCTCCCATTCAACAATTTCTGAGCGGATTTTCGGTCCGATAGCTTGTTATTAGTGACATCTAGTATAGCATCTGTCATAGTACCCTCCGTATAAGAAGGCATTTCAAGAGTCACGATGCTGCGTTGCATACAGAAAAAGAAGAGAACGGGTACATAAAGGGCAGATTTGCCCTTATGAGGGGTAGAAACCACGGGCGGGGGGACCCCTTATCGCCGAGTCTGGCTAAAAGAATGTACATTGGGGTAAACCTCAAGAAAAGAGCTATTCAGTGAACTAATTATATCGCGAATCCCTTCAAAAACTGCTGGATTTGGCATAAGTAAAGTTGTTGATGTTTTGGTGTGTGGCAGTAGATTTTGCAGTCCGAGTGGTGGGGGTGGCCGAGTGGTGGGTGGGGCATGGTATAGCCTGCAGCTATGAGCAATATGCAGCGCCCTCATGAGTGCTAAATGTAGACCCTTACTATGGTGTGATTACCATCAATGCACTGGTTGACATGTTGTAATGGTTGCCAACGAGGGTAAACTAAACATTGGCAACTAGTCAACGTGCTGACGATAATGCGATTATATAATTATATCTTAATCCAAGTGTCAAGTGTACGTTTGTTTTTGGAAGCAGGTTATCAGGCTTTCACACTCGTGAACATCCCTTCTGGCCATCACACCGATGTCTGCAGTTCGTCAGGCCGCACTGTGAAAGCTTCCCAGTCTCTCTGTCGCACCAGCGGCGCCGACACAGTCCACATATCTCATTGCATCGCGCCGCGTATCCTAGGCAGAACATATGTCCTATGGACGTTAACTAGTTCGGAGGAAGCGGTTACCACATAGCTACCGCAAGGATCGGATATAACCGAGACCGAGTCGACGACAATGCCAATTCGCTGTTGTTGAGAAGAGATCTACATTTTCTATTCGACCAGAGGCGATTCGCGATCATACCCAAGGCGGACAGCCAAGTGGAGACCCATAACCCTGGGAAGGCTCAGCAACAAGAGAAGCACAGCGATCAGCACTGTTCGTCTCCTGTCGTGCACATACTCATGCCCGGCGGGCATGGTGAGCTACACAGTCTCTACCACAACCGGCCATTACAACCCCCCCCCCCTTTCTCTGTATCGGACATTTCCCGAGAATATCTCTTTGCCCGTTTCGCATGGGCCATCACGGCGCGGATCCCGTGGGAGGAGGGCCGGCAAGCGCTGCGGTATCTAGGGCAGCGGATCACAGTGCAGGAGTTTAGGGGCGCAGCGCAACTCAAGACGTACGAGACCGAGGCGTTACTGGATGGGCAGCTCTTTAGACGGTAGGCCGAGATGCGGGCGTCTATCAACACGAGCCGGATCGTGGACAGCATGGTATGCGAAGGGACTGAGGACTACCACGGCCTGTGTGACAACGACAAGCGTTGGGGGAACATCATATCACTGCTCCTGGCAACCGTGATTAGGGTCTTCTTGGTCATTATCTCATATGGCTGCAAGGTGCCAGCCGGAATATTCGTGCCATCCATGGCCATCGGAGCATCCTTCGGTCGAGCGGTCGAATCATCATGCAGGCCATACACCACGCTCATCCGAACAGTGTGTTTTTCTCACAATGTCTACCCAATGAACCATGTATTACCCCTGGGACATACGCCTTCCTCGGAGCAGCAGCCGCGCTCAGTGGCATCATGCACATGACAGTTTCGGTCGTGGTTATCATGTTTGAGCTCACCGGAGCTCTCACCTACATCTTGCCGACTATGATCGTGGTCGGTGTCACCAAGGCTGTTTCAGAGCTATTTGGCAAAGGCGGCATCGCCGACCGTATGATCTGGTTCAGCGGCTTCCCCTTCCTCGACAACAAAGAAGAGCACAGCTTCGGCGTACCCGTGTCTGCCGTCATGACCAACGATGCAAGACCTGGTCAGTGGCAGACGTTACAGGGAATGGCAAGGCAGACGACCACACTATCGCCTCCCAAGGCATCCACGCTCTGCGACAGTTGCAAGCGCCATCTGGTATACGAGCCGAGATAGACAAATCGGGAACCCACGGTGAGAGGACCTCGGCAGGCCAGCCCGGTCAAGTCGAACACACAGTCATCGAGCTCTCAAAGCTTGACAGTCATCGATCTCCTGTCTGGAGGGTCGGTTTTGATGACGATGGCCAGATCTTGGGCAGTGTTGGGGACGAAGGGAAGCTCATGTGCTACCGCCAGACTCCCAGCGCAGCGTCCCAAACGGTGGCTCATATTGACCTGTATAAGTACAACCAATGTGGACTGCCCTGGTTCCGTTCGCGGGATTGCAGGTCGTAGACATGCGATAGACTATGTTGACTGTCGGACATATGGACAGTCACTTCAGCCCTGGCACGGTAGGTAGCTACCCCCATGCATTCCATCGAGCCGGCATTTGATTGAGTCTGTAATCCAGGAGTGAGGTATGCCGGGGCCTCTAATCGAGTGCCCCGTAAGTTCGATACACTGATGTGGCCTAAAGCTGACATGAGGCCTGACAGGGCAGAATGAGTACATGTATGCATGGTCGGGCAGAGAGGCTCAGCAGGCCATGTGTTTTCAATATTGCAGGAGGAACTCCCACGTCTTGAGCTTGGACCACCTTTCGCCATGGCTTTTGTGCTTATGTCATGTTCGACCTCCCGTCGCTCCGCCTCACCGGCTCCCCGGGCAGATCAGCCCTGCCAATCAGACTTTGTGAAGAACGCCTCGAACGCCTTTCGCAGAGCTGGAAACTTGAAAGCTTGAAAGACTTTGCAATCAATGCTGATGCTGACACACGGGACGAATGACTTGCCTCGCTTACGCACATGCTTCTTAAGCTCATGTCTGTCCAGTGCCAACCCCCTTCCTCTCCCTTCTTCACTCCTTCTCAACCAACTGTCCTCTCTACCTTACCTTGGCCACTGCACTCAATCTCATCGCTCTCTCGTCGACCTTCTCTGCTCTGAGCATACTCAAGAGTTCATTGTCTGTGACTATCCGATTGTTCCCCCTCCAGGCACAATATGTAAGATAGCGAGCTAACCAAACCTGCTTATAGGTTACGCCCGTCAACAAATCATTCGAAATGGATATGAACACTACGACAGCCCTTTGGAAATCTCCCGTTCCTCCCTGATCTCTCGTCCTCTTGCGACTCTGAGATTTACCCCTGTTTTCCTCTTGTCGTTGCACCTCTCAAGTACTCATACAACCTCTTTAATCTATTCTGTTCCCTTTGTGCCTCGACTGTCAAATTATAAAACTCGTCGAATAATATCAGCAGAGCCGAAACTTTGATCACGTACGACTCCTATCTGGGACATGACGGCTTCTTCAAACAAAAAACACGGGACTCCATCATCTGAGCATCTCTGGTAGCTGCCCAGTCAAGGAACAATACCTTGCCCCATCCACGTCCATGACAACAATACTCTCCCCCGCCAGGCATTTCTTCCTCCAGTCAGTCACGGCATATATCGTTTCCATTGCCTCTACAATCATTGAGGCCATGGGTGTCACTCGTTCCAGGACTTCAGTTGCTGCCATGACCATTGCTCACTCGGTTCTCTCACTCTTGTTTGTAATCATTAACTCCCTTGAGCAATTCAGTATCCGTTATCTCTCTTTTTATCTGTTTGGTCTCGCCCTTCTATTTACGAGGTCCAGGGGCAACGTACCCACACAACACTCGGTTTTCCATATCCGCCCGCCGAATTGGATAACGACGAACGATCACGAAAGACAATCATTTCACATTGGAACTTGCAGGGAAACGACCGTGCGCGATTCCGGGCCTGCGCTACTTTGTGCATCTATGGAACAATGGACAGGTCCAGCAGTCGTCAGACAGCTCGGGAACAGACGACACTTGAAAAGAGGCGCCTAATGGCGACGCGGACTCCGCCAGCCACGATGTGGTTACCTCCTTTGACGACAATAACCACCAAAGAATTTGCGCAAATCATTGAAAATTACCTCACAGACACTAAATTGTTTTAGAAACTCGGCTTTCTGTGTAAGTAGTGCAAAATGTCATGCCCAAGTCTTTTGGCTCTCCTCGTACGCCGGTAAAGCCCACCTCTTCATCCAAGCCATGTTTAACACCTCCGCTGCATTTGGCCGCTCTCTAGGCCTCCATGCGAGCATCCAGTGTAACAGCTCAAACAGCGCGGCCTTCTCCTCCTCGTCAATAATACTCATACCACAAGAATGTCTCGGCTCTTGTACCCATTGCTCGAACCGCCTATCCCACGTCCATATGTCACGCTCATTACTGAGCGGTCTTCCCGCTTCGTCGAACCATTTGAACCACTGTTCCCAGTTATCCCACCAATCCGACGGTAGAGGTCCTTGTAAGTGGACCTGCTGCGCCGTTATTTCGTCCTGAGGCGTAAGGATTCCGTCGATAAGAGACCTGTGAGCAAGCAACTCGAAGATGGTGCAACCGAGGCTCCATATATCTGACGCAAAGGAGAGAGGCGTCGTCGGTTCAAAGAACGCCTCGGGCGGACGGATCACGAGGGGTGTATATGATTCAAACCGCGACTTATCTGACGGGCGAAAGGCGACACCAAAGTCGCTAAGTAATAGCTTTGCCTCCTTTATGGTGATTTCATCGCTTGCTATTCCAAGCCACACAGGAGGGACGGCGTACAAAGGAACCCCAGCTGCTGAAGAGGTTGATTTTTTGTCAAGACGGACGACAGGCTCTGGCTCTGGAGCTCCAAACTTAGCATACAACTGATCCACTAAGAGACCGTTGAGAGAAGGAGGTAGCTGGAGAAGCAGGTTGCCAAGATGAAGGTCTAGGGGAGGTTGTTGTTAGATTATCAGAGAGGCGGCAATAAGGATGAGAACCACGTACCTCCATGGGCATAACCCTGCGAGTGAACAAGAGAAATGGCCATGGCAAGCTGGGCAGCTAGAGAACGAGCAACATCAAGCTCAAACAGTCTCGGGTCTGACGCCACTTTCGCATCCATAAGACTGCATCTTGCCGGGACTGTTACAACACAAGGATGAGTCCCATTGGGGCCATCAAGACTAAAGCGATCGATGACCGTAGGGATCATCGACGCCTTATGTGCGGCATGGCTGCGATCCGCGACTCCTGTAGTAAGCTGAGATAGAATATCTACCTCTCGCGTGTCTGCATCTGCGGTGCCCACTTTAACGGCGACGTAATTCGATGTCAGTTCGTCAAGAGCGAGCCAGACCGTTGAAAACGTGCCGTGACCAAGTTTGTTTGTTTGTTTGTTTTGTTTTGTATTTAACGTGGGGGGTAGCTCCTCAGTAGTGCAAACCACGCCTCCCAGAGCCTCTGTATCGCAGGGTTGTGGAGGTCTCAAGATAATAAGTACAGGCAGTCCCGCTCATGGGCCCATCCCCGTTGTTGTGGCGGTATGACCTTGGGGTCATCCATCTGATCCTTCAAGAAAAGCTATCTATCGGGGGCAAATTGTTGAAAAGAACTTGCTCTTCTCCACGAATTTTGTCCATTCTGTGCTCCTCTCCCTTAAGTATTGCAAACAAGCTGTCCTAGGCGAATGCCTAGGCAATAGCCGATTTTTCCCCAGCCTCTTACAAAAGAAAATGTGTTGTGGTATTTTCTTCTCACCACAGTTGCAGTGATCATTCGAGTCTGTGTGCCCAAAGCGTTCATGGTAGCTGGCAAAGTCGCCATGTCCAGATCTGGCCGCTAGAAGTCTGTATAAAGTACTCCCCTTAAAAGATATAAGGTCTCTTTTAATTACTGTGTGTGAGTATACTTCTTGATATCTAGATTCTGATTGGTCTTTTTACCATTAATTGAACTCCTTTCTGTCCTTTTTTTTGAGATCTCTCTTGACCCAAGAGATTATAAGAAGGCTTGTTGTGTCTGTTTCTAGCATGGTATCTTCTTTTGTTAATGTGTTGGCAGCTTCATTGCTATCAATATCTCTGTGTCCAGGAATCCACTTGACGGTCACTCCAGGAGTGTGTGCTGTGGTAAGTTCTTGAAATCGTAGAAAAATATTCTGTGATGTCTCGGGTGGAGTCCCATTGAGCCCATCAACCACTGACGTGTTGTCCAGGCAGACATATAGCTGTTTTCTGTGTCCAATTGCCCTGGCTGCTGCAAGACCTTGGAGAGCACCATAGACTTCAGTATCTATTACTTCTGCTTGTAAAAGTCTACCCTTTCCCCGGTATACTTCTTGAGTAGTGTTGCCTTTCCTGATGGTGTAACCCCATCCAGTGCGGGTTGTGCCTTAGTCGTCCAACTGTGATCCATCTGAATAGATGACAAGGTCAGTGTTCACGTTTCTCTCCTATAGCCATTGCTTGAAGAGCTCTATTTCTTTGTCTTTGTCTTTGCGGACTGGGGGCTTCTTCCATAATGGCCTGGTAAGTGTTGGTCTCTGGAAGTCAGGGACTAACTGGAAGCTCCTTTGTAGCCTTGTTAGATTCTTGCGAGCTTGTATTTGGAGCCTGCCAACAAGAGGGTGTCTCTGGTCTATTCGTCCTAGTCGGAGGCCGTGACGTCGTCTTATTGACTCTGCAAGAACTCCTGCTGGGGGAATCTGCGATTCAAAGTGTAGGATATGTCCAGGGTGTGTTTTCCAGACTGGCAAGATACGGGTCGGTCGTTCGTTCGTAGCCTTCACGCTATCATGCAGGGAACATAGAGACGGTGCATCGAGCTGTCCGATGGGAGGCTTGGTGCGCTGGTTGGAAGAAAGGATGGTGCGCTGGTTGGAGGAGGGGATCGATAGTTGTTGGTAATGGGACCTGTGATGGAGCAGACAGTCTCGGTACATAGTTAATGTCAAGCAGTACCAGGCACTCAACCGCTTGTCGTCCACCGTTGCCCACCGGGTCACTTTGATGCCTGCTAGTAATCCGACGCGTAGCATAGGCTTTTTGGGTATATGATGGCGGTCTGAGTATCAGACTTGGATAGAGGGCTTTACGTGGCTTTGTAATTGTGTTTAGTTACACTCAGCCCTCGCGAGTTCAATCATTCGAGGTTATACGTAAAGATTTAGAAAGACTGGAATAAGCAGATAGGCATAAGTAGATCCTGGTTATAATGTCTTTTCGATGCTTATTCCAGTGTGCTTATTTAATTTTTTATAAACGTAGTTTTTGCTTAGTAAACAAAAAGTATACGTATATTCATAAGTGTTGGATAAAGCATAGCGTAAGATGTTTTATTATTTGCTCTTATAATTGAAAATAAGAAGAAAAAGTTGTTTTTCTTTATATGAAGAAAAGGTAAAGACTATATAGCTTAACACTATTATTTTATATTTTCTTTTATTTAAATATGAAAATGGTGTAATATAAAAGTAGTTTTAAATTATTAAATTACTTTTATCCTCAATAACATGTTTAGGCTTTATCAAAAAAGCGTTATAATAAGCAATAAAATAAAATAATTCATTATATAACTTTTTTAAGCCCCTTGGATTTGTTTTATAAATGTTTAAACCGGACTTTTTAAATTTGAGAAAGTTTATATAACGTAGGTCACAAGCGAGCGGCAATTACAAGCGAGCGGCAACTTTTCACCAGCCACCCAACCTTTCAATCAAGGCTCCTAATTGATCAACCAACAATAATGGCATTGCGTTATAGCGAATCAGACTTACAGCTTGCTGTCCAAGCTAAGCGACGCGACCCTCATATTACCATTAGCAAGCTTTCTAAGACTTTCCATGTCCCATACAATACCTTGAAGGCTAGAATCGCCGGCCGACCATCACGACGCGATAACATGCCTAATTCTTTGAAACTTACGGTTTCTGAAAAGAATGCCATTTGTTCCTTCATAATCGACCTGGATGCGCGAGCATTTCCGCCCTGGTACACTTATGTTGAAGATATGGCAAATCAATTGTTGGCGGCGCGCGGGACTGGACGCGTTGGAAAGAACTGGACGGCGAACTTCATCAAACGTACACCAGGCCTCCGGACGCGTTTTCATCGGAGGATGGACTACGAGAGGGTCTTGAACGAAGATCCGGACGCGTATCGCGCGTGGTTTCGCCAAGTTGCGGCAGCAATCGCGAAACATGGTATCCAAGACGCGGATATTTACAACTTCGACGAGACTGGGTTTATGATGGGCATTATTGGGTCCGGCATGGTCATTACAAGCGCCGAAAGACGTGGTAGGCCTAGACAAGCCCAGCAAGGCAACAGGGAATGGTCTACAGCAATTTCTGCTGTCAATGCTGATGGTTGGGTGGTCCCGCCGTTCATCATTCTACAGGGCAAAACCCACCTCGCGTCATGGTATCGCGACACGACATTACCACGCGATTGGAAGGTGGCCGTGTCCGATAATGGGTGGACTACGAACGAGATTGGGTTGGAATGGATTCGGCATTTCGACAAGTATACCAGACCGCGTATGACTGCCGGTAAACGCCTCCTCATCCTAGATGGTCACGAAAGCCACCATTCCCAGATCTTTGAGAGATATTGCCAGAACAACAGCATTATTACCCTTTGTATGCCTGCCCACTCGTCACACAGGCTCCAGCCTTTAGATGTCAGTTGTTTTAGCCCGCTCAAACGAGCGTACGGTCGCATGATTGAGGATCTCATGCAGTGTCATATAACCCATGTTTCAAAGGAGGACTTCCTTGCAGCGTTTTGTGAAGCACACAACGCTGCTATGACGCCAGGGAACATTCGAGCAAGTTTCAGTGCCACTGGGCTTGTTCCTTTTGACCCAGAAAGTGTCATTTCGAAACTGGATGCTGTCGCTGTCGTACGAACACCGTCGCCAGACCCCAATCTGCCACCCACTACTTGGACTTCGAAGACGCCTACCACCATCAACGAAGCGGTCAACCAATCGGTTCATATCCGAAATCGAGTCAGAAACCACCAGGGAAGCTCACCTACATCAATAATTGATGCGTTGAGCTCGTTTTCAAAGGCTACATACGGTCTTATGCACAAGGTCGCTTTGGTTGATTCCCGGGTCCGCGAGCTAGAGGAGGCCAATCACCTACTAAGTAAACGCTGGAGGACAAAAAACAAACGTCTAGTGAAAGGAGGAGTACTTTCTGTTGAAGATGCAGTAGGTCTCCAGGCTGTAAAGGATGGTAATGAGCTGGCAAGACAGGAAATGGGTGAAGATAGTCGTCGTCCGAGGAGGGCGGCAGCGCGTGAGCGACATTGTGGCGTTTATGGCAACACTGGCCATAATGCGCGAACTTGTACAATAGAGATAGAAACGTCTGAAGAAGAAGAATCCGATTGATTAGATTGAATTAAATGCGTTGTGGTCGAGTTATTTGACATGTTGGTTAAAAGATTGGTGAAAAGTTGCCGCTCGCTTGTAATTGCCGCTCGCTTGTGACCTACGTTAATTATAAAATAAAATACAAATATAAAAAGTTTTTTTTGAAAATAATTTTATCATTATAATGTGTAAGTAAATAAAATTCATATATGTATAACGTTATATAAATAAAATATCCCTAAGTTTTGTTCAAAAGATAAAAGTTATTTAAAATGAGTATTTTATTTTATTTTATTTAATAAATTTTTTATAAATTATCACATACGAGGCGGCAAGTACTTATAGGTGTATATACTTACGTATGAAGCGACCTAGCTAGTCTTAGTATAGTTTTAAAATAAATGGGACTTAGTAATAAATTAATAAAGGGAACAGTAAAGCTAGCAATAAGAAAACCTTGAATTATTATATAACTAAGTAATGAAATAAGAAACCCGTAGTATAAATAAAGATATAGTAAATAGTAAGGGTTTAAATAGCGCAGCGGGTAAACCTCGTTACCTTTATTTTTTAACTAGTAATAAAAACTAAGGTTTAATTATTATTAAAATAAGGTTTGAATTTACGATGTGTTAATTTTTACAACTAACCTTTAATTAACTTATA